CGTCAGCCCTGTCCGGCCCGTTCCTGCTCTCCGCACCAGGTCTGTGGTGCGCGTCGCCAGCCCAGTCCGGCCCATCCAAGTTACTCGCACCAAGCCAAGGGTGCGAGTCGTCAGCCGGATTCTGCCTGTTCCTGCCACTCGCACCAAGTCAAGGGTGCGAGTCGTCAGCCGGATTCAGCCCATTCCTGCTACTCGCACCAAGCCAAGGGTGCGAGTCGTCAGCCGGATTCAGCCCATTCCTGCTACTCGCACCAAGCCAAGGGTGCGAGTCGTCAGCCGGATTCAGCCCATTCCTGCTACTCGCACCAAGCCAGGGATGCGAGTCTTCAGCCTGGTGAGGCCTGTTCCGGCTCCACGCACCATGCAAAGGGTGCGTATCGTCTGCCAGGTCCGGTCCATTCCTGCCTCACGCGCCAAGCCAGGGGTGCGCGTCGGCAGTCCTGATCCAGCTAACTGGGTCAGATCGGACTGGGGACACTACGGGGGGATTGTAGTAGGGTGGTGGTCAAGCCCGGAGCCGGAGCCGCCTCCGAGGAGCAATACCCACCCAGCCCTTCCCTATTTGGGGTGTAGGCGCGGTCGGAGTCCGCGCCTTTAGGGGGGGGTACTGTCACGCTCTGGCTCCGGGACTGTGTATTATGAGCCAGGGTGTGTTCATTTGGTTGTGTTTGGTATTGGTTGTGTTGTATTTGGTTGTGTTTCCTTGTTTGGTCGTGTGACTCCCAATCAGTGGTAACGAGTGTCAGCTGTCGGCTCGTTATCTCTGATTGGGAGCCATATTTAAACTGTCAGTGTTCACCTTAGTGTTGTGGGTTTTTGTTCCTTGTCAGTCATTGTAACTGAGGACTTCACGATTCGTCGTTGTTTGTTGTTTTTGTAGTGAGTACTTTAATTTAATAAAGTCATGTTCGCTCAACGCGCTGCGCTTTGGTCTCCCTCATTAGACGATCGTGACAGCCTAACAACACCCATGCCATTATATCCTCCAAACACTGGCTTCTCAGGCATTATCACTTAAATAGAAGACAATAGAAGTCAATAGAAGACAATAGAAGACAATAGAAGACAATAGAAGTCAATAGAAGACAATAGAAGACAATAGAATCGAAAAGAAGACAAAAGAAGACAATAGAAGACAATAGAAGTATACGTGTGTGAATAGATAACAATGACAAGTCATCTGGAGAAAAACATCCACCTAATTAGTTACAGTAAATGACAAAACGTAAGGTTGCTGATGTATATAATGGTTGATGAGGTTATATTAAAGCATCTGTTAAAAAGATGCTTGAACAAAACATCAAACGTCAATATGTTTGATGTTGTGTCTACAGTATTCAAGTAGTACGGCTGATTTTCAGTAAGCACAAGGTCTGTTGGTCAGCCCTTCCCAACACAGTCACAACTGGACATTTCCATTCAACAGTGAGAACAAGTTAATTCAATGATGTCTTTGATTGATGTGTAAAATGCTTCCTGGATAGTTTGTTTTATCTGGGGGGCTGGCAGGAAATAGGAAATAAGTTTGCTTGAATGTCCTCATTAAGTGGCGATAACAAATCCAAATCATTGGGCGAGGTCTGGGGAGACCAGTTCGTTACATTTGGAGAAAAAATTAGCATCTCTGCCAGCTGCCTCAGCAAGAAGGAATGTCTGGCTGGGTAAACAGACATCACTGCTACTAATGAGGAGCAAGTCACCACACACTGAGTGGACAGGCAGTCGATACAGAGGACCTCCAGAATCAACAGGCACACTACTATTTGATCCAGATTTGGGCCCATATTCATAAAGCATGCCAGAGTGCTGATCTAGGGTCGGTTTTGACATAGACAGGAGGGACCTGATCCTGGATCGGCACTCCTACTCTGAGACGCTTTATAAATACAGGCCCAGATCTGTGCTTAGGTATGTGGGTAGTGAACAGGCACAGCTTAATAAATTATGTTTAATTTCCTTCAGTTCTGCCAGTAGCCTATGGACAGAGCATAAAGGTGATTCAAATCAAACCAGGTCAACTACAACTGGAAGAGGAAAGTTTGTGCAGCATAATGCATGAGATGGTAACTCTATAAGGGGGTTTCAATTCTTCCCATGCTATGATGACTGTGGCAACCCTGAACCAGTCCTGACTGTCCTGTCTGATGCCACTAGGGAGTGATGTTCCGAATCCACCTCAGACACTGTGCTTCTGTCCCAAATGGCACCATATTCCCTATATAGTGCACTACTTTTAACAAGAGCCCTGCTCAAAAGTAGTGCACTATAAAAGGAATAGGGTGCCATTTGGGACGTAACCTGTGCTTCCCTTAGCCATCACAATAGCGCCATGGTGGTTGCAGGAAGGTTTTACCTGGCCATAAAGAACCTGTGCAAGGCCTTCCTTCAGGAGAGAAGTCAGAAAGCTGAAGTCATTGCTGGGTCTGGTGTGTTCTGCAGTCTGCACAGGGAGGAGAAACTCACATTCTTCTGACTGGAAGATAAACAGCTCTGAATTGTTAGATATACTGCACTGTTGGAGCTAGAAACACAAGCATTTCACTATAACCGCAATAACATCTGCTAAAAATCTGTATGTGACAAATAAAATGTGATTTGGTGTGTCAGACCTCGAACAAAAATCAAGATCACAACTGCTGCCTGACAGATTAAGCTGCACTGGATTGTAAGGAGACAGTCAAGACTGCACTGGAGCCCCTAAAGAAGAAGCTGAAGGCCTTTGTGGAAGTGAAACAGACCTGCGATAAAACAGCCGTGCATATTAAGACCCAGACCCAGCAGACGGAGAAGCAGATTAAGGAGGAGTTTGAGAAGCTTCACCAGTTCCTTTGAGATGAGGTGAGGGCCAAGCTAGTTGGAATGCAGGGGGAAGAGGACGGGAAGAGCTGGTTGTTGAATAGATTGAAAGGATGAAAAGAGAGATGTCATCACTTTCAGATACAATCAGAGCCATAGAGGAGGAAACTGAAAACATCTCTTCCCTGCACACCTACAAGGGCATGGTGAAAATAACTGCACACTGCCGGACTCAATGCAGGACTCAGGAATGCTAAAAGTATGAAAAATGTATGAACTCACTAACTGTAAGTCGCTCTGGATAAGAGCGTCTGCTAAATGACTAAAATGTAAATGTAAATGTATATGTTCTCGACCCAGACAGACCCTTTCACAACCTCTACTCCACCTATACTGCTATCTGCAGGGCCTAAGACACACTACTGGAGGAATGTGTGGTATTTCATTGAAATGGCTGAGTAGGCTTTCCTTCCACACCACAATGTAACCTGTTGGAGGTCAGTTTCTGATCTGAATGATGTCCTCAGGTTCTCTCGATGCTCCGAAGGGCTTTGACAAGGTTCATTATAGTGCATAGAGACACTCAGGAAGTTAATGTAGGAAGAAATGTGCCATATAGCGTGAGCATTGCTATTGTAATATTTCTTTCTCATTTAACATGCTATGACATAGACATTCTACACATGTGCTTGTAAGTTGCAAGTTGTTTGCATTAATGACTGACACTAAAGTGGGACATTTGGGGAAAGACAATCATCTTTATATTGTAATACCCTTAATGTACAACCCAGACTGCATGCTGGTGCTGGTGTAGCCTACCAAAAAAAATACAATCCAGACAGAATGGCACAATTGTGAAGAAAGTGATTGATCTATTCTTGTATCCTACTGATTGTAGGGTGTTCCAACAACACAGTATAGGGCGAAGTTTATATCCTAATGCAGACGAGGACAAGTTTTACCCCATGCCCTAGGTCTTTTAAAATTGTGTTATAGGTTAGGCCTGTGTGTTATAACTGTGTTATATCACATGAATTTGAAATAACTATTGTATTGGATTATTATACAGCATTAGGCTATGCGTTATAGAAATAGCATTGATCTCTTGAATCAATCAAACATTAACCTTGCTTTTGCTGCATAATGCTAATTTGTATAGATATAAGACAGGCTAAACAACACTCACATAGAAAGTATGCTATGACAATGGGATCAGCCAACTTGGACCTAGACATAACACAGTAAATGAAAATCCGTATTCAGAGACACTCAAATAAAAAATGTATGCACACATGACTGTAAGTCGCTTTGGATAAAAGCGTCTGTGAAATGGCATATTATTATTATTATTATTAAATTAGTATGATATGTTAGGTTTGGTATGGTATGTATTAATTTGTGAATGTCCATCATCCATTTCCTATGATATGTTATGAATTACAATGTGTATGATATGTTACGAATTACAATTTGTATGATATGTTACGAATTGCAATTCATACAATATGTTACGAATTTGCGATACGTATGATATCTTATGAATTCCAATTTGTTGTGGTCTAACTTTAGCTAGGTGGCTACGTGGCTAATGCTAACATTAGCTAGGTGGCTAATGTTAGCTAGGCTAGAAGTTAGGGTTAGGGTTAGGGGTTAGGTTAAAGGGTTAAGCTTAGGGTTAGGGGAAGAATTAGCTAACATGGTAGTTGCAAAGTTGCTAATTACCTAAAATACTCAAATTGTCTGTGATGAGATTTAAACACGCAACCTTTGGGTTGCTAGACGTTCTCAATGTATGTTATACGCCCACGTTATACTCGCACCCTGACCAACCACCCGCCTTTAGTTTTTGCCTTAAGTAACATTCTGTCTTATGTAACCATAACAAATGTAATATATCATGCTAATTTGAGTATCCCGGAGTTTCGTTTACTATGTTACGTCTAGTCTATGAGAGCAGGCTGGATCAGCGGTGACAAAATATAGCTTTTTTATTCCCAACTTGATGTGTGGTGCCAGCTGGCAGGCAAGTTATGCTGCATGTCAACAAATGGCCAGAAATCATAATTGGGAAATCAAATCCTCAGAAATAGATTTGTTAATGGCTAGAATTGATCGAAGGCTGATCAAAGTTCATCGATAGTCATCACAGCTAAACTTCTAGCCAATCTTAGCCTTGTAGAGGGAGAAACATCCTATTGGGAGGGGATAGAAACATGTGCAAGATGATATAGCCTACATAACTCTTTCACAGAGGAGAGGTTAGTCCAGACAGCAAAGTTAGAGATAGAAAAATGGTATTAATAAAGTTATCATCTCTAGTCTCAGCAGTATCGTATGGACAGGCTTTCTTAGGTCTGTGTAGTTTACTTATTTCCCTTATTGTTATATTGCTGATCCGGCAGCTTGTCAAGCAGAGGAGACCCCGAGGATTCCCTCCTGGACCGTCACCTATCCCTGTCATAGGGAACATTATGTCTCTAGCAACAGAACCGCACGTCTTTATGAAGAAACAGAGTGAAATCCATGGGCAGGTACGGTACTTACCTTATTGTGTCAAAATGTCTTGACTAACCCTCGGCATTTTTTTGTGTTGGCTACTTGTGTGCACACCCATGAAGGCTAGTTTGCTTGTGTTCAAGCCGGTTTAACTCTTGCGGTTTAGCCTATTGAGTGTTGCTTTATGAATACGGATTTTTGCATTACAATAGATGTATTTTATATATTACAAAACATAATCTCAAAGTCGCTTTAATTTCATTGGTGGAAAACAGTGCTTAATAAAGTTTGTAATGCATCATCCGGCATACACACACATACCAGAATTCCTAAGTGTGTCAAAGGTTACTTAGGGTGGACGCTCCATTCTTGTCCCTACATCCTGCCTTGCGTCAGCCTAGAAAAAAAACTCAGAAAAGTGAACAAAGGAGGCTCGGTATTCGCAAAGTTTTGGCAGGCTCCAGCTGCGCTTGCAGGGTTTCGAAAAATTGCCAAGGTCTGCTTAGTCAGCATGCCTCAGCAAATAGAGTCAGACTGCAGTGAGGACTACTTGCCTATCTCTAGACTAGCCTAATACATAATTTGCAGTTGAGATGTTATGTCATACTGGACTATAGTCTACTTTCTGGACCTATAGTCATATTCTCAAAATTCCCAAATTAAACATATTTAGGGAAAATAAATGGCATATTATCTTGGATGTGTATTTATTCAAGTATTTTATCTAAGATTTTCAGTCTTGATTTGGGAGGCTACTCAACAGTGGTGCTGAATGGATATGATGCCATCAGAGAATGCCTGTACCACCAGAGTGAGGTCTTTGCTGACCGGCCATCTCTGCCTTTATTTATGAAAATGACCAAAATGGGAGGTAAGAAAGTCAGTTATAAGGTATTCTGAAATATGCACATTATGACATTGTTATATTGTTATTAGTTATTACATGCAAATACAAGCTTGGTTTTATCCAACTCTCTAGGCTATTTGATGGTATTGAAATCAAAATAGGTCCACATATCCTGAAAATAATATTCAGTATCTTCACACATGCTCAGTAAGGTCTCATTATGTCTGCTCTAATCTCAATATCTTCCTTCTCAGGACTTCTGAATGCTAAATTTGGCAGAGGATGGATTGAGCATCGTAAACTGGCCTGCAACTCCTTTCGCTACTTTGGCAGTGTTCAGAAGCCCCTCGAACAGAAGATCTTGGAAGAGTGCATGTTTTTTGTGGATGCCATCGATGAGCACAAAGGGAAACCCTTTAACCCAAAGCACCTGGTGACCAATGCTGTGTCAAACATCACCAACCTCATCATCTTCGGCGAGCGTTTCACGTATGACGACTGTGACTTCCAGCACATGATCGAGATCTTCAGTGAGAATGTGGAGCTGGCCGTCAGCGGCTGGGCCTTCCTTTACAACGCCTTCCCATGGATCAAGTACCTCCCCTTCGGAAAGCACCAGAAGCTGTTCCGCAATGCAGCCAAGGTCTACAACTTCCTGGAGCAGATCATCGGGCGCTTCTCAGAGGGCAGAGTGTGCCAAGCCCCGCGCCACTACATCGATGCCTACCTGGACGAGTTGGAGCAGAGTGCTGGCGACTTGGGCACCACGTTTTCCAGGGAGAACCTGATCCACTCTGTGGGCGAGCTCATCATCGCAGGCACGGAGACCACCACCAACACCCTACGCTGGGCCATGCTCTACATGGCCCTCTACCCCAACATCCAAGGTCTGTGTGCTGCCTTATAGCACAGTAGGTCAGGGTCAATGCCTTGTTCTTACTCAGGCCTCATAGCACCCTGCCTTGTCCTCACTGTAGGTCTCATAGCCCTGCCTTGTCCTTACTGTAGGTCTCATATCACCCTGCCTTGTCCTTACTGTAGGTCTCATAGTCCCCTGCCTTGTCCTTACTGTAGGTCTCATAGTCCCCTGCCTTGTCCTTACTGTAGGTCTCATATCACCCTGCCTTGTCCTTACTGTAGGTCTCATAGTCCCCTGCCTTGTCCTTACTTAGGTCTCATAGTCCCCTGCCTTGTCCTTACTGTAGGTCTCATAGTCCCCTGCCTTGTCCTTATCCTTAGGTCTCATAGTCCCCTGCCTTGTCCTTACTGTAGGTCTCATAGTCCCCTGCCTTGTCCTTACTGTAGGTCTCATAGTCCCCTGCCTTGTCCTTACTGTAGGTCTCATAGTCCCCTGCCTTGTCCTTATCTGTAGGTCTCATAGTCCCCTGCCTTGTCCTTACTGTAGGTCTCATAGTCCCCTGCCTTGTCCTTACTGTAGGTCTCATATCTCATATAACCTCATCGTGTCAAGTGGCGCAAAAGACCTCCACAAGGTCCCTCCATCTCTTCCTGTCCTGGGCTATTTTATATCTCTTTTCAAATGAGTCCTATTCTGGTATTAAGCTCAGTTTCAACGGTTCGCTAACAGGTCATCCTTGGTCTTTCTTTTTCCTCTTCTCCTCCGGTGTCCAGTAAAGGGACTTGCCATGTCCTTATTTAACCTTTCTCCAAGCCATAATACACAGCAACTTGTATTTGCATAGGTTAGATAACTAAGGTATAGTTTGTTTGTGAACTTTTTATAGATTTTTTGGTTTCAACTGTACAAAGGTATACACTCCCTCCCCTTGGACAGTGAAGCTACAATTGTAAATGTGTCTCCATACTCCACCATTTTAGATTTGAGATCAAATATTTCATATTAGGTGACAGTACAGAATGTCACCTTTTATTTGAGGGTATTTTTTTAAATATATATATATGTTTTACAGTTTAGAAGTGAAAGCACTTTATGTAGCTAGTCCCGCCATTTGAAGATGTCATAAGTATTTGGACATGTTCACTTATAGTGTTTTAAAGTAGTCAAAAATGTAGTATTTGGTCCCAATTCCTTGCACACAATGACTACATCAAGCTGTGACTTTACAAACTTGTTGGATGCATTTACAGCTTGTTTTGGTTGTGTTTCGGATTATGTTTGGCCCAATAGGAAGTGAATGGTGAATAATGTAATGTGTAATTTTGTAGACACTTTTATTCTAAGTAAGTGGTAGCATCCATTAATGATGAATCTCATCATGCAGCCTTACAATGTATTAAAAATCCAAACATATAGCCCAATGTTTGTAGAACAACTACATTTACATGAATAACTCTAAATTAATTGTCTCCAAACCTATTTATTTGTTAACTGCTCAACACAGAATAGCCTCATGTGCGCACTCCCTCAAATCATTTGGAGACAATATTTATATTTTATTCAGCTTTGTTCAATTGTATTCTTCATACTATAAAATAATGCCACAGAATTATAAGCAAATCTTGTCTGCTAAATGAACTAGTGTAGCCCACAGCCATTTGGCATAGCCAGATCAGGACCTAACATAAGGACAACTCAGAGATGCTAAATGTGTTTATGTTAATTAACGGTCAATTACCGTGAGACAGTTATTTGCTTGACAATCACCGGCTGACGAAATATCGTGACCGCCACAGCCCTAATGCTACCGTGATTATGGATATCATGAATTAGAAATAAAATTACTCCAGTCATCATCCATCATTCATTTCTATTGGGCAAAACATTACCCCAAAAAACAACCAAAACAAACTCAAAATGCATCCAACGAGTGTGTAGAGTCACAAGCTTGATGTAGTCATTGCATGCTAGAAATATGGGACCAATACTAAACATTAGACTGCTTTAATACACTATAAGTGAATTTGTCCAAATACATATGACATCTTCAAATGGGAGGACTAGATATGTAAATATATATGAAAATACCCTCAAATGAAAGGTGACATTCTGTACTGTCGCCTCATATGAAACATTTGATAACAAATACAAAATGCTGGAGTATAGAGCCAAATGTAAAAATTTTGCTTCACTGTCCAAATACATATGGAGGGTGTATGTTTGTTTGTAATCAATAATAGTTGAGTAAGCAACTTTCATTTGCACTGTGTCTAAGTTTGGATTGATAATTGTGTTAACTTTTTTTGATTGATTTTTGTTTCAACTATTTCTCTACTAAGGTATACACTGAGGGTACAAAACATTATGCTCTTTCAGTGATATAGACTGACCAGGTTATTGATGTCACTTGTTAAATCCACTTCAATCAGTCAAATCAAATGTATCTATAATGCCCTTTTTACAACAGCAGATGTCACAAAGTGCTTATACAGAAACCCAGCCTTAAACCCCAAACAGCAAGAAATAATATAATAATAATATGCCATTTAGCAGACACTTTTATCCAAAGCGACTTACAGTCATGCGTGCATACATTTTTGTGTATGGGTGGTCCCGGGGATTGAACCCACTACCCTGGCATTACAAGTGCCGTGCTCTACCAGCTGAGCTACAGAGAAATGCAGATGTAGAAGCACGGTGGCTAGGAAAAACTCCCTAGAAAGGCAGGAACCTAGGAAGAAACCTAGAGAGGAACCAGGATCTGAGGTGTGGCCAGTCCTCTTCTGGCTGTGCCGGGTGGTGATTCTAAGAGTATGAAAATGTATGCACTCACTACTGTAAGTCGCTCTGGATAAGAGCATCTGCTAAATGACAAAAATGTACAAATGTAATTGTACATGGCCAGTAAGACCAGATCGTTCTTCAAGATGTTAAAACGTTCCTAGATGACCAGCAGTATCAAATAATAATGACAGTGGTTGTAGAGGGTGTAACAGGTCAGCACCTCAGGAACAAATGTCTGTTGGCTTTTCGTAGTCGAGCATTCAGAGGTCGAGACAGCAGGTGAGGTAGAGAGAGAGAGGGAGGGAGGGAGAGAGAGGGTCAAAAACAGCAGGTCCCGGACAAGGTAGCACGTCCGGTGAACAGGTCAGGGTTTAATTGTAACTGGATCAGCAGCACGAAAAGGTAGCACGTCTGGTGAACTGGTGAAGGTTCCATAGCCACAGGCAAAACAGCAGAAACTGGATCAGCAGCACGACCAGGTGGACTGGGGACAGCAAGGAGTCATCAGGCCAGGTAGTCCTGAGGTATGGTCCTAGGGCTCAGGTCCAGAGCGAGCGAGAGCGAGAGCGAGAGAGGAGAGAGAGAGAGAGAGAGAGAAAATTAGAGGGAGTATACTTAAGTTCACACAGGACACCAGATAAGACAGGAGAATTTCACCAGATAGGACAGACTGACCCAAGCACCCCGACACATAGACTATTGCAGCATAGATACTGGAGGCTGAGACGGGGAGGTGGGGGGTCAGGGGACACTGTGGCTCTGTCCGACGATACCCCCGGACAGGGCCAACCAGGCAGGATATCACCCCACCCCCTTTGCCAAAGCACAGCCCCCACACCACTAGAGGGACATCAACAGACCACCAACTTACTACCCTGAGACAAGGCTGAGTACAGCCCACAAAGATATCCTCCACCACACGAGCCAGAGGGGGCGCAAAACCGGACAGGAAGATCATGTCAGTGACTCAACCCACACAAGTCGAGTATAGTGAAAAAAGCCTGCCACTACGTGACACACCCCTCCTAGGGATGGCATGGAAGAGCACTAGTAAGCCAGTGACTCAGCCCCCGTAATAAGGTCAGAGGCAGAGAATTCCCCGGGGAGAGACGGAAGCCGGCCAGGCAGAGACAGCAAGTGCGGTTCGTCACTCCAGTGCCTTGCCGTTCACTTTCGCACTCCTGGGCCAGACTACACTCAATCATATGACCTACTGAAGAGATGAGTCTTCAATAAAGACTTATAGGTCGAGACCGAGTCTGCGTCTCTCACATGGATAGGCAGACCATTCCATAAAAATGTTGCTCTATAGGAGAAAGCCCTGCCTTCAGCTGTTCGCTTAGAAATTCTAGGGACAATAAGGAGGCCTGCGTCTTGTGACCGTAGCGTACGTGTAGGTATGTATGGCAGGACCAAATCGGAGAGATAGGTAGGAGCAAGTCCATGTAATACTTCGTAGGTTAGCAGTAAAACCTTGAAATCAGCCCTAGCCTTAACAGGAAGCTAAAAAGTAGAGAGGCTAGCACTGTAGTAATATGATCACATTTTGTGGTTCTAGTCAAGATTGTAGCAGCCGTGTTTAGCAGTAACTGAAGTTTATTTAGTGCTTTATCCGGATAGCCAGAGTAGAGCATTACAGTAGTCTAATCTAAAAGTTACAAAAGCATGGATTAGCTTTCCTGCATCATTTTTGGACAAAAGGTTTCTGATTTTTTGCAATGTTACGAAGATGGAAAAAAGCTGCCCTTGAAATATTCTTGATACGTTCGTCAAAAGAGAGATCAGGGTCCAGAGCAATGCAGAGGTCCTTCACAGTTTTATTTGAGACGACTGTACAACCATCAAGATTAATTGTCAGATCAAACAGCAGATCTCTTTGTTTCTTGGGACCTAGAACTAGCATCTCTGTTTAAAAAGTTTAAAAGTAAAACATTTGCCGCCATCCACTTCCTTATGTCTGAAACACAGGCTTCCAGGGTAGGCAATTTTGGGGCTTCACCATGTTTAATCGAAATGTACAGCTGTGTGTCGTCTGCATAGCAGTGAAAGTTGACATTGTGTTTCCGAATGACATCACCAAGAGGTAGAATATATAGTGAAAACAATTGTGGTCCTAAAACGGAACCTTGAGGAACACTGAAACGTACAATTGATTTGTCAGAGGACAAACCATCCAAAGAGACTAAATGATATCTTTCCGACAGATAAGATCTAAACCATGCAAGAACTTGTCCGTGTAGACCAAAGAGGGTTTCCAATCTCTCAAAAAGAATGTGGTTGATCAATGGTGTCAAAAGCGGCACTAAGGTCTAGGAGCACGAGGACAGCTGCAGAGCCTTGGTCTGACGCCATTAAAGGGTATTTTACCACCTTCACGAATGCAGTATCAGTACTATGATGGAGCATTTCGTATACATTATTTGTCTTCAGGAAGGCAGTGAGTTGCTGCACAACAGCTTTTTGTAAACATTTTGAGAGGAATGGGAGATTCGATATAGGCCGATAGTTTTTTTAATTTTCCAGGTCAACGTTTGGCTTTTTCAGGAGAGGCTTTATTACTGCCATTTTTAGTGAGTTTGGTACACATCCGGAGGATAGGGAGACGTTTATTATGATTAAAATAGCAGGGCCAAGCACAGGTAGTAGCTCTTTCAGTAGTTTAGTCGATTAGGCAGCTGGACCCTATTCAGTGTAGAACAAGGGGAGGAGACAGGTTAAAGAAAGATTTTGAAGCCTTGAGACAATTGAGACATGGATTGTATATGTGTGCCATTCAGAAAGTGAATTGGCAAGACAAAATATTTAAGTGCCTTTGAAGGGGGTATGGTAGTAGGTGCAAGGCACACCGGTTTGAACCGCAACACTGCTGGGGTTTTCACACTAAACAGTTTCCTGTGTATTTTAAGAATGGTCCACCACCCAAAGCACATCCAGCCAACCTGACACAACTGTGGGAAGGATTGGAGTCAACATGGGCCATCATCCATGTGGAACGCTTTCAACACCTGGTAGAGTCCATGCCCCGACAAACTGAGGATGTTCTGAGGGTAAAAGGGGGTGCAACTCAATATTAGGAAGGTGTTCTTAATGTTTTGTACACTCAGTGTATGTCTGTAGATACTAGATAAGAGTCGAGGAAGCAGATAGAACACTGTGATGATAAGGTATTGACAGTGTGCTGCTGGTGTTTCCTCTGTGTAGAGAAGGTGCATAAGGAAATTAACAGTGTGATGGGCAGTGGGAAGTCCCCCACGCTGGAGGACAAACAGAGGATGCCCTATGTGGAAGCAGTGCTACACGAGGTCCTGCGCTTCTGTAACATCGTGCCCCTGGGCATCTTCCGCGCCACCACTCAGGACACACTGGTGAGCGGCTACACCATCCCCAAGGGCACCATGGTCATCACCAACCTGTACTCTGTGCACTTTGATGAGAAGTACTGGTGCGACCCTGGAACCTTCTCACCACAGCGCTTCCTGGACAGCAATGGAAACTTTGTCCGACGGGAAGCATTCCTACCCTTCTCTCTGGGTGAGTCTGGCTTCTTTCCACTCTCAGGCCCCCAAAGAGAGTAGCACACTGTCTCTCACACACATACTGTACACACCCTCTCACTTGAATGCCTCTCCTCTTGCCTAATCCAAATGGTAATGCTTAAATACAGGGTTTAATAGTCATCATGGGCATGAAATTCCAATATATTAAAGAGATTCTTCTGTACGTTAGTATACTTTTTAGCCAGTAGTTCTGAAAGTAGCATTCATGAGCCAAAAGTGGTCCCTGAAAATTGCATACTACGTCACATGTGCAGATATGTGCACCACGTCATTGCTCTCTCTCTCTCTGCTGTGTCCACTGAGCTGGGCCCGCCCTGCAACCTCATCGGATAATGCTGGGCAGGCCTCTTGCTAGCTGTCACTCAAATGTGAGAGGCTGAAGCTCATTGGCTAGAACTCAGAGCCCACATGGAGGGAAATGTAGGGAAAATAGCACAGCACAGCTTCAATAAAACAGTCGCTTTCAAACTAGGGATTTCATGTCTAATTGAGGTAAGACAGTATTTCTGCTCATAGATTATGCATGTATGAACTACACATTGACACATCTAGCCCAAAGCGGGAGGTTTAAAAAATACTTTGTTAGTCGCCAAAGTACCAGAGCATGTCTTTAACTGTATTCCCCAGCTATGATCTCATTTAATTATACCTACAATGAGTCAAATGGAATAAAAGCTAGAGCCTCTCCGGTATAACAACAACCTTACGGGTAATGAAGGCCCAGTGATCCATCTGAGCACTTCAATAATAGACTGGTGAGCAAGCCTGTCCCTGGGGCTATTGCAGACTACAATGCTGCCATTAATAACGGAAAGTACTGTTAAGACAGAAAGATACCCCATGTCAGTTCAAACAAAACTCATTCTCTCTGTCATACCACCCAGAAATGTGGTTCCCTCTATTGCTCCTCAAGTTGCGCTGTGTATGCAAGTATAAACCTTTTCCCAGCCATATCATGTCATTGGATTAACCTATATCCAAATAAGGTAAACACTAAACAGCTGATAACAGTTATAGTAAAGGTTAAAGTAAACCTTTACTATCACTTAACAGATACATTGAGTACAGTAGATATGTTGTAATGGTTGAATGTTCACTGGAATACAATAGTCAGTAGTAGCTGGTGTCACTAAATCGGAGGACGGCTCATTGTAATGGCTGGAATGGAATGGTTTGATACCGTTCCGTTGATTTCATGTCAGCCATTACTACGAGCCGTCCTCCCTTCACCAGCCTCCTCTGAGTAGAGTAGATGATACAAAGTATGACATGATCTTCACAAAACTCAATCCATATTGTGTGGTTTGTCCTCAGGGAGGCGTCACTGTTTGGGCGAGCAGCTGGCCAGGATGGAGATGTTCCTGTTCTTCACCACCATGCTGCAGCGCTTCCACCTGCAGTTCCCCCCCGGCACAGTGCCAAGCCTCACCCCCAAACTTGGCATGACCCTGCAGCCGCTGCCTTACTCCATCTGCGCCGTCCGCAGGCAGCAGTGACAGATTCTCAGAATGCACTTCCCGAAGGGGTGGGGGGGGGGGTGGGTTGGGGGTTTAGTCAGAACAGAACAGGGGTCTAGGGCTTGGACTCCCACCCTGACCTCCAGGGTCTGAACTCCAGTGTTTTACACAGAACTGCTAGAATTCTAAACATCAGCCGATGGTTATTTCTGAGCAATTGCATGTTTGCACAACACCATTTGCAAAGTCATAGGATCACCAGAACTGTTACTGGCGAGATCCTGAAAGATCAGGTGGAACTTCTCAGTAAGTTTAATCGAGAAGATAAGCAGTGTGAATATTTAAACAATACACACACAAATATACTATGAATTAACCTTGAATTAGACTTTTTTATCTGTGTCCTTATAATCAAATGTCTCATCTTCCCTGCGGGATTATGTCAATGATTGACAGGATGGACCTCTATGATGGTTCACAGCCCTGTCTTCTCTCTCTCAGCATGCCAAAATGAGAAATGGGAACATTACCCACTGGGCACACACTGGTTGAATCATTGTTTCCACATCATTTCAATGAAATTACGTTGAACCAACGTGGAATAGACGTTGAATTGATGTCTGTGCCCTGTGGGTAGTTTCATCTGTTTCTAGTGTACACTTCAGCTGTTTCTACAGCACAGTGAAAATAAGTAGACTAGCAGCCTTTCCTAGAAGTCTCTGGACATGGTGTTTAGTCTGGTTCTGCGCCATGTAAAGCAGTCTGAACTAACAATGAACCCGATCTCTAGGGAAAAGCCTTCTCTCAGAAAGCTACTGCAATATCCATACTTTGAGAATGTCTTTATGTAATGGTGTCCTTTGTGATTTAAGTCAATTTTACTTTAGTCTATTATGGTCATACTTTGTTATAAGAACAATGCCATTTTGGTGCTATAGGTATCTTTTTTACAATGTTTATAGTTTGCTTTTCCTAAGAGCAATTCAAATTAAATATTTTTTATGCTGCTTGTTCTTTTTCTTCAACATTGAGCATCTATTCTGCTGACAGTATTTCTCTCAATAGCTTATAGGTCTATATTTTCTCTCCCACCCATGCAAAAAATCTTCATATCTAAACTACTGTACAGGACTAGAGTCAGACATGGACATTTGCACTGAGCAGGCAGAATGTGTCCAGACTGGATCGTCCAGGGATACACAGACACAGCCATTATAAATAATCTTAATGTGGTTGGAGCTGAGCCGGAGGGGTGTCACCCATTTCCTTCAGTGACCTCTCACTTCTACTCTTTACTCAACAGACCAAAGGGCTGGAAAAAGACTCCAATGCTGTGCTGTGCATACATCAGACTTACTGGGTAATATTTCATATTGATTTGATGCCTCTGGCTATTTTTGGCAGCCGGCATACCTCTATTAACTACTAACTGCACTTCTCAGAAAGTTATGCTGAGGTAGACAGACACTGCCAAGTCGCCTGGATGAGTGCCTTGTCTGTGTGCATTGGAAATGTTGAAACTGTGACATTGTAGTCATTTCAGCAAACATCAGCGTTCAAACTGTGGTTGTGGGAAGGAGGATCTAAACCCTTTAACAGTGGTGCCACCTACTTTTAAGGGCAAAGTTACAGTACTGTTACATTCAAGGGCATTTTTATGCCACACTCAGCACATATAGGCACACACAAACAGTTCCAATTGAGTAGGTGTGTGTATGTATCAATAAAATCATTTGAGAGAACAGTTATTTTAGGGATGGTGTTTTATGACAGCTATAAATAACAAAAATCAGTTTCCCCACAATTTTGATATGGTTGAATAGTTACAACAGACATACAGTACCAGTCAAAAGTTTGGACACACATACTCATTCAAGGATTTTTCTTTATTTTTACTATTTTCTACATTGTAGAATGAAGACATCAAAACTATGAAATAACACATATGGAATCATGTAGTAACCAAAAAAGTGTTAAACAAATCAAAATATATTTTATATTTGAGATTCTTCAAATAGCCACCCTTTGCCTTGATGACAGCTTTAAACACTCTTGGCACTCTCAACCAGCTTCACCTGGAATGCTTTTCCAACAGTCTTGAAGGAGTTCCCACATATGCTTAGCACTTGTTGACTGCTTTTTTCCCACCTGTCTAATGTCCATTGCTCGTGATTCTTGGCCCAAGCAGGTTTCTTCTTATTATTGGTGACCTTTAGTAGTGGTTTCTTTAGAGCAATTCGACCATGAAGGCCTGATTCACACAGTCCCCTCTGAACAGTTGATGTTGAGATGTGTCTGTGACTTGAACTCTGTGAAGCATTTATTTGGGCTGCAATTTCTGAGGCTGGTAACTCTAATGAACATATCCTCTGCAGCAGAGGTAAACTCTGGGTCTTCCATTCCTGTGGTGGTCCTCATGAGAGCCAGTTTCATCATAGCGCTTGATGGTTTTTGCGACTGCACTTGAAGAAACTTTCAAAGTTCTTGAAATGTTCCGTATTGACTGACCTTCATGTCTTAAAGTAATGACGGACTGTCGTTTGTCTTTGCTTATTTGAGCTGTTCTTGCCATAATATGGACTTGGTCTTTTACCAAATAGGGCTATCTTCTGTTTACCCCCCCCCACCTTGTCACACACACACCTTGTCACAACACAACTGATTGGCTCAAACGCATTAAGAAGGAAACAAATTCCACAAATTAACTTTTAAGAAAGCACACCTGTTAATTGAAATGCATTCCAGGTGACTACCTCATGAAGCTGGTTGAGAGAATGCCAAGAGTGTGCAAAGCTGTCATCAAGGCAAAGGGTGGCTATTTGAAGAATTTCAAATATAAAATATATTTTGATTTGTTTAACACTTTTTTGGTTACTACATGAATCCATATGTGTTATTTACATTTACATTTTAGTCATTTAGCAGACACTCTTATCCAGAGCGACTTACAGGAGCAATTAGGGTTAAGTGCCTTGCTCAAGGGCACATCGACAGATTTTTCACCTAGTCGGCTCGGGGATTAGAACCAGCGACCTTTCGGTTACTGGCACAAAGCTCTTAACCACTAAGCTACCTGCCGCCTATTTCATAGTTTTGATGTCTTCACTATTATTCTACAATTTAAAAAATAATAAAAAAGAAAGAAAAACCTTTGAATGAGTAGGTGTGTCCAAACTTCTGACTGGTAGTGTACATATCTCAATGTTACACAAGGATAACAGCCATTCATAGATGCTTTTATGACAAGAACATTAGAGGACACTGTGGTTCGTGAGACTGCACAGTGAGAAGCCAACAAACAAACTTTTACAACATAATGAGCCATAAAATGTGGGGGGAGGTGGCTGGGGGTTGTAGAGGCATCACAATTCGCCATCAGAACTTAAGAGACACGGTGTCGCTCATCCGAAAGGTCTGAAGGGCCATGGCTAGGAGTCGTGAGCTCTCCTTTCCACAACACCTGGGCTGGGCCGCACCGGCATCACTTTGAGCCTGCTGGGGGACATGGAGCTCAAAGAGTCCTCTGGGGCCAACCATAACAAACCCAGGGTTCAAGCCCAGTGTATGAGGGCCCAGAGGCTGAGCAGTGGGCAGTGAGCAGGGTCAGTTTGGCACTGGTTGGGTGGATGGGTGGACTGAGTAGACAACACAGAGTTAATAGAGATTACCAAGAGAGAGAAAGTGGTTATAATGAGGAGCAGGGAGACACTGAACCCAAAATAAAAACACCAAACCCCACATCTGTAGTATTAGATAAAAACTCTGGAAACAGGATGATAATTATAGGGTCTCAATGTACAATATATGTCAGCTGTGTGTAGAAAACAGATGCATTCTGTTGATTAATTAAAAAATAGAATATATTTATACAGTATATTTATATGCAGATATTCTTTTTTGTGCAGAGGCTAAACACTTGTTTGGTAGTAAAATGTGCACATTTATATATATTTTTTGTCTTTAAATATACTAGCTTGATTTACACTGCCTACTTGAGAACTTTCTTCTCCAGAGAAAATGACTTGATAGGGTGATAAGTGAGCTCGGCTTGCAGGTATTTTTTTTCTAGTGGAATGCCTAGAGTTCTTACAGACAAAAATATAGAACTATTAGTATTAAACCGCCTTATGGTATAGAGAATAAGACAATATAAAAACAAAAACAAAGTGAAACCCTGGATCACTTAACTCCTTTACACACTGGCCTGGTTGTGGGTTTGGCAAAGATCTATAGTTTTTGTCAAAACATCAGTGTCTGTAGAATGACTGAAATGAAATGAAGAGGTTAGCTAGACTGAGTATGTGTAAAAACAATGCCAACAGCAATGCACTCAAAAACACCTTTACCTATACTGGTACATGAATAATCATGGGATTTTACTGTACAAAATGTTGCCTTGCTGCAAACAGGTCTTTTGCAGTCAACTGACAATCAAGGATCCCAATTCTACAGTGAGGTCTTTAGAAGGTCAAGCAAACGGCGCCGCCAGCGGGGCAGCGGAGTTTGACAGAAACACAGGACATACTTTGCTCTATCACAGAGGAGCAGTTCAATTGCTTGAATGTGTTTGTTTTTCAAGTTGTTCATACAAAGATTAAAAACTATTTCAATCACCGAGATTGAATTATCTTTGATTGAAAAGCGTGTTTTAAAGTCAATGACTTAAATTCTTGCAAAATAATGATTCAACTTCACGAGAATCCTGAGTAACCGTGAAAAAATAGATATCATCAAAAGGAAAAAAGGAAAAAACATCCCTTCATTGGAACAACAGAGAACATCTCATCTCCGAGAACATTTCAATGATTGGCGACCAAGCGTTCCTGAAGAAAACACACACATACACACGCTCACACCAACTAAATTAAACCAACAAAAAAAAGAATGAAACATAAAAGGCAGGTGGTACACATGAATAAAAGGCATCAGAAACGATGCAGGTATAATGCTCATTTTCAGTCAGCATTTCCATAATGTCTCTGTGACTGAGTCAGTGATACAGTGTTTCGTGTCGCCAGCAAGGGGAGAGGACTGCACAGACCAACCTAGGGTCTGGACCAGGGGACTCAGTAAAGGTTCAGACAGGCACATTTGATATATAGATCTAGAATATTCCTGACAGTGAGCCTGAAATAGTCTCAGTCTCTTGTCTTTCCACGTTTGAACTGTTCGCTTTGGTAACGGATGTCAACCACGTCAAGGTGTTTTTTCTTCTCCTTCTATTGTAAATAATAGGATTTGTTTTAGTACCTAAGGAAGAGTTAAGTGCTCTGCGTTCAAGGCAGCGTTACAGCCAGATCACCATGGAGGGCACATCCAGACCCTTTCCTCTCTTCCTCTCCACACCAGTGTCCTCAGCTCTGGTGTTTGTTCTTGGTCTACTCTCCATGGGGTGAAAGTGCATAGGAGTGGGGCTCCCACCATTGCAGCAAGGATCCCCTCACAGTAGTAAGGCCTTTTTTTCAAAACAACATGACTGCATTAGCGTCTGAGTGTCGGCACAGTGACAATTTCAACGTGTGGAGATCCAGAAGGGTCATCCTGTATGTGTATGTGTTTGTGTATATGTCTATAGTTTGTGTGTGTACGTATGTGTTGTGTGTGTGTGTGTACAAATGTTTTTATTTGTGTGTGTGTGTGTGTGTAAGAGGGAGGAGTTGAAGGACTTTCTCCTTCACTGTTCCGCCCTTCCCGAGCATCCTGGCTCTGTCCCTCCTCCTCCTCCTCTTCCTCTTCCTCCTGCTACTGGCGCTCCTCTCCTTCCTCCTCCTCCTGAATGACTTGGATCTGGTCGTCAGAGGGTGAAGGGGGCAGGCTGGGAGGCAGGCTGTTGGCCTGCTGCTTCTCCTTGCTCTTCTCCTCCTCCTCGATGGTCTTCTTCCACACCTTGTGGTTCTCCGTCAGGTGCTGCATGATGTTGCAGAACAGCCGACGCCGGCCCTTTCTCCTTTCTGCATGGGACAACACACAAAAAAGGATTTAACATCCCATAGCTTTTTAGTCGCAATAGCAACAATCAAATAAACGTCCTGCTCTTGATGGAAATGTTAAATGCTCAATGTTAAAACGATAAATGTATTAATTCATAAATCATATATCAACTCAGAATGATAGAAGCGTGAAAAATGACATGTCTTACTTGGTTCGAGCTCCTCCTCCAACTCGTCTTCATCAGTCTCTGTGTCCTCTGCCTGCTCTTCCTCATCCTCATCCTCAGAGCGCTCCTCGTCGATCCAGTAGCCAGGGAGCAGGCCAGCGGCGTCGTACGAGTTGCAGAGCGGCCCCACGATGTGTGTGATGAAGGACTCCTGCAGCTTGGCCAGCTGGGGAGAGGAGCGGTCCATGAAGGGGCTGATGGGTAATCCCAAAGTGGCCTCCTCATCCCCCTGTAGATGATAAGACAGGCAGACAAACATTTTCAATAATTTGTCAATTAAGATTATTTTATTCATTAATCTACCGGTAATTTAACTTCACATCCTAAATGTTGATTCTAGCAGTAAGAGACAGCAGAAAATGAAGCAACAGTTCTGGGTAGGCTATGTCAGTGTTCCCCAACCCTGGTCCTCCATTACCCCCAACAGCACACATTTTTATTGGAACCCTGGACAAGCACACCTGATTCAACTTGTCAACTAATCATCAAGCCCTCAATGAGTTGAATGAGGTGTTTGTCCAGGCCTACTACAACAATGTGTACTGTTCGGCATACTCGAGGACCATGGTTGGGAAACACTGGGCAATGTGATATGTGAAGCAACAGTTCTGGGTAGGCTACAGTGAGGGAAAAAAGTATTTGATCCCCTGCTGATTTTGTACGTTTGCCCACTGACAAAGAAATGATCAGTCTATAATTTTAATGGTAGGTTTATTTGAACAGTGAGAGACAGAATAACAACAAAAAAATCCAGAAAAATGCATGTCAAAAATGTTATAAATTGATTTGCATTTTAATGAGGGAAATAAGTATTTGACCCCCTCTCAATCAGAAAGATTTCTGGCTCCCAGGTGTCTTTTATACAGGTAACGAACTGAGATTAGGAGCACACTCTTAAAGGGAGTGCTCCTAATCTCAGCTTGTTGCCTGTATAAAAGACACCTGTCCACAGAAGCAATAAATCAATCAGATTCCAAACTCTCCACCATGGCCAAGACCAAAGAGCTCTCCAAGGATATCAGGGACAAGATTGTAGACCAACACAAGGCTGGAATGGGCTACAAGACCATCACCAAGCAGCTTGGTGAGAAGGTGACAACAGTTGGTGCGATTATTCGCAAATGGAAGAAACACAAAAGAACTGTCAATCTCCCTCGGCCTGGGGCTCCATGCAAGATCTCACCTCGTGGAGTTGCAATGATCATGAGAACGTTGAGGAATCAGCCCAGAACTACACGGGAGGATCTTGTCAATGATCTCAAGGCAGCTGGGACCATAGTCACCAAGAAAACAATTGGTAACACACTACGCCATGAAGGACTGAAATCATGCAGCGCCCGCAAGGTCCACCTGCTCAAGAAAGCACATATACAGGGTCGTCTGAAGTTTGCCAATGAACATCTGAATGATTCAGAGGAGAACTGGGTGAAAGAGTTGTGGTCAGATGAGACCAAAATCGAGCTCTTTGGCATCAACTCAACTCGCCGTGTTTGGAGGAGGAGGAATGCTGCCTATGACCCCAAGAACACCATCCCCACCGTCAAAAATGGAGGTGGAAACATTATGCTTTGGGGTGTTTTTCTGCTAAGGGGACAGGACAACTTCACCGCATCAAAGGTACGATGGACGGCGCCATGTACCGTCAAATCTTGGGTGAGAACCTCCTTCCCTCAGCCAGGGCATTGAAAATGGGTCGTGGATGGGTATTCCAGCATGACAATGACCCAAAACATACGGCCAAGGCAACAAAGGAGTGGCTCAAGAAGAAGCACATTAAGGTCCTGGAGTGGCCTAGCCAGTCTCCATACCTTAATCCCATAGAAAATCTGTGGAGGGAGCTGAAGGTTCGAGTTGCCAAACGTCAGGCTTGAAACCTTAATGACTCGGAGAAGATCTGCAAAGAGGAGTGGGACAAAATCCCTCCTGAGATGTGTGCAAACCTGGTGGCCAACTAGTGATACTGTATAACAGGATGGCATGGCATTACATTACATTGCTAACCTGACATTTGGGCCATGCTGTGTGGAGGGGTTCCATACCTGCTCATAAAACTCATTGACAATGCCTTCTGTCCACTTGAGGTGCAGATCACGCCCTTTGGCCGGCCCGTTGATGTCTGCCAGCTTAATGCAGACTTGGCACACCAGCAGCCGGTCATTCTCATTAGTCCAGTCGATTCCTGGACTGTTCACATCATTCACCTATATATAGCAACACAAACATTCACACAGTGATTATGACTGCCAGGCTCCTCATTTCTAATATAAATGCAGCGTGTTCTTTTAAGTATCAACTCTATTAGCCATTTAGATAAGACTTATTGTTATTGCCTTTGCCAGTATCGAAATGACAGGAAAAACAAAAACTAAGTATCAACAGAATGGCAACAGATTTTCTGAGAATGTGAGGTTCGTCATCATCATCTCAAACCTTTGAATTGAACTCGGCAAGGAAGTCAAAGTGCTTCTTCAGGTCTGTGGCGAGGATGGCCTCAATGACCAGGAAGCGAAAGCGTTTGAACTCCACGTGGTCCAGGTTGGCCAGGAAGTTGAACTCTGGCCGGGACAGGTAGAGGCTCCAGGCCGACGCAGCGTGGTGGTTCTCCAGGACAGAACGGTCATTATACAACACAGCCTGGTGAACAGAGGGATGTGACAGAGGTAGAGGAGAAGGAGAGGATAGGTGGATGAGGGAAGAAGAGAGTGTGTAGTGGAGAGGGATGCGGGTGGGGTCAGAGGACAAGAAGAAGAAAGGAGAGGGTAAAATGGGAAAGAGGAGGTTGAAGAAGAGAATGGTAAAATAAGGAGGGGTGAGCAGGTGAGAGGAATTGGGGTCAGTGTGCTTCAGACTAAATAATGCAGCCAGTCTAGAAATGGTGGCCAGGTGGGTGATTGACTGACTGTCAACATACTGTTAATCAATATGTCAGGGTTGACTCTCTTTTCAGGAAATCCTTTTCCTGGGACATTTACACAACCCAGACAGTATGCACAGTGCTATAATCGTTCATGACACTGCAAAACACTATTTATACAGTGGTATAGTTTGTTTGCCAACCTTTGCCATAATGTTGCAGCAAGAAAAGGAATTCGCAGAATTCTCAGGATTTGTGGGAACCTTTCCCTGACATGTGAACTAAATGTAATATTATACCAGTCCCTCTCTTCATTACTTTTACCATGAGATCCAAGACTGATTAGAACCTGCCTATGTAGAAGCCTTTAGGCCAATAAACATCTCATCTATGAGTCACAGGGACCAAATGAATGCTGTCTGTGACACAAACAAAACACTTCCCCTTTCGTAGGTCTTAACAGCATGTGGGAACACAAATGGGAACTTACTGAAGTGACAGGATAGGTTGAACTTTCTCTTCCTGATACAGGTTTTACTGTTGAACAGGTGTGGGTTAGCTAGCTGAGATGGTAGAGCAGTGGCTTTGGGGATAATAAGACTTACCTGAGCTGCGTTAGTGGCTACGAGGAAGGCGTTTGTGCGACCAGGGTGGTCATAGTCATGCATTGCAGCTGCTACATATAGTGCCATGAGTTCCAGAGCAGGGATGTTCCATGCCAGGCAGCCGTAGCTGTCGTCAGAGATGGACGAGCTCTTGGAGGAGGCGTATGATACCCGACCCGGCGAGATCCCACTGTCTGAATCTAGAGAGAAGACACAGACAGCTGCTTTCAGCTACGACATACTGGGACCTCACACTGACACTACATCATAACTGGAGTTTACTGGAGAAGACTTGACTGTATTATAAAGTGAAAACAGGGAACTAGTTTGTAGAGTAGGAAGTGTACAGGCAGGTTAAGCTGGTGGCCCAGTGACTCAGACTACTGCACTCCATTAGAAAAATGAAAAGGCCCAAAATAAGCCCTAAACACGCTGAGCTCAGCACAGACAGATCTCTATCACGACAGAGGCTTGCTCACCACCCCATCTCCCCCCTCTCTCTTCCTCTCTGTTTCTCCACCCTTCCATCCCCCTCTCTTTATCAGAAGGCAGCTGCTCCTCTGGCAGCTACTGAAGGATCGGTCAGCAAGCGAGCCTTAAATAATTTCCGATGGATCAAGGAAGCAGTACATAAAATATAATTAGCAGGGACGGGACTGGGGATCCAGGCATTTTAAACTAAACCATCTGGTGTCTGCCGAGAAAAGGCCACACACTACAGGAATGCCTACACTGGTACATCAAGAGGCTATCATAGAACTAGAAAAGTACATTTCCTAAAGAAAATGTGTGCTTGCTAGCATGTCTTAAAGTATTTATGGTTGTGAAATAAGTTAGAGTAGTTATAGTGACTACAATACTAACACTACTGGTTAAAGTAGAAAAAGTAGCTAGATGGGAGAATTGAATGATTGGTTGATAGAATAGCCTACCATGAACATGTGAAAGTTGGTTTGGTGTCTCTAGGTTGAACAGTTCAAGAGTTACTAGTATTATTGGTGGGTTATTAAATGCCAATTTATGCTAATTTGAATTGTTATAGTTTATAACGTTTTGAAGTTGTTTTAATGTATGTAGCTGAAATGGTTAAAGAGCAGTAGCATTGCAAATGACTACCACTGTGTTCTCATGGTTGAAATTGAATCCATTAAGTGTTATGCTAATTTATTATACATTAAAATAGTTTATGAAGGTGTGTTAGAGCATTTTAAGTTAGGATAGCCTGAATGTTTTAAAGTTGGTCTTGTAACTTAATTTTGCTACCACTGTATTTCTATGGTTCTCATTCAAACCCCATGTTAATTAATTTTGCTTGGAAAATGTTTAAGTTGTTTTAATGTTTGTGGTTGAAATGGTTAAAAAGCAGTAGCATTTAAAATGTCTACCACTTCTTATGGTTGGCAATGAATCCATGTTATGTAAATCTATGCAAATGAAAATGGTTTTATAGTTTATAAAGGTTTTAAAGAATTTGAAGTCTGAACATTTGAAAGTTGGTCTTGTAGATTAATTTGTTATAATAAAAAAAGTATAAATCGTATAAAAAATCTGTATAAAATCTAAGTAGGGTCAGTCTGAACATTTCAACATTGGTTTAGCATTGATAGCTTAAACGGTGAAAGAGGAGATAGGTCTAGAATTCTTGCCATTGAAATACATTGGAGATCATTTTAAATATTGTTGTAGTTCAAAAATTATAAATGACATAAGAAACATTTTGTCAAGCAATCTAAGTTGGGGCAGTCTGCACATTTGGAAGTTGGTTTCTTGTTAAAAAGCTTCAATTGTTTTAGCTCTAGAGCGGGCGGAAGAAATCAAATAATAAGAGTATGTAAGAAATCTAGAGCGGTCTTGCCTTCAGCAAGCACACTAATAATAAGAAGTATGTGTGAAATCTAGAACAGTCTTGCCTTCAGTAAGCACACTAATAATAATAAGTATGTAAGAAATCTAGAACGGTCTTGCCTTCAGCAAGTTCACTAATAATAAGAAGTATGTAAGAAATCTAGAACGGTCTTGCCTTCAGCAAGTTCACTAATAATAAGAAGTACAGTGAGGGAAAAAAGTATTTGATCCCCTGCTGATGTTTGCCCACTGACAAAGAAATGATCAGTCTATAATTTTAATGGTAGGTTTATTTGAACAGTGAGAGACAGAATAACAACAAAGAAATCCAGAAAAACGCATGTCAAAAATTGTATTAATTGATTTGCATTTTAATGAGGGAAATAAGTATTTGACCCCTCTGCAAAACATGACTTAGTACTTGGTGGCAAAACCCTTGTTGGCAATCACAGAGGTCAGACCTTTCTTGTAGTTGGCCACCAGGTTTGCACACATCTCAGGAAGGATTTTGTCCCACTCCTCTTTGCAGATCTTCTCCAAGTCATTAAGGTTTCGTCTCTCCACAGATTTTCTATGGGATTAAGGTTTGAAGGAGGTTCTCACCCAAGATTTGACGGTACATGGCCCCGTCCATCGTCCCTTTGATGCGGTGAAGTTGTCCTGTCCCCTTAGCAGAAAAACACCCCCAAAGCATAATGTTTCCACCTCCATGTTTGACGGTGGGGATGGTGTTCTTGGGGTCATAGGCAGCATTCCTCCTCCTCCAAACACGGCGAGTTGAGTTGATGCCAAAGAGCTCCATTTTGTTCTCATCTGACCACAACACTTTCACCCAGTTCTCCTCTGAATCATTCAGATGTTCATTGGCAAACTTCAGACGGGCCTGTATATGTGCTTTCTTGAGCAGGGGGACCTTGCGGGCGCTGCAGGATTTCAGTGTGTTACCAATTGTTTTCTTGGTGACTATGGTCCCAGCTGCCTTGAGATCATTGACAAGATCCTCCCGTGTAGTTCTGGGCTGATTCCTCACCGTTCTCATGATCATTGCAACTCCACGAGGTGAGATCTTGCATGGAGCTCCAAGCCGAGGGAGATTGACAGTTCTTTTGTGTTTCTTCCATTTGTGAATAATCGCACCAACTGTTGTCACCTTCTCACCAAGCTGCTTGGCGATGGTCTTGTAGCCCATTCCAGCCTTGTGTAGGTCTACAATCTTGTCCCTGACATCCTTGGAGAGCTCTTTGGTCTTGGCCATGGTGGAGAGTTTGGAATCTGATTGATTGATTGCTTCTGTGGACAGGTGTCTTTTATACAGCTAACAAACTGAGATTAGGAGCACTCCCTTTAAGAGTGTGCTCCTAATCTCAGCTCGTTACCTGTATAAAAGACACCTGGGAGCCAGAAATCTTTCTGATTGAGAGGGGGTCAAATACTTATTTCCCTCATTAAAATGCAAATCAATTTATAACATTTTTGACATGCGTTTTTCTGGATTTTTTTGTTGTTATTCTGTCTCTCACTGTTCAAATAAACCTACCATTAAAATGATAGACTGATCATTTCTTTGTCAGTGGGCAAACGTACAAAATCAGCAGGGGATCAAATACTTTTTTCCCCTCACTGTATGTATGAAAATCTTCAGCAACCACACTAATTATGTTAATAAATATGTGGCATATTGTGGTATTTTATGGAAATAAATGAGGGCTTGGGGAAGTCCAGAACTATACCTACTGAGGCAAAATGAAATAAAGGGAACAGAAATAGTGCTACCTGTGTCACTTCCTGTCACATGCTCGTTGTGGATCTGCTGGAACCCTGGGACAGGCCGGGTGGTCAGGTACCAGACAGCATGGAGCACATCAGTGGCATGGACCCGGTTATGATCTGAGTACAGGCAGAGATTCACACAGGACATCACACATCAGTCACAGTAATACTTCACACTCACCACATGTACATGAGGTAGAAGCTACTATTACATATGATGGTGCATGTCTGCATGTCATGCTGTATGTAGTGAACTGTCAGGTACTGTAGGCCTATTATGGGGATTCATTTCTACTTCATGACAACCCTATGGTTAGTTTCTAGACCTGGGTTAAATAATTTCAAATAATACTTGAACTGGGCATGATTTAGCTGGAATAGTCTAAACTAGCGTAATTAAGCTACATTAAGCGCACTTCTCATACTTTAATGTTTATTTTTTATTTTGTTAATTTTTTTACCCCCCTTTTTCGTCATATCCAACTACGATCTTGTCTCATTGCACCAACACCCCAACGGGCTCGGGAGAGGCGAAGGTCGAGCCATGCGTCCTCCGAAACATGACCCGCCAAACCGTGCTCCGTAACACCCGCCCGCTTAACCCGGAAGCCAGCCGCACCAATGCATCGGAGGAAACACCGTTCAACTGACGACCGAAGTCAGCCTGCAGGCGCCCGGCCCGCCACAAGGAATCGCTAGAGCGCGATGAGCCAAGAAAAGCCCCCCTGGCCAAACCCTCCCCTAACCCGGACAACGCTGGGCCAATTGTGTGCTGCCCTATGGGACTCCCGGTCACGGCCGGTTGTGACACAGCCTGGGATCGAACCCGGGTCTGTAGTGACTCCTCAAGCGTCACGATGCAGTGTCTTCGACTGCTGCGCCACTCGGGAGGCCCATACCTTCATGTATTTGACCCAGGTCTGATCATTTCTACATCTGAGTAGACAATACACCAAGTGTTAATATGGGCTTTGTGCCTGGACTGAAGAAAGCATAGGCAGCACTATACTCACAGGGAATATCCCTATAGCCGTTCTCCAGTGCACAGAAGTAGGACATGAACTCCCTCACAGGGATCTTAAACATCTCAAACAGACAAGTGTCCTGGAACAGAGTGTAGGTCACCTGGGGAGAAAGACAACACATAAAACACCTATGTTAATTTAAAACCCAAATCAAAACAATACACATTAACCAAGTCTTTCCCCTCAGAGACAGACAGTGAGACACTGGGAGAACACAGTGTACTCAAAACAGCACATAGAGAAATCACCAAGAACACTATGAGCATTCGGGACATCATTCAGTCAAATATCAGTAATGGGGATCATACTGTTTTCAACATTCAAAACAATCAGTCAAGTGAGTTTCTCCAAATAAATACATTCAATGGCTGCATCACAAAACTACTTTTGGGCCTGTGGGCCCTGATCAAAATTAGTGCACTATATAGGGAATAGGGTGCCATTTGGGATACAACCCAGGTGTTGCTTATTCAAATATGAATAGATGTAACAGATCATGGAGTAATGACAGATAGATGGTTGCTATATGGTTGGTATGTGGTTGTACTGACGTAGCTGAGTATTCTTCCTGTCTTCCCTCCTGTTCTGTCCATCAGGTCAAAGATCTGGAAGTTCCAACTGTTGATCTTCTCCATGAGTTCATCGTGGTTCTCCAGCAGGGGGTCTAGTCTGAACTCACCCTACAGGCAGGAGAGGACCACAGCACACACACATTTTAAACACACACACACATTTTTAAGACACACATACGTTTAGATGAACACACATGCAGGCAGGCACGCACGCAGGCATGCACGCAGGCAGGCAGGCAGGCAGGCAGGCAGGCAGGCACGCACGCACGCACGCACACACGCACACACACACAAACATTAAAACACACACTCATTAAAACACATACAGTACCAGTCAAACATTTGGCCACACCTATTCATTCAAGGGTTATTCTTTATTTTTACTATTTTCTACCTTGTAGAATAATAGTGAAGACATCAAAACTATGAAATAACACATATGGAATCATTTAGTAACCCAAAAAGTGTTTAAAAAATCTAAATATATTTTATATTTTCGATTCTTCAAAATAGCCACCCTTTGCCTTGATGACAGCTTTGCACACTCTTGGCATTCTCTCAACCAGCTTCACCTGGAATGCTTTTCCAACAGTCTTGAAGGAGTTCCCACATATGCTGAGCACTTGTTGGCTGCTTTTCCTTCACTCTGTGGTCCGACTCATCCCAAACCATCTCAATTTGGTTGAGGTCGGGGGAATGTGGAGGCCAGCTCATCTGATTCAGCACTCCATCACTCTCCTTCTTGGTCAAATAGCCCTTACACATCCTGGAGGAAAACAAATTATAGTCCCACTAAGCCCAAACCAGATGGGATGGCGTATCGCTGCAGAATGCTGTGGTAGCCATGCTGGTTAAGTGTGCCTTGAATTCTAAATAAATCACAGACAGTGTCACCAGCAAAGCACCCCCACACCATCACACCTCCTCCTCCATGCTTCATGATGGGAACTACACATGCAGAGATCATCCGTTCACCTACACTGCGTCTCACAAAGACACAGCGGTTGGAACCAAAAATCTCAAATTTGGACTACAGACCAAAGCACAGATTTCCACCGGTCTAATGTCCATTGCTCATGTTTCTTGGCTCAAGGAAGTCTCTTCTTCTTATTGGTGTGCTTTAGTAGTGGTTTCTTTGCAGCAATTCGACCATGAAGGCCTGATTCACGCAGTCTCCTCTGAACAGTTGATGTTGAGATGTGTCTGTTACTTGAACTCTGTGAAGCATTTATTTGGGCTGCAATTTCTGAGGCTGGTAACTCTAATGAACTTATCCTCTGCAGCAGAGGTAACTCTGGGTATTCCTTTCCTGTGCTGGTTCTCATGAGAGACAGTTTCATCATAACGCTTGATGGTTTTTGCGACTGCACTTGAAGAAACTTTCAAAGTTCTTGAAATTTTTCCAGATTGATTGACCTTCATGTCTTAAAGTAATGATGGACTGTCGTTTCTCTTTGCTTATTTGAGCTGTTCTTGCCATAATATGGACTTGGTCTTTTACCAAATAGGGCTATCTTCTGTATACCACCCCTACCTTGTCACAACACAACTAATTGGCTCAAACGCATTAAGAAGGAACGAAATTCCACAAATTAACTTTTAACAAGGCACACCTGTTAATTTAAATGCATTCCAGGTAACTACCTCATGAAGCTGGTTGAGAGAATGCCAAGAGTGTGCAAAGCTGTCATCAAGGCAAAAGGTGGCTACTTTGAAGAATCTCAAATATAAAATATATTTTGATTTGTTTAACACTTTTTTGGTTACTACATGATTCCTTATGTGTTATTTCATAGTTTTGATGTCTTCACTATTATTCTACAATGTAGAAAATAGTAGAAATAAATAAAAACCCTTGAATGAGCAGGTGTGTCCAAACTTTTGACTGGTACTGTACATTAACACACACACAGACACACATTAAAACACACAGACACAACACATTAACACACACAGGCACATTAACACACACACACACACACACACACACAAACACACACACACAGGCCCGTAGACAACCAGACTATCCAAAACACCACATCGCAACTCTTATGAATCTCATTCCTCTGATATGGGGATGAAAGCAGGCTCCAGACTGACTATGTGTGCGTTGCTTTTGAATGATTCACTTTAGAATTACCCCACAGAATCCTCAGATGAACCCTACTCAGTTGTCTTAACAGCTGGCTTGATTTAACAAGGCTTGGTTTGTCCAATAAAGAAAGTGAGAGCACAGCCCAAGTAAACAGAGGGGGCATTCCAGGACAGAGCCAGATCAACACTACCCCCATCACACTGGGTTTACACGGCTGTTAGCTACATCACAACAGACTGAAAGACATGCACCCAATGAGTGTCTGAGGAAAACCTTTGCCGTATTCCCAGAACTAACTAGAGGACACATACTATAGCTAGCTACTCTGTTACATGTGTTGGCCTGATTGTGTTATCTCACTCAGAGGGAGTCTCCTGGTTGGGATAGTGCAGCGGCAGCAATGCTACACACAGGAAGGCTAACGAACGCTGTAAGGTGTTAATACTGACTGAGACATATCCCTTCAAAGCTACTGTTATTTAACATTAGTCTAATGTTAGTGTAGCCTACCTCTGTTTCTTAAGTCTGCAGCTCTGTGACGTTAGCCTAGCAGTAGGGTGCATTCACACTGAGCAACACAGAGTAAAATGACAGAGCCAACTCAATGTATTTCAATGGGGAAGGCGCGCTGGAGTAGCGGAGGGGAGGCGTGTCAGGTTGCATGAGGTTGTGCTAAACAACGCACTATCAATATGCTCTCAAAAGGTACATAATTCATACTCCTCCGTTAGCTCTGCGTGGGAATGCCCTCTTAGCATACTGTAGCATTAGTGCTGCGTACCGCTGTTTCCTGAGTCTGCTGCTCTGTGGTGGGGCTCTGCTCCTCCTCATCTGTCTGGCCCCGGCTCCCTGCATCTGGACTCCTGTCCCCCGTCGACTCGGCCTCCACACTCTCCTCCCTGATCAGTGCCTCCCCCATGAACTCTGACCCCTCACCTGCTGTGGAGGAGACACATTGCACATCACAGTGAGTTGACAACTGGTTTAACATTTAGGTGTGAAGCATTATTCTAATGAATTGACTCTCTGATTCAGCAGGTTTTCAATCTTTTGAGAGTGGAAACAGTAAGCTAAGTCATGGGTGTGTGCACAAAAACACTGTGCAGCCTATGTGTCTGTACAACATACTTCCATTCCAGTTAATGATGCTGGTGAGTTTGTGTTGCGAGAGTGAGGCTACATTCCAGCAGGTGTCATACCTGAGCGTCTGCGCTGGGCCTCAGCATGACCAGTGAACGGCAGGTGTCCCTCCCCCGCCTCCATACTGGGCATGTTCTTCAGCATCTGACGACCACAGCTACCGCGTGAGCAGGGGGACAAACACAGCCACCAACATCATCAATACACATGGTGAAATGCAACTCTACAGCAGAACTGGCTCTACAACAGTAGGATATAATGGAGGGGGTAGGGGAAGAGGGTAGTAGATTGCCCTACCTGGTGCACAGGGCCGCGGGGCTGCGGTAGGGCCCCTGGAAGTCAGGGGAGCTGAGGATGTAGCCCAGGGGCTTGTGCAGGTTGACGCTGGGCTTGGTGAGGAAGTCAGCCGTGTCAGGGAACTCCACCGGGGGGCGCGTGACCTGGGAGGATGGACCTCCCCCCGGTGGACAGTGGCTGGGGGAGCTGACAGGACTCAGACTGGGGGACGCACCTAGAGAGAGAGAGAGAGAGAGAGAGAGAGAGAGATAGGAGAGAGAGACATTTACATTTACATTTTAGTCATTTAGCAGACGCTCTTTTCCAGAGCGACTTACAGTTAGTGAATACATATATTTTTTTTTTTTCTTTTTTTTTTCTTTTTAATCATACTGGTCCCCCGTGGGAATCGAACCCACAACCCTGCCGTTGCAAACGCCATGCTCTATCAACTGAGCTACATCCCTGCCGGCCATTCCCTCCCCTACCCTGGACAACGCTGGGCCAATTGTGCGCCGCCCATTAGTCTCCCGGTCGCGGCCGGCTGCGACAGAGCCTGGATTCGAACCAGGATCTCTAGTGGCACAGCTAGCACTGCGATGCAGTGCCTTAGACCACTGCGCCACTCAGGAGACAGAGAGAAAGTAAGAGAGAGAGAGAGCTAGTCAAACAACTTAAAAACACATTTCACTTCCACACAGTAAATCAGACTTGTGTGTATAGTAAATCCTCATGGTCTCACCTGCTCTCCTGGGCCCGGCATGGTAGGTCAGGGTCACAGAGGAAGACCTCTGCTTAGGGATGGTCAACAGGTTAGCATTGGGCCCATTGGACAGAGACCCCGGGCTGGAACACACACACAAAACATGGCACTTACTGCTTGAATTAATGAGACAACATCAGTTAAAATGCTTTCATATTCAATGTACACCATTATAAAGATGAACTTTTTCACACCCGCTCTTATGTCTAAAGATGAACTGCTTAGAGAAATGTTACATAGCATACAGTAACTCATTTGATGCTCAAAGTAAGACAATGAAAATCAATGTTGAAAATGTATCCTTCCAGAAGACAAAGATCCCTAAAAGATCAAAGATCACTAAAATATCAAGTGAGTCATCTAAACATTTTTGGAACAAAGAGAATGAAGGAATGTTATGGTCATTATCTGTTAGGCAATCAGCTTACAGATCTTGATCACTACTGCCTCCCAGTGGATATAAAGGAGAATTACATCTGCAGGGAGATTAATCAAAGACTGATGGTAACAAAGAATGTGTTGCTGAGGGAGGGCCTGTTTGTTAATGTCAGGGTAAAGATGGGGAGTGTGCCATGTTGAAAATGCCCTGACCATTAAAGATATTCTCTGGTACTTTTGTATACTTTTTAGCCAGCAGTTCTGAAAGTAGTGCCCACAAGCAAAAAATGGTCCCCGAAAATTACGTGCTACCTCGTAAATGTACAGATTTGTGCACCACGTCATTGCTCTCTCTCTCTACTGTGTGTGCGTCTTGCTAGCTGTCACTCAAATGGTGAGGGGCTGACGCTCATTGGCTGAAACTCGAATTGCTAGGGGGCTGGCCCACGTGGGGGTAAATGTAGGGAAAATGGCGCCACACAGCTTCTAAAAAAAACAGTCGCTTTCAAATTAGGGATTTCGTGGCTAATTGAGGAAAGACAGTAATTCTGCTCATAGATTATGCATGTATGAACTGCACATTGACACACTTAGCCAAAACCGTGAGGTTTATAACACTACCGGGGCATGTCTTTAACCTGGTGGCACTGAGGTCAGGGGGTGTCTGAACTCTGAAGTCCCACCTGATGGTGATCGTACCTGGTCATATTGAGGTCAGGGTGGGGTCCCGGTCTCTTGCCGTTGTTGCGTTCCCAGCGGGAGGAGGCCGACTCCAGAGGGGGGAGAGGGGAGGAGGTGGAGCCCCGGCGGAGTTGGGGGGTGGGCAGGCTGTTCCTGCTGCTAAGACCCTGGGTGTGTGGAGGGGAGGAGGGAGACATTATTACATTTTGGTCAATGATGCTACAGCACAGTCACAGGCAGATGGAAACTCAGCAAAAAAAGAAAGGTCCCTTTTTCAGGACCCTGTCTTTCAAAGATAATTCGTAAAACTTCACAGAAAATAAAATAACTTCACAGATCTTCATTGTAAAGGGTTTAAACACTGTTTCCCATGCTTGTTCAATTAACCATAAACAATTAATGAACATGCACCTGTGGAACGGTCGTTAAGACACTAACAGCTTACAGACGGTAGGCAATTAAGGTCACAGTTATGAAAACTTAGGACACTAAAGAGGCCTTTCTACTGACTCTGAAAAACACCAAAAGAAAGATGCCCAGGGTCCCTGCTCATCTGCGTGAACGTGCCTTAGGCATGCTGCAAGGAGGCATGAGGACTGCAGATGTGGCCAGGGCAATAAATTGCAATGTCCTAAGACAGCGCTACACGGAGACAGGACGGACAGCTGATCGTCCTCGCAGTGGCAGACCACGTGTAACAACACCTGCACAGGATCGGTACATCCGAACATCACACCTGCGGGACAGGTACAGGATGGCAACAACAACTGCCCGAGTTACACCAGGAATGCACAATCCCTCCATCAGTGCTCAGACTGTCCGCAATAGGCTGAGAGAGGCTGGACTGAGGGCTTGTAGGCCTGTTGTAAGGCAGGTCCTCACCAGACATCACCGGCAACAACGTCGCCTATGGGCACAAACCCACCGTCGCTGGACCAGACAGGACTGGCAAAAAGTGCTCTTCACTGACGAGTCGCGGTTTAATCTCACCAGGGGTGATGGTTGGATTCGCATTTATCGTCGAAGGAATGAGCGTTATGCCGAGGCCTGTACTCTGGAGCGGGATCGATTTGGAGGTGGAGGGTCCGTCACGGTCTGGGGTGGTGTGTCACAGCATCATCGGACTGAGCTTGTTGTCATTGCAGGCAATCTCAACGCTGTGCGTTACAGGGAAGACATCCTCCTCCCTCATGTGGTACCCTTCCTGCAGGCTCATCCTGACATGACCCTCCAGCATGACAATGCCACCAGCCATACTGCTCATTCTGTGCGTGATTTCCTGCAAGACAGGAATGTCACCGCTCTGCCATTGCCAGCGAAGAGCCCGGATCTCAATCCCATTGAGCACGTCTGGGACCTGTTGGATCAGAGGGTGAGGGCTAGGGCCATTCCACCCAGAAATGTACGGGAACTTGCAGGTGCCTTGGTGGAAGAGTGGGGTAACATCACATGTCTGTGGAACTTGTTCAGTTTATGTCTCAGTTGTTGAATCTTGTTATGTTCATACAAATATTTACACATGTTAAGTTTGCTGAAAATAAACGCAGTTGACAGTGAGAGGACGTTTCTTTTTTTGCTGAGTTTATATTCAGCACACTACCAGGCTACATAGAGTAGAGCAGGTTCAACTAAAAACAAAAAAACCATGTCTACATAACACTGGTGAACATATAGAAGAGGAACGTTCATTATGAGGATAAGATACCATGTATAAGTGGATAAGATACCATGTATAAGTGGATAAGATACCATGTATAAGTGGATAAGATACCATGTATAAGTGGATAATGTGTTAGTGGATAATGTGTTAGTGGATAATGTGTTGGCCTGCTAGTCTCAGCAGGCTTCTGTCTGTGTGTTAGTTATGACCTGCTAGTAACACATTCAGAAGGCTGCTGGAGGGCCTACCTTCAGGGGCTTCCTGTCGCCCCTCTCTGCAGGGTCCTCCACCTCGGTACAGGAGTAGAAACCTGGGAAGGGGGTGAAGGGGTTGACCCTGGGCCGACAGGAGCCAGAGAAGGTCCCCATGAGGCTGCTGACGCTGCGCAGGGAAGAGACAGTGTGGGGCGACAGGGACGAGTCCATCAGCAGGTCAGACACCATGTTCCTGGCCTCGTTGATGACCGATAAGTCCACCCCGTTACCGCTTACTGCTCCCTGGGGACACGGAGGAGACAACAGGACACATGTCAGAGAGATGCCTCGTTCAGCAGAGCACAACACAAACATACAGTATATACTGTACTAAAGAAGAGAGCCTGGTGTCATTTCCTCATTCCTTTCCACTGTTTCTAATGAACCCAGATTGGATTTAAATTACCAAACACAAGAAAACACCTGGGCTTGGATTCACAAAACCTTCTTAAGAAGAAATTCCTTCTTAATTGCAATTTCTTCCTTAACTATGGACTTATGAAGAAAATTAAGCAAAGTTGCTATTCCTCAAAAAGGTTCTTGGAAATGTTATCATGTTACTTCTTATGTTTCTCCTTAAGCAAAAAATTAAGAAGAAATTAGATTCTTGAAAATAAAGTTATTTGATTTCTTCTTGGAATTCCAAGATAGCTAAACCCTTGTCTTAAACTCATGGAAGTGAGAGAATATGCTAATGAAAGCTATTTAACATGTTTAATTGACTCACAAACTTCATCTGAAAGTTTCAGTGTTGATTGTTTTAAACCCAATAACATATTTTAGAACAGTTAGAAATATGCTAACATGATTGCCATCGCTAGAGAGACAGCTGGGTTGCCTTGCTACAATCATCTTAAGACAGTTAAGAAGTTCATAAGAAGACATTTGAGAAGTTCATAAGAAAATCCTTATTCTTAAGATCACGAATTCTCATCCTGCTCAACCTACTGACTGTTGCTGTGCTGATAGACCCCATATAAAAGACTAGAGGGTTTGGAGAACTAAGCTGCCTTTTAAGCCCCAGCTCTGTGGCCACAATGAGTGGTGAGTGATGAGTGGGGGCAGACTTCAGTCAGAGGAGCACAGCTTCCTGTTGATCTACATGTACAGCATGTCTGCAAAACACTGTGGACCCCAACAGGATGACAACACACACATAAGGCACAAAATACACACACACACACACATATACATAGGCAGGCCTACACACACAGCTCAAACACGTGCATGCACCACACACGCACACGCACACACACACACTTACAAAAAACACAGATGCTTCCATTTTATGATGCATATTAAAGTAGACCTAGTATAAAACGTGTGTCAGTGATTTGACAATAAATTGGAACACAAGGCCAGTATACTAGATTAGAAAATAGATTATGTGGAGGTACTCCAAAATCTATCAAGATAATCTGATGTCCAAAAAGGTTGGAGTTAGTTAAATAAATCCACAGCCTCAATTCTTTGAAATATGATTAAATATTTCAAAGAACTACACTAATACCATTTTTATTCAGTATCCTCTTTTACTTACATTTTGTCAATTCAATGTGCCCTCTCTGGGAATTCAAATTATTGTTACCCTATCAGGGTTGATGGTCTAGTTTGTATACATGTCATTCCAACTCATTCCATGGATTGAAAGTAAAATAGGAAATTATCCCCAACCCTGAAGCGACTTACATTATCTTTTTATTTTTCATACTGGCCCCCCGTGGGAATCGAACCCACAACCCTGGCGTTGCAAACGCCATGCTCTACATCCCTGCCGGCCATTCCCTCCCCTACCCTGGACGACGCTGGGCCAATTGTGCGCCGCCCCATGGGTCTCCCGGTCGTGGCCGGCTACGACAGAGCCTGGATTCGAACCAGGATCTCTAGTGGCACAGCTAGCACTGCGATGCAGTGCCTTAGACCACTGCGCCACTCGGGAGACCTGATGTGAATGATAGACTGCACATGTGCTCTAATAGTGATATACTGTATCCAGATGAGTATATTCTCTTTGTGTGTGTGTGTGGTGTGTGTGTGTGTGTGTGTGTGTGTGTGGTGTGTGTGTGTGTGTGTGTGTGTGTGGTGTGTGGTGTGTGTGTGTGTGGTGTGGTGTGTGTGTGTGGTGTGTGTGTGTGTGTGTGTGTGTGTGTGGGTGTTTGTGTGTTGGGTGGTGTGTGAACACACTGACCTGATACTGGGGCTTGTACCACTGCTTCAGGTCCCAGTCCCATAGGATCATCTGAAAGAGGGAAAACACACACATCAGTCAGGCAGCCTTGCTAGGACGTAGGTCTAGGTGTGTGTATTACAGATATATATATACAGTGAGGGAAAAAAGTATTTGGTCCCCTGCTGATTTTGTACGTTTGCCCACTGACAAAGAAATTATCAGTCTATCATTTTAATGGTAGGTTTATTTGAACAGTGAGAGACAGAATAACAACAAAAAAATCCAGAAAAACGCATGTCAAAAATGTTATAAATTGATTTGCATTTTAATGAGGGAAATAAGTATTTGACCCCCTCTCAATCAGAAAGATTTCTGGCTCCCAGGTGTCTTTTATACAGGTAACGAGCTGAGATTCCTGAGTGGCGCAGTGGTCTAAGGCACTGCATCGCAGTGCTAACTGTGCCACTAGAGATCCTGGTTCGAATCCAGGCTCTGTCGCAGCCGGCCGCGACCGGGAGACTCATGGGCGGCGCACAATTGGCCCAGCGTCGTCCAGGGTAGGGGAGGGAATGGCCGGCAGGGATGTAGCTCAGTTGATAGAGCATGGCGTTTGCAACGCCAGGGTTGTGGGTTTGATTCCCACGGGGGGCCAGTATAAAAAAAAAAAAAAAATATGTATTCACTAACTGTAAGTCGCTCTGGATAAGAGCGTCTGCTAAATGACTGAAATGTAAATGTATTAGGAGCACATTCTTAAAGGGAGTGCTCCTAATCTCAGCTTGTTACCTGTATAAAAGACACCTGTCCACAGAAGCAATCAATCAATCAGATTCCAAACTCTCCACCATGGCCAAAACCAAAGAGCTCTCCAAGGATGTCAGGGACAAGATTGTAGACCTACATAATGCTGGAATGGGCTACAAGACCATCGCCAAGCAGCTTGGTGAGAAGGTGACAACAGTTGGTGCGATTATTCGCAAATGGAAGAAACACAAAATAACTGTCAATCTCCCTCGGCCTGGGGCTCCATGCAAGATCTCACCTCGTGGAGTTGCAATGATCATGAGAACGGTGAGGAATCAGCCCAGAACTACACGGGAGGATCTTGTCAATGATCTCAAAGCAGCTGGGACCATAGTCACCAAGAAAACAATTGGTAACACACTACGCCGTGAAGGACTGAAATCCTGCAGCGCCCGCAAGGTCCCCCTGCTCAACAAAGCACATAGACAGGGCCGTCTGAAGTTTGCCAATGAACATCTGAATGAGTCAGAGGAGAACTGGGTGAAAGTGTTGTGGTCAGATGAGACCAAAATGGAGCTCTTTGGCATCAACTCAACTCGCCGTGTTTGGAGGAGGAGGAATGCTGCCTATGACCCCAAGAACACCATCCTCACCGTCAAACATGGAGGTGGAAATTTTAAGCTTTGGGGGTGTTTTTCTGCTAAGGGGACAGGACAACTTCACTGCATCAAAGGGACGATGGACGGGTACCGTAAAATCTTGGGTGAGAACCTCCTTCCCTCAGCCAGGGCATTGAAAATGGGTCGTGGATGGGTATTCCAGCATGACAATGACCCAAAACACACGGCCAAGGCAACAAAGGAGTGGCTCAAGAAGAAGCAGATTAAGGTCCTGGAGTGGCCTAGCCAGTCTCCAGACCTTAATCCCATAGAAAATCTGTGGAGGGAGCTGAATGTTCGAGTTGCCAAACGTCAGCCTCGAAACCTTAATGACTTGGAGAAGATCTGCAAAGAGGAGTGGAACAAAATCCCTCCTGAGATGTGTGCAAACCTGGTGGCCAACTACAAGAAACATCTGACCTCTGTGATTGCCAACAAGGGTTTTGTCACCAAGTACTAAGTCATGTTTTGCAGAGGGGTCAAATACTTATTTCCCTCATTAAACTGGAAATCAATTTATAACATTTTTGACATGCGTTTTTCTGGATTTTGTTGATGTTATTCTGTCTCTCAATGTTCAAAATAAACCTACCATTAAAATTATAGACTGATCATGTTTTTGTCAGTGGGCAAACGTACAAAATCAGCAGGGGATCAAATACTTTTTTCCCTCACTGTATATACACACATGCAGGTATTAATTAATCAGAACCAACTATTGTTGTTTTACCATAACATGTGAAGCGCTTCAACATGCATCATTTCTAATACAATAGGTCCACAATGAGAAACAGTCTATTTTACAGTATTAGACATAGTGTAACTGTTGTAGAATATTAAAGAGGTCAATGAGATATATAGTCTATTTTACTGCATTAGACAGTGTAACTGTTGTAGAATATTAAAGAGGTCAATGAGAAACAGTCTATTTTACAGCATTAAACATACTGTAAATGTTGTAGAATATTAAAGACGTCAATGAGAAACATTGTCTATTTTACAGCATTAGCCATAGTGTAACTGTTGTAGAATATTAAAGAGGTCAATGAGAAACAGTCTATTTTACAGCATTAGACAAAGTGTAACTGTTGTAGCATATTAAAGAGGTCAATGAGAAAGTGTTGTTACTTTATTCACCTCTAGTAGTTATCCTAAAGTAAACCCATGGGGGTATGATAGAATCAAGTCAAACAGCTTACATAAAAGAATTACCACACTGTGGACTTTCTACTGCTGTAGAGTGTTATTTAGGCCTACACACACATAGAGAGCTACTGTCTCTAACTTATGCATTTTGTAGAAAGGAAAAACACAAAAAGCAAACCACCGCGACCAGCCGACCACAATGAAACGTCAATGGTGGTGCTCTCAGATTTTATCTAGCCCCAATTACGTCAATGACCAGCATTTCCACATTATCTGTCTGAGAAAAAAGTCACCAAACAGGAGCTCAAACAGTCTCACACCACAGACAAACTGCTACTATGCCACTAGTGTTAAACTTCAGTTGTCACATACTGGGTCGTAGGTTTACTTACTACACATTGCAACAACTAGACCTAGGTGTTGAATTGATGTGAATTTGTTTAGATAGGCCTAGACCTACAGTACAAACTCTAGAAATGAATGCTACGGATACCATTTCTACCATTTGTTGATATTATTTAATTAACTAGTTTGTCTACTTTTTGGACAGTATTTTCACTTCAATAAAACATATTAAATAGGCTACTGCATATAAATGAGTTTAAATGGTCAAACTACCACTTCTGGGAACAACAAAATAACAGCAACAAACACCCAACAGTATCTGTGGACGATCTATAGTCTAGACAGAGTAGAACCATCTGTCCTGAAGCGTGTGTGTCTTGGGAGCAGTCTACCATCATACAGGGAGATCATTAGGCCTCTACATGTCCTCACAGAGAGGAAGGAACACACGGGTTAGTCGCCATGTTAAACCCAGAGAGCAAACACTCATTCCCTCAAGACTCAGAGAGCATGTAGTCTTTCTACTGGCCACAGGGGGGTGTGCTAGAGGCATGTGGATGGATGGACACACTTCAAGGCCTCTGCTCTCTCTAGTCTCTACTCACAGACCACCTCTCAAACTTAAACACAAAAACACACAGCAACTCACATCTAAATAGACAGAAAGCACAATCCCAGGCAGTATAAGTCTAGTCATGATGTAGATTGAAGTAGACCAGTATGCACTAAGCTCAACTGTCTGAGAGAACATTAGAACATTGACATATCATATAATTACACTGTAAATGTTTGGTGCATCTTTGATGCTTAAGTGTTAGTTCACTGATCACCAATACACTCGAACATAGTGCAGGGAAGGTAAAACAACATCCTTTATGCAATGCAAGAAAGCATTTATTATCCAGTTCTCTTTTTGTTTCACATAATTGTAAACGTTCACATAAATCACATGAATCCTAAATGTAATCCTCAAAGACATTTGTTTCTTAGCTTTAACTAACGGAGCAAATAAGGATACCTTTGTGATTGCACAGGATCCTTAGTCTAGGTTGTGTGTTCAGTAGTAGACTGCTAGAGAGTGTGATAGCAGGTGTAATGAGGAGTGATGCACTCTGGGAGTGTGAGTGATACCAGTGTTGTTCTAAATAATAATTGATTATCAGACAACCAATAATTGCAACCAGAGCTCCTCTGATTGAACACAGAAACCAAAGCATTTATGTCAAGGGAATGTCACCCCAAAACATATTTTATCTGCATCAAAAGACACCAGACACAAAGAATATAAGGCCATTAAATAGGTTAGATTGGATGGCAAATGTATCTGTGCTGCGCTTCTGTGAGAGGCCTTGTTCCTTCCGCTCCAATCAGAGGCAGTTTCATTGATCAGAGCGGGATGCTCCGTGTTTGTCATCAGAATCTGTACAACGCGGCCAAACATTTAGTACAGCAAATAAGCACTGCCATGGCAACTCAACAGAGGCCAGCAAACAATGCTCCAAACACCATGGCAACGGGATGGTGGGAGAGGGCCGGAGGAAAGATCTGTTGGACGTCTGCTTGTTTACAGAGAGATAGGGGGGAGGGAGGAGAGCGAGAGATGGGTCGGAGGGAGGGAGAGGGTGACGAGAGACGAGAGAGAAACGGGAGAGAGGGAGGGAGGGAGTGACAGAGATGGAGGGAGAGAGAGAGGCTGCCATGGAGTGGAGGGAGTGAGAGAGAGATAGAGAGAGAAAGGATGCCGTGGAGTGGATGACGCAGTCGAGACATGCTGCTGGCCTGGCTGTCAGACTGGAGCTAGGTAGCGTGTTCCTCAGACACGTGTGTCCCTCTGACGCTTTGTTCACACCTCTGTGAGCACACACACACACACACGTACACACATACGTACACACACACGTACGGCCTGTTCGTATCTCTCTGTACACTCTATGTTTCTCTTCACCTCAACATGTAGTCTCACACAAAACATGCCAAGCTCTGTTCACACATGACTTTACTGTGAATTTAATACAGTTCCAGAGACAGGGGAAGGTGGGTCAACAGCAGAGTTGAATGGCCAAAATACACAGGCCTGTTAGCTATCTACTGTGGTGTGTAACAACAACGTAACACGCACACGCACACACACACCTGCCTTATTACAGATGATTCACCAGTTTTTAGGTCAAAAGAGAGCATCATGTGTTATTCTTAACAAGAAAGAGGAGGATTGTCATGAGGATGAACACATCCAAGTACGCTACACATATAGACACACACACACACACGTTTATGCAACATGGTACAATACTATGTGTACAACAGTACCAATGCAAATATGGAGGATTGTAAATCAAGCTATGCTACACCCTCTCCTATTTTAACACAACTCTACTTGTAAATTAAAATGGAGGTAAACATACTGGAACATTCTTATCTGTATGAGAAGGTCACAATGGAGCCTACTACTATAGTCACAATATAGTTACAATATAGGGCCTGATATAGTCACAATATAGTCATAATATAGGGCCTAATATAGTCACAATAAAGGGCCTAATATAGTCACAATATAGGGCTGATATAGTCACAATATACAGTTGAAGTCGGAAGTTTACATACACCTTAGCCAAATACATTTCAACTCAGTTTTTCACAATGCCTGACATTTAATCCTCGTAAAAATTCCCTGTTTTAGGTCAGTTAGGATCACCACTTTATTTTAAGAATGTGAAATCTCAGAATTATAGTAGAGAGAATGATTTATTTCAGCTTTTATTTCTTTCATCACATTCCCAGTGGGTCAGAAGTTTACATACACTCAATTAGTATTTGGTAGCATTGCCTTTAAATTGTTTAAGTTGGGTCAAACGTTTTGGGTAGCCTTCCACAAGCTTCCCACAATAAGTTGGGTGAATTTTGGCCCATTCCTCCTGAAAGAACTGGTCTAACTGAGTCAGGTTTGTAGGCCTCCTTGCTCGCACACGCTTTTTCAGTTCTGCCCACAAATGTTCAATAGGATTGAGGTCAGGGCTTTGTGATGGCCACTCCAATACCTTGACTTTGTTGTCCTTAAGCCATTTTGCCACAACTTTGGAAGTATGCATTGTCCATTTGGAAGACCCAATTGCGACCAAGCTTTAACTTCCTGACTGATGTCTTGAGATGTTGCTTCAATATATCCACATAATTTTCCTTCCTCATGATGCCATCTATTTTATGAAGTGCAACAGTCACTCCTGCAGCAAAGCACCCCCACAGCATGATGCTGCCACCCCCGTGCTTCATGGTTGGGATTGTGTTCTTCGGCTTGCAAGCATCCACCTTTTTCCTCCAAACATAACGATGGTCATTACGGCCAAACAGTTCTATTTTTGTTTCATCAGACCAGAGGACATTTCTCCAAAAAGTAAGATCTTTGTCCCCATGTGTAGTTACAAACCGTTGTCTGGCTTTTTTATGGCGGTTTTGGAGCAGTGGCTTCTTCCTTGCTGAGCGGCCTTTCAGGTTATGTCGATATAGGACTGTGGATATAGATACTTTTGTACCTGTTTCCTCCAGCATCTTCACAAGGTCCTTTGCTGTTGTTCTGGGATTGATTTGCACTTTTCGCATCAAAGTACATTCATCTCTAGGAGACAGAACGCGTCTCCTTCCTGTGCGGTATGACAGCTGAGTGGTCCCATGGTGTTTATACTTGCGTACTATTGTTTGTACAGATGAACGTGGTACATTCGGACGTTTGGAAATTGCTATTTTTCTGAGGTCTTGGCAGATTTCTTTTGATTTTCCCATGATGTCAAGCAAAGAGGCACTGAGTTTGAAAGTAGGCCTTGAAATACATCCACAGGTACATGTCCAATTGACTCAAATTATGTCAATTAGCCTATCAGAATGACATCATTTTCTGGAATTTTCCAAGCTGTTTAAAGGCACAGTCAACTTAGTGTATGTAAACTTCTGATCCACTGGAATTGTGATGCAGTGAATTATAGGTTAAATAATCTGTCTGTAAACAATTGTTGGAAAAATTACTTGTGTCATGCACAAAGTAGATGTCCTAACCGACTTGCCAAAACTATAGGTTTGCTAACAAGAAATGTGTGGAGTGGTTGAAAAACAAGTTTTAATGACTAACCTAAGTGTATGTAAACTTCCGACTTCAATTGTAGGTGTCATGACTCTCTCCGGCCTCTAGTATGGTGAAAGGAATGTCCTTTGTGTCAGAGACTTTTGCTGCCCAAAAACTTCAACATCCAACAATGAACATTGGGACAATATATTTCAACATCTAAATGTTGGGAATGATGAGAAATGGAATATGGAAAATTAATGTCTATTTTGTGACGTCATTAAAAATTGTAAAAAGGTGTTATAACAAAAACATTGTGACTTGAAGAGCTTTTACACTGTGTATATTAGGTTTACATCATTTATGTCAAGGAGGAAGACAATGTTTCCATGAAGATAGGAATGTGATTTTAGCTTTCTAACAAAATCATAGTGATAATAATACTTTTGCCTCGTAGCCACGCCCGAGGGAGCTCAGAGAGCGTGTCAGTATGACGGAAACGTCCCTCTTTACCAGAGTGCATAAAAGACTGAGATAAGAATTATCAGATCAGACTAGACGGACCTCAAGCTGCAGCTTTTGTCCATTGTGGTCCCGACCCTGAAAATCAACACGAGGTAACGACGACAAAGTTGCCTCCACTAACAATCAATGTTACGGCTGAGTAGCTGTTCTAAGTACTGTATCTAAGAAGAAGGTGAATTTAAGTGGGACCATCCTGTTACTCTCTTCAAACCATCGTCTACTACACTGCTCTCATCACCCCACAGGGGATCATCGACACGGCATATTAGCCTTCCTCAGAAGACCACTTCCAGAACGAGTGAAAGTAAACAGACGACTAAGAAGAAGGACATTGTGACCTCTTGTGGACAATCTGAGCCTAACATCTGAGCCTTACATCTAAAAGGCCATCCGAAAAGAGAAGGCCCAATCAACCCTTCCCATGAAGGCCTGGGTCCAACAGAGACGACGAAGACATAAATACATGCATTACTTCTTACCAAACGGGCGGCAGTTCTGGCAAAGTATTAGGATTACTATGAGCTTAGGTCGCCTCACCCAATGTGGAACGGATTCTATTATTTCTTTATACCTTCTTATCTAGAACCTCCGACTGAAACTAGCCAGCTAACTAGCTACTTGCTATTAGACACCGTTAGCGGTCTTCACCATTGTCCATGGCCTGCACTACCTACCAGCCAGCTCTAGCCTGGACAATTATCGGCCAGTCTGCACATAGCGCTATCGAGCCAGAGTTTATCGGATTTTCTGCCGGAATCACTGAATCACTGGACCTTAACACCGGATCATCGCAACTAGCTAGCTGCAACCGAATGGCTGTTGTTGTTGTTGTTGGCTAATCACCACTGTCCCGAAGCAAGCCCCAGTTAGCCTTGAGCTAGCCTCAAGCCAGGCCCATCTCCCGGCTATCTACCTCTCTGTCAACCGGACGGGACCTCCTAGTGTTGACACGGAGCCCCGCCGATCCATCACGACTGGTCTGCCGACGTAATCGTCTGATGTGGTTTCAACAGGCTTCCCATTGCGACGACCACGAAGATCCATCTGCTAGCCCCGACGCGCTAGCACACGCAATCAACAGCCGTGCCTCCTGTTCGCCTGTGCCGTAGCAGCCACTGAACTGCTCCCGGACTCACCTATTGCTGTTCACTGGACCTTATGATCACTCAGCTACACAGCTGATGCCTGCTGGACTGTTCCTTTATACGGTACCTCATCCTGTTTATCTGTTTAGCCTCAGCTCAAACTTTCAACACCATTACCAGCTGTTGTCTTGCTCTCTCGAATAACACCTGTGATTGCTTTATGCCTTTCTCCCATGTCAATATGCCTTGTCTATTGCTGTTTCGGTTAGTTCTTACTGTACTTTTTCACTGTAGAGCCCCCAGTCCCGCTCAACCTGCCTCAGATAGCTCCTTTGTCCCACCCCCCACACACGCAGAGACTGGCTCAATCGGTGCCTCCAGTGATGCTATCTCTTTCATCGTTACCCAACGCTTAGGTTTACCTCCACTGTACTCATATCCTTCCATATCCTTGTCTGTACATAATGCCCTGAATCTATTCTACAACGCCCGGAAATCTTCCCCTTTTATTCTCTGTACCCAACGCACTAGAAGACCAGTTCTTAAAGCCTTTAGCCGTATCCTTATTCGTTTCCTCCTCTGTTCCTCTGGTGATGTAGATGTTAACCCAGGCCCTGTAGCCCCCAGTATGACTCCTACTCCCCAGGCGCTATCATTTGTTGACTTCTGTAACCGCAAAAGCCTTGGCTTCTTGCATGTTAACATCAGAAGCCTCCTCCCTAAATTTGAGTTATTCACTCCGTTAGCACACTCCACCAACCCTGATGTTCTATCAGTGTCTGAATCCTGGCTTAGGAAGGCCACCAAAGATTCAGAAATGTTCATTCCCAACTACAACATTTTCCGTCTAGATAGAACTGCCAAAGGGGGCAGAGTTGCAATCTACTGTAGAGATAGCCTGCAGAGCTCTATCCTACTATCCAGGTCTGTGCCCAAACAGTTTGAGCTTCTACTTCTAAAAATCCACCTTTCCAGAAATAAGTCTCTCACTGTTGCCGCTTGCTACAGACCCCCCTCAGCCCCCAGCTGTACCCTGGACACCATTTGTGAATTGATTGCCCCCCATCTATCCTCAGAGTTCGTATTGCTTGGTGACCTAAACTGGGATATGTTTAACACCCTGGCCGTCCTACAATCTAAACTAGATGCCCTCAATCTCACACAAATTATCAAGGAACCTACCAGGTACAACCCTAAATCCGTTAACATGGGCACCCTCATAGATATCATCCTGACTAATTTACCCTCTAAATACACCTCCGCTGTCTTCAACCAGGACCACCCCTCATCACTGTCAAACGCTCCCTAAAACACTTCAGCGAGCAGGCCTTTCTAATTGACCTAGCCCGGGTATCCTGGATGGATATTGACCCCATTCCGTCAGTAGAGGATGCCTGGTTGTTCTTTAAAAGTGCTTTCCTCTCCATCTTAAATAAGCATGCCCCATTCAAAAAATTCAGAACTAAGAACAGATATAGCCCCTGGTTCACCCCAGACTTGACTGCCCTTGACCAGCACAAAAACATCCTGTGGCGTACTGCATTAGCATCGAACAGCCCCCGCGATATGCAACTTTTCAGGGAAGTCAGGAACCAATATACACAATCAGTTAGGAAAGCAAAGGATAGCTTTTTCAAACAGAAATTTGCATCCTGTAGCACTAACTCCAAAAAGTTTTGGGACACTGTAAAGTCCATGGAGAATAAGAGCACCTCCTCCCAGCTGCCAACTGCACTGAGGCTAGGAAACACTGTCACTACCAATAAATCTACGATAATCGAAAATGTCAACAAGCATTTTGCTATGGCTGGCCATGCTTTCCACCTGGCTACCCCTACCCCGGCCACCAGCTCTGCACCCTCCGCTGCAACTTGCCCATGCCACTGCCATCTGCCCGGTAGTTAAAATCGGGATTCATCCGTGAAGAGCACACTTCTCCAGCGTGCCAGTGGCCATCGAAGGTGAGCATTTGCCCACTGAAGTCGGTTACAACGCCGAAATGCAGTCAGGTCAAGACCCTGGTGAGGACGATGAGCACACAGATAAGCTTCCCTGAGACGGTTTCTGACAGTTGCGCAGAAATTCTTTGGTTGTGCAAACCCACAATTTCATCAGCTGTCTGGGAGGCTAGTCTCAGATGATACCGCAGGTGAATAAGCCGGATGTGGAGGTCCTAGGCTGGCGTGGTTACACGTGGTCTGTGGTTGTGAGGCCAGTTGGACGTACTGCCAAATTCTCTAAAACGAAGTTGGTAGAGAAAGGAACATTAAATTCCAATTGCACACTCCCTCAAAACTTAAGACATCTGTGGCGTTGTGTTGTGTGACAAAACTGCACATTTTAGAGTGGACTTTTATTGTCCCCAGCACAAGGTGCACCTGTGTAATGATCATGCTGTTTAATCAGCTTCTTGATATGCCACACCTGTCAGGTGGATGGATTATCTTGGCAAAGCAGAAATGCTCACTAACAAATTTGTGCACAAAATTTGAGTATGAAACATTTATGAGATCTTTTATTTCAGCTCATGAAACATGGGACCAACACTTTGCATGTTGCGTTTATATTTTTGTTCAGTGTAATAAAAAAGTTTTCAAATCTCAAATAGTTCATTGATTGAGGAGACTTTTGTTAGGTGTTTTGGTTCTTGGTCTTGGTGTGAGGTGGTTGAGGTATTTGTGAGGAGCAAGCTTTGTGCTGTGAGTGGCTGGGAGAGGGGAAAGTGTCAGTATGTGCGTTTCTCACCTGCCTGCCCCTAGCCCTGGGTTATGGCAGGGAGCCGAATAACTCCACACTGACACGCTACAGCCCTCAGCCCGCTCCACCCCACCCACCAACCAGGGCCAGCCAGCCAGGGAGCCAGGCAGGGAGGCACACCAAAACAACTCCCTATTACACACCCTGGTCCTGCTGCAACACCAGCCATCTCCTTTGATGACTGATGGCTGCCTGGCCTTAACCGTCAATAACACCACCACAGTCAGCCACATCCCCACAACCAAACCTGGCATCTAGACGGACGGCTTGCCACACCATAGACCAGGGTTCCCCAACTGGCGGCCCGCGTGGTTTTATTTGTCCCCCAAGTTTTCTGAGCAAAAATACAACAAACAAACCTTATTATTTTGTGAATTTTCATTTAGCCACGGAAAAAGACAGGATCCTTCCCGCTAGCCATGATTGACTGAGAAAATGGATGGACTGGACATGCCGGGAGATAGTTTGGATTGGTCTGACATGTAGCATGCTTCTGTCTATAACGTGAGCTGCTCAGTATGTGCTTGATAGTCCTTTCTACCACAGCGTTTTTGAAAGCTATAACGTTAGCAATCGAGAACTACAAAAGTTATGCTACTTTTCTCAACAATATTGATGGCCTGAATTTAGCAGGCGCTATCGACAGATCAGTTGGAAAAAGTTGTGATGGGCTACTTTCTGCACATGCCAAGGTCAGTGTGAACCGGAGTGACAAGACACAACGCTGGCCAAACAAGATGTAGCTACAAACAAAACGGAGTTAAATGGTACCAGTCTGCCGTGAAGCGTTCATCCATGTATACGGGTAAGAGTCTAGCTACATTTTCAGATATTGTACGTTTCACATTTTGTCAGAAAGTTGTTTTCATTGCAAGTTAAAGACTACTGTTAGCTAGCTAGCGAACGTTAACTTGCTGGCTCACTAGCTAACGTTACGTGAATGATCTGTGTAGTAATATTATTCGAATCAGAAATCATGTCTAGACAATAGTGGCCCATCTACTAGATGTGGCTGGGGGGTGGTTATAGCATTTATTTCACATGCCCCATCAATTTAGACAAGTGCGTTTGGGTAAGCGTCATCTAATAATTATAAAATATTTATACAATATTTTTATCTGGACACTTTCTGTTTTTGATATTGCTATTTTCTGTTTTTAACCATTTCACTGTATCGTTTACACCTTCTGTATCCTGCCATCCCTGTCAACTGTAAGTGCTGTTATTGTGAAGTGGAAACGTCTAGGAGCAACAACGGCTCAGCCGGGAAGTGATAGGCCACACAAGCTCACAGAACGGGACTGCAGATCATCTGTCCTCTGTTGCAACACTCACTACCGAATTCCAAACTGCCTCTGGAAGCAACGTCAGCACCATAACTGTTCGTCTGGAGCTTCATGAAATGGGTTTCCATGGCCGAGCAGTCGTTCACAAGCCTAAGATCACCATGTGCAATGCCAAGCGTCGGCTGGAGTGGTGTAAAGCTCGCCGCCAATGAACTCTGGAGCAGTGGAAACGCATTATTTGGAGTGATGAATCACGCTACACCATCTGGCAGTCCGACGGACCAATCTGGTTTTGGTGGATGCCAGGATAACGCTACCTGCCCAATGCATAGTGCCAACTGTAAAGTTTGGTGGAGGAAGAATAATGGTCTGGGGCTGTTTTTCATGGTTCGGGCTAGGCCCCTTAGTTCGAGTGAAGGAACATCTTAACGCTACAGCATACAATGACATTCTAGATGATTCTGTGCTTCCAACCTTGCGGCATCAGTTTGGGGAAGGCCATTTCCTGTTTCAGCATGACAATGCCCCCGTGCACAAAGCGAGGTCCATACAGAAATGGTTTGTCACGATCAGTGTGGAAGAACTTGACTGACCTGCACAGAGCCCTGACCTCAACCCTATCGAACACCTTTGGGATGAATTGGAACGCCGACTGTGAGCCAGGCCTAATCGCCAAACATCAGTGCCCGACCTCACTTATGCTCTTGTGGCTGAATGGAAGCAAGCCCCCGCAGCAATGTTCCAACATCTAGTGGAAAGCCTTCCCAGAAGAGTGGAGGCTGGTATAGCAGCAAAGGGGGGACCAACTCCATATTAATGCCCATGATTTTGGAACGAGATGTTCAATGAGCATGTGTCCACATACTTTTGGTCATGTAGTGTATGTGATCGTATACAAATGTAAGGAAGGTTTGAAATTATTATGTTTTAGTCAAATATATCTGTTTGGGCTTCTTGCTGTCAATTTGCAGTCTACAAATTATTTGTAAATATGTTCCGTCCCCTGGAACAAAAAAATTGTAGTTGATGATCCCTGCCATAGACCATTTAGCTATACAGACCTAGCACCAAAAAACATGGCATTCACTGATGTGTATGTTTGTGTGTATGAGGAAGATGCTTCCCACTAAGCATTTACCGACGGCGACTTCATTTGAATGTCTTTTTTTGGGCCTGTCTGGACCGGCCGTCTTTTTTTGGTGCCGTCCGGGCGTTGAAATCAAGGCCGGTCCAGACCGGACCAAATCTGAACCAATCATAGACATCTATGTTTCACAAGTTTGGATGGCACAGTGCAGCACAGCACAGTAGACGCACGCCTATGTTCAGATTTTGTCCGGTCTGGACCGGCCTTGATTTCAACGTCCACAGACGTCCAGTCCAGACCAGCCTATATTTGGCCCAAACATACTGTAGAAATATCTATAACTGGTTCAGATTTGTTTTGGTCCGGCCTTGATTTGGCCCAAACATAGAAGCCTATAACTGGTTCAGATTTGGTCTGGTCCGGACCAAATCGTAACCAATCATAGACATCTATGTTTCACAAGTTTGGACAGCCCAGTACAGTAGACGTTTATGTTTGGTTCAGATTTGGTCTGGTCCGGACCTGCCTTGATTTGGTCCAAACATCGACGTCTATAATTGTACTGTACTCTGGTGTGCTCTACTGTGCTGTCCACATTTGTGAAATAGGATTGGTTCAGATTCCGGAGCGGACCAAATCTGAACCAATCCTATTTCACAAATGTGGACAGCACAGTAGAGCACACCAGAGTACAGTACACAATACAGTAAAGAAAAGTAGAGTATAGTACAGTACAGTACAGTACACTACAATACAGTAGAGCATAGTAGAGTACAGTAAAGAAAAGTATAGTGTACTGTATTGTACCCTACTTTACTCTAATGTACTCTACTGAACTAAACTTTACTGTACTGTACTCTACTCAATTAAACTACTGTCCTGTACATAACATACCGTACTCTGCTGTGCTCTACTGTACCATACTGTACTGTAATGTTCAAACTTGTGAAACATAGCCTAGACGTCTATGATACGTTCAGATTGGGATCTAGTCAGCACCGACCAAATTTGTACTTGTTTAGGGGTGAAGCTCATTAGAATAATACCCAGCATGCTTTGCAAGTGTTTATTTTAACATTTACATTTTTGTCATTCAGCAGATGCTCTTATCCAGAGCTTCTTACAGTCAATGCATTCAACTAAGGTAGATAAACAAGATAATATCACAGTCATAGCAACAACAACAAACATTGGAACCATTACTGATAATGTTATTGTAATTGAAGTGGTCTGTTGGTTTATTCTGTAGGTTGAATTACTTTGAACATCATTGCTGCCAGTTTTAAAGCTTTTGAAAAAGCTACCATCAGTGCATGTGACAGATGGGCGCAATAATAAATATTCTGTTGCAATCTTCAGTTGGCTCCACTTTCCTATATCAAGAGGCTTGAAGAATGATTATTGTGGCCTCCTGTAGCTCAGTTGGTAGAGCATGGTGCTTGCAACGCCAGGGTTGTGGGTTCGATTCCCACTGGGAGCCAGTATGAAAAATGTATGCACTCACTAACTGTAAGTCGCTCTGGATAAGAGCATCTGCTAAAATGACTAAAATGTAAAAATATAATGCTTACTTCATTGAGAATGTATGTGCAGTTAACATTTGTTTGAAAGACTTATTTTTAACGTCTGTAAATTATCTATTTTCAATGTCCGGAAAATACGTATTTTTGACGTCCAGAAAATAAGTATTTTCACCTTTCATTCAGCACCTAAAATGCACCTGACGTCAACGTCTGGAAAAGGATGTCTGGAAAATATGTCTAAAAGAGGGGGACTGAGAAAAGGGGGACACAGGCAGCTGGGGATTTGTATGGAGAGGAGCAGGTCAGTGCTGACGTCAGCTGGTAGCGACACACAGCGCGTCAGCAGCCCTCTTTAGATGCACACACAGATAATGAGGACAGGGTTCTTAGAGTCCCAGACAAAGACGCATATGGGAGAAATATGCCCATTACACACAGAAATACACATCTACAGAGAGAGCGCACACACACAGCGCACCACACCGACACACACACACACACATAAACATCATACAAAGATAAAAGACACTGAGTAGCCTAAATGGCACAAGGAGACACAAGAACAAATATATCCATAGGGTGGTTCTATACTTTAGTCTGCATCGCTGTGAAAGGAGCTGTCCTTAGCTAAGTAGATCACTGTAGCCTGCCTGCAGTCAGTCTCTGCTGCTCTATTCTACCTCCCTGGTACGGATGGCCTGGATTGTAATCCAAAGCCTTGGCAGGGGGACTGACTGACTGACTGGTGCAGTGAGGAGGGAGCAGGGGACCAGCCGGGGGTGTCAGCCTCAGCCGTGTCGCCAGGGCGACCTGGCAGGACCATGGAAAATTCTTGGGAGTGGGGAATGGGGTTGGAGGACAGCGTCATCCTTGGCTTTTCACACCCGTCTACCACTTCTCCTCTCAGGTGTTGATCTGGGGCTGCACTGTGATAACCCAGACCAACACCCAGCAGTCAGTCCCCCCATGGCTCCTCTCTCTCATAATATTATCATATTAACCTGCATTCTTACAATATGAAATAAACCCAGCAAAAAAAGAAACGTCCTCTCACTGTCAACTGCGTTTATTTTCAGCAAACTTAACATGTGTAAATATTTGTATGACATAACAAGATACAACAACTGAGACATAAACTGAACAAGTTCCACAGACATGTGACTAACAGAAATTGAATAATGTGTCCCTGAACAAAGGGGGGGTCAAAATCAAAAGTAACAATCAGAATCTGGTGTGGCCACCAGCTGCATTAAGTACTGCAGTGCATCTCCTCCTCATGGACTGTATCAGATCTGCCAGTTCTTGCTGTGAGATGTTACCCCACTCTTCCACCAAGGCACCTGCAAGTTCCCAGACATTTCTGGGGGGAATGGCCCTAGCCCTCACCCTCCAATCCAACAGGTCCCAGACGTGCTCAATGGGATTGAGATCCGGGCTCTTCGCTGGCCATGGCAGAAAGCTGACATTCCTGTCTTGCAGGAAATCACGCACAGAACGAGCAGTATGGCTGGTGGCATTGTCATGCTGGAGGGTCATGTCAGGATGAGCCTGTAGGAGGGGTACCACATGAGGGAGGAGGATGTCTTCCCTGTAACGCACAGCGTTGAGATTGCCTGCAATGACAACAAGCTCAGTCCGATGATGCTGTGACACACCACCCCAGACCGTGACGGACCCTCCACCTCCAAATCGATCCCGCTCCAGAGTACACTCATTCCTTCGACGATAAATGCAAATCTGACCATCACCCCCGGTGAGACAAAACCGTGACTCGTCAGTGAAGAGCACTTTTTGCCAGTCCTGTCTGGTCCAGCGACGGTGGGTTTGTGCCCATAGGCGACGTTGTTGCCGGTGATGTCTGGTGAGGACCTGCCTTACAACAGGCCTACAAGCCCTCAGTCCAGCCTCTCTCAGCCTATTGCGGACAGTCTGAGCACTGATGGAGGGACTGTGCGTTCCTGGTGTAACTCGGGCAGTTGTTGTTGCCATCCTGTACCTGTCCCGCAGGTGTGATGTTCGGATGTACCGATCCTGTGCAGGTCCGTCCTGTCTCTGTGTAGCGCTGTCGTAGGCGTCTCACAGTATGGACATTGCAATTTATTGCCCTGGCCACATCTGCAGTCCTCATGCCTCCTTGCAGCATGCCTAAGGCACGTTCACGCAGATGAGCAGGGACCCTGGGCATCTTTCTTTTTGGTGTTTTTCAGAGTCAGTAGAAAGGCCTCTTTAGTATCCTAAGTTTTCATAACTGTGACCTTAATTGCCTACCGTCTGTAAGCTGTTAGTGACTTAACGACTGTTCCGCAGGTGCATGTTCATTAATTGTTTATGGTTCATTGAACAAGCATGGGAAATAGTGTTTAAACCCTTTACAATGAAGATCTGTGAAGTTATTTGGATTTTTACGAATTATCTTTGAAAGACAGGGTCCTGAAAAAGGGACGTTTCTTTTTTTGCAGAGTTTATGTCTAAAGATACCATTACAATTTTGAGGGTAATGCGCATATAGCCTAGGGTTGTTATTTCCTTCAAATCCACTGTTATGCTGAGATGTCTTTATTTGGCTGGACAACAAAAGCCTTTTATCACAAGGTCTCTTTGTGATTACGTCTGTATGTCACAGGATCGCTTAGGAAAATCTGTCAGCAAAGTCCACTTCATCAGATTATACTCAAGTTGAACAATGCACTGTCCATTTCATCAACCCAAAATGAATAGAGTTGAGGGCAATAGGTGGGTGTGTGTGTGTGTGTGTGTGTGTGAGCTTGTCTGTAAGATAGTTGAGGACCCTATTTCTCTGAAAAGTTTCAAGGGTTCAACCATCTCTAGATGAGCTAGCAGCTAAATCCTCCTCCTGCAGCAGGACATGGAGGACAGAGAGATCCAGGACACCAAACCAAACACCACCACCACCACCAGAGCAATGAGGGCATCAAAACAACCAAATACAGCCAGACAACACATACTGTTGACCCTGCAAAAGACTGGTGTCCTGTCTAGGCGTTGTACTTGTACATCAAGCTGTCCCAAGCTACATAAACAGGGGATATGCTCCTGCCCTATGGGCTGTTCTGGCTCGGACAAGGCTACTTAAGGCAACTTTACTTTTGGAGGGGAGGGATCTCCCCTATTTCCTGGCTCTGTGTCTGGATGTGATGGCCAGCTGTGGCCCCTCACAGGGAAACACAAGAGACCAGACCAGAGACAAACCACCAAGGAAAGAAATACAGTCATGCAACATGGAATTCCTGAAAAGTAGATGGAAGCCAGAGCCAGGAGCTGATCCCAGCACTTCAACGGGGGATGGGGACTGGGAGACGGTGACGGAGACTGCAACGGGGAATGGGATGGGTACAGGGACTGGGATGGAGCTTGGACGGGGAGTCGGACATGGACACGGAGAGCGACTGGGAGGGAGAGACTGGGCTCGGCGTCCCGTCTCGAGACTCGGTCAACCCAGACAGGACCCATTGTGGATGCGGGCGTCCGCGTGTCACGACAGACACGCCCAGTCTTGGCTGCCCTCCCTCTGCCTCTGCGCATATCTTGCTCCTTAGCTGCCTCGCCTCTCCTCTCCTCTCCACTGTCTTGGTACAGCATAGACACACAGAGAACAGGAGAACAACTACAAACAATTCACAATGGGTTTTCTCTAGGCCCAAAAAATTATAAACCTGACAAAAATACAAATGCCACCAAATTCTACCTGTACATGAACACACAGCAACATGGATTCAATTGGAGTCAGTCGTGTGTGTGTGCATGCGCATTTGGGGGCACCGAAAAGCCTGTCTGTATCCGGTCCAGAAGCGTGACCAGCTGCTGCAGCTCAGCGATTTACAGCTCTCTTGCCCGGGGCCACCTGCCTGCAGCCCAGATAGATGCTGATGACGCAGGCCTGGTGAAGGCCAGGTCTCCCCCCGCTGGAGCCTAACCACTACCACCCCTCTCCCTCTCCCCCCAAACTACTACCCAGCCCCCACACCACAGCCATTAATGAACCACAGAGAGAGACTCCCACGTTGAGCTCCCCCAGGGCCTGACCCTGCCCAGGCCACTGCTCCAGCCCCTGCCTATCCAGAGTTTTGAGGGCTGTGGAACAGGGGCAGGTCACCAGAGGCCTGCTCCTCCAGGGCCTGGCTCCGGGACAGGACGCCCAGCGAGTGTTTGTGGCGCCTGGCGAGAGAAACAATCCAGTCAAGCAGTAAATCTAAAGTGAAAGTGTTGTGCTGTTGCTCTGTTCTGCTGTGAAGCCCCAGCTCTGAAGCCTTCTTCTCCTGGTGATGTTTTACTTCCCTTCCCCTATTAGTAAGTATTTTCTTTCTTCCAAGGCTCTGTTAACAAGCCCCTACTGAACACACAGGGCTTTACCCAGCTAGGGGAGATGCAGCTGGAGGTGGCTCTCTACCTCACTACCTGCAGTCTCTCTGCCCTCTCATATGTCTCTACCACAATAAGACTAGAGGGCTGTTGTTTTAGAGGGGGAAGGACCATCAACCTGGTTTAGTTTGTTTAGGATTCGAAAATAACAGAAAAAGACAGTGAAACTATTTACAGAGCAGAGAGAGGTAAATAAATCAATATGGGACAAGCCTACTTCAGATGTTATGAATGTACGTGTGTAGGACAGACTTTAGGCAAAAAGGAGCTGATGAGGTGACTGACAGGTGGTATTATGTTGAAACAGGAATGTGGAGCTTACTTAGAGGAGAAAATCTCAGCTCAACCGTCAGCCCTGCTTCTCATAGTTTAGGTTTTGCTCCTGGCTGCAGGCCAGACAGAGCGGAGCTTGCATAATGACAAACACGTGTTTTGCAGGAACAACAAAAATGCCACAATCTGAGTAAGGTCAACCATATTACGTCAATGATGAACTTTTTCCCACAATGGCATGTTTCAGTCTCAAATGGCCCATTACAGTTCTGCTGTGCTTACTACCATAACTCTCAGACGTACAGCCCCCACAGCTCAGCTTAGACAAAGAACACATACCGGATTGGACCACTTTGTTCCCAAAGTTGCTTAAAAAGCAAATCTGAGAAATGTGGATCTAAAACTATTATGGTTTGAAATGGTCTGTTTCAGAGAAAGTTCATGCTTTTCAGAGAAAGTTTGTCATGTTTTCTGATATATTTCTGGATATAAAATGCCTGATGGAATATCTGTCAGATAAGCTCCCTTGGAACATCCACCTTTTTACAACATCAAAAACGATTTGCAGGAGACAAGGTGATCATTCCAGATGGGACTTTCCTGGAAAGCCGAGGAGCTCTAGGAGTTGTGTGACTGGCAGTGTCCAGCTGTCACACACAGGACAGGAGTGGGATATAGGCTATTCCCTTTACTCACCAAGCCAAAGCCAAGGCCACAGCTCTGCCCAAAAGCACCACTAACACACTGCTGGCATCCAAGTCTTCACTGTAGCCCTTTACACTCGTACCCATATACAGTGGGGAAAATAAGTATTTAGTCAGCCACCAATTGTGCAAGTTCTCCCACTTAAAAAGATGAGAGAGGCCTGTAATTTTCATCATAGGTACACGTCAACTATGACAGACAAATTGAGAAAAAAATATCCAGAAAATCACATTGTAGGATTTTTAATGAATTTATTTGCAAATTATGGTGGAAAATAAGTATTTGGTCAATAACAAAAGTTTCTCAATACTTTGTTATATACCCTTTGTTGGCAATGACACAGGTCAAACGTTTTCTGTAAGTCTTCACAAGGTTTTCACACACTGTTGCTGGTATTTTGGCCCATTCCTCCATGCAGATCTCCTCTAGAGCAGTGATGTTTTGGGGCTGTCGCTGGGCAACACAGACTTTCAACTCCCTCCAAAGATTTTCTATGGGGTTGAGATCTGGAGACTGGTTAGGCCACTCCAGGACCTTGAAATGCTTCTTACGAAGCCACTCCTTCGTTGCCCGGGCGGTGTGTTTGGGATCATTGTCATGCTGAAAGACCCAGCCACGTTTCATCTTCAATGCCCTTGCTGATGGAAGGAGGTTTTCACTCAAAATCTCACGATACATGGCCCCATTCATTCTTTCCTTTACACGGATCAGTCGTCCTGGTCCCTTTGCAGAAAAACAGCCCCAAAGCATGACGTTTCCACCCCCATGCTTCACAGTAGGTATGGTGTTCTTTGGATGCAACTCAGCATTCTTTGTCCTCCAAACACGACGAGTTGAGTTTTTACCAAAAAGTTATATTTTGGTTTCATCTGACCATATGACATTCTCCCAATCCTCTTCTGGATCATCCAAATGCACTCTAGCAAACTTCAGACGGGCCTGGACATGTACTGGCTTAAGCAGGGGGACACGTCTTGCACTGCAGGATTTGAGTCCCTGGCGGCGTAGTGTGTTACTGATGGTAGGCTTTGTTACATTGGTCCCAGCTCTCTGCAGGTCATTCACTAGGTCCCCCCATGTGGTTCTGGGATTTTTGCTCACCGTTCTTGTGATCATTTTGACCCCACGGGGTGAGATCTTGCGTGGAGCCCCAGATCGAGGGAGATTATCAGTGGTCTTGTATGTCTTCCATTTCCTAATAAATGCTCCCACAGTTGATTTCTTCAAACCAAGCTGCTTACCTATTGCAGATTCAGTCTTCCCAGCCTGGTGCAGGTCTACAATTTTGTTTCTGGTGTCCTTTGACAGCTCTTTGGTCTTGGCCATAGTGGAGTTTGGAGTGTGACTGTTTGAGGTTGTGGACAGGTGTCTTTTATTCTGATAACAAGTTCAAACAGGTGCCATTAATACAGGTAACGAGTGGAGGACAGAGGAGCCTCTTAAAGAAGAAGTTACAGGTCTGTGAGAGCCAGAAATCTTGCTTGTTTGTAGGTGACCAAATACTTATTTTCCACCATAATTTGCAAATAAATTCATAAAAAATCCTACAATGTGATTTTCTTGAATTTTTTTCTCTCAATTTGTCTGTCATAGTTGACGTGTACCTATGATGAAAATTACAGGCCTCTCTCATCTTTTTAAGTGGGAGAACTTGCACAATTGGTGGCTGACTAAATACTTTTTTCCCCCACTGTACGGGTTGAAAATGGCAGATTTGGGCACTGATAAGCGCCTAAATTGGAACGCAGTGGCTGCACAGTAACATCCTATAAATTACGTCTGCTTCACAGCTCTGTATGGGTTTTGACTGACAGACGTTCTGAACTTGAGCACCCCCATCCCTCCCGCTAATTGGGCAACTTTAGCTAATTGTATTTTGAAAGAGGTGACATTGAGGATTATAATAAATACCGCTTTGATGTCATACAAGCAAGCCATACACCCGTGAGTCCAAATGTGCACTTCACATTTCCATATCATAAAACTCATGTCATATACAGTGTCAACGTTTATGATCACTATGTTTGATGTAAAAGTATGACATGGCGTCGTACCCTGGATTGTTCTGAACAGAATGAGCCTGCTTGTTTATTGTGAAGAACATTTGCTGCAGAACACGCACCTGAATGAACTCATGGCTCCTTTCTATACACACCAAAATTACGATCTGTTTCTCTAAATTGCCTTGTGAAAGCCTAACACTGTAAGATTGTATTTTAGAATTTAGCTAGTCATGTTGGCAATAGAACAAGCTTTCAAATGATGCCCCACCTGACCCAGATTGCGATTTATAATGGGCCGTTTTTGGATTGCGTGAACAACAACAGTAATTGTGTGATGGCGTGGATACAGGGTTGTGTTCCTACCAGTGTGCTTGCTCTAGTTCCTCAACGGCACAGCTAGGAGAGCCAAAAAAAAAAGCACTTTATAGGTGAAGACTCTTCTTTGAGTGATAAAAGTGCATTGAAATGACGTAGGAAGTGTGCACACTTTGGGGAGATGTGTGGCCACTTGGAGACACTAGTTAGTCCTCTCTCTCAAACCCTTGTCATTTTTTTTTCTTATGTTGCACCTGCCCCACATTTTCCAGGAATATTCTTATCATGTTACTGAATGTATCCAGAGTATTTTCAGATGTCATTATCAACAAATGGTGAAATCATTTAGCATATCATAAATTATACGTGAATCCTATAGGATTCTATAGGAAAAATCATTAATCCTATAGAATTCTATTGGAAAAATCACTTTAGGATTTTTTGACTAGGGATAGCACACAGATTTGAAGAGTTTCAGAAATTAGGCCTATATCGTAGTAGATTAATAGATTAGCTACAACCATGGTACATGATCAGAGAGCCAATCAATGAGCGATGATGTGGAAGAATTAGAAAAACACAACAAGGAAAAATGTGTTTTCAATTTCATGAAATATCCAAAACAGAACCCCGGGCAAAATGTGGAGGTTCCATTTATATAGTTATGAACAAGCAAATAACACAAACAGCACAATTTCGAAAAGATAGGCCTGATAATACAATTTATAGCCCTTAGATAAAAAACATAAAAACACAATGCATATTCCCAGTAAAAGGGATTTAATCTCAGCGAGAGGAGTTTGATCCAAAGGTTATTGGCGACCCCCTAGTAAATCAACGTCCTATAAATAGTTGTAGGCGGTGTGCTGTGTTTCGTGCAGATTAAGTTTTATCTTTGCTTAACATTCCCTCTTGACCTGGACCTCAGCAATGCACCGGCCGGTGGGCTTTAGAACAAATAGGGATCCATGATCTGTGGAGAGTCTTGGCAGGGTGCCCTGGCAGCATAAATACCTTGAATAGTCCTTCTCAATCATAAGCACAATTTTTTGCTTTACTTTGATTTGCTGATCTGTGTGTTCATAAAAAGATCCCGAGTTGATCTACTTTTAACACAAGCAATTCTGAAAGAGAATGTTGACCCAGTGACGCACGAAATGTACGATATGTGCGACAGCCCGCCAGCTTTTATATATCACCTGAAATTTATGAACAGATAATTTATGGACGTGAAATAACTTTGCAGGTCCTCTCCTGAGTGGCTCGACTGTTTCCATTCCCCTTTCAACATCCCAGTCCAGTAGAAACATCAACCCTGGATTGATCATTGGCCAGAAGTTCTGTTTACAGTACCCCCTTTCTCTTGGTGATCTAACTGTGTGGAAGAACATGTTCACTGACAATATTTTCAGCACATCTTTTGGCATTTTTAAACGTTTACACACAGGAACTATAAAACAACAATGCTAACTCTTTTTGTCCTGAAATTCCAAGCTCACTACATGTCCAAGTCAAAATGTAGCCTGGGCCTACTAGTGTTTTGTGGAAGTAACTTTTAGAGAGGACAGACAGTAAACAGTCCCTCCCTACAGGCTGGCATGTCTACTGTAATTACACTGTGAACGATGGGGAGAGGATGAGACGGCTTGTACTCTTCACAGCTCATAGGGGTGGCGTTACATCCAGAAACCTGGCCTACTGTACAAACCAAGAGAAAGTCCTACTGTTGGCTGACTTCAGCCTGGTGTATTCATGGAGTACATTAAGACTGTGGCCCTTACACACTCAGAGACGAAGCTTGTAGTGTATTTTGACATTTCCATGATATGCCATTTAAAAACATACCTAAATGATCATCACAATGATCTAGAAGATGGATCAGGGAAAAGTAGGGCACACCCCTCACACGGCATCCAACACAGGTATTTACACACTAGTTAGGCACTTAGACACATGAATGAAAGTGGGGCACCATTTTCAGGTTCCCTCACATATCTGCTTACGTTCTTTTGGAAAATACCCTGTTAATCCTATAACTCTGCACTCACACACAGGGCTTTTTTACACTGTACAGTATACATAGTGGGTATAATTGACACGTTGTATATTAAAAAGGCTCTGTTGTATTGAAGTATAAACACTTCCCTTAGTGTCCTTCGTATGCAGTTGTGTTCGGGACCAGCGTTGAGGCGCCCAATTAAAGGCCAGACAGCAGCTAGTGTTGAGCCTGGGAGGCTTGAGTACAACAGGAAGACTATACCTGATATGGACATGAGTGCCAGATCAAGGAGGCTGGAGGCCTTGTAAGGGAACATCTGGCTTTATCATGGAATCAGAGCAGGCTCCTCTCATAAACAAAGCCTAGCGCCTGAGCCCTGGAACTCAGGCCAATAACAAGCATGCGAACAGAGCTACCATCTATCAGAGGGAGAGAGAGGGAGGGATATGGAGAGAAGGAGAAGGGAGAGAGCAAGAGAGCATGAGGAGGGAGAGTGAGTGTGAGAGAAATTGCCTGTTGTCAAGTAAATCATTTGCAAACAAGGGCCCACCGCTGGCCGGACATTTTTATTTTACAATTATCTCAGCTGTCACTTCCCTCCAGCTTTCTCTCCATGTGCATCTCATTCTGGGTGCCAACATCAGGCCCTGAAGTGACCAAAAACAACACTAAAACAAACACAAACTTTACACTTCTCCTGTTTTCATTATGTTCACACATCATTACACAAGGAGAGCAGGAGAGCAATGGGCCCCATAGCTTGTTACCCTCACCTGAATTTCATAAGGAACACTAAGGCCCTTCTAGAATCAGTGAGATAAAGGTAAGCTCTGCTGCCTGCTACAGTGCTGTGTGAGCAGTTCAAAATGCAACAGTGGTAGGCTACACAAGCTGTCTGGGCTCTGGGCACAAGTCGCAGCCCTATAACCTGGGCCTCCAGGCACTGGGAGAAGCTCTAACACAAAGCTATGGAGCATTCCCTTCTAACCCAATAGGATACGGTCGAAACAACAGATCAGATCTGCTTTAGTCAGAGTTTGAATTTGAATCCTACAACTATACTGCGAAACACCTAAATAATGCCTTCTTGTAGCCATGTGCGAGAGTAATATGTTTATGTTTTATGAGAATAATAAAATGGGGCTTGGGCTGGTAGGGAGTGTTTTCATATCGACATTGTTGAGTCCCCGGTGTTCAGCAGCACAGCACAGCACATGTCATGAACTGAACTGAACTGAACTGAACTGAGAGAGAGAAAGAGAGTCCCTTGCCATGTGCACTGTGCCATGCACTGCCAGGGGAGAACACAGAGACCCTGCCGCTAGGCCAGACTGGTAGACAGACAGACAGGGAGGGAGGGAGACAGACAGACAGGGAGGGAGGGAGACAGTCAGGGTGGGAGGTAGAGAGAGAAACAGACAGACAGGGAGGGAGGGAGACAGTCAGGGTGGGAGGTAGAGAGAGAAACAGACAGACAGGGAGGGAGGGAGACAGTCAGGGTGGGAGGTAGAGAGGGAAACAGACAGACAGGGAGGGAGGGAGACAGTCAGGGTGGGAGGTAGAGAGGGAAACAGACAGACAGGGAGGGAGGGAGACAGTCAGGGTGGGAGGTAGAGAGGGAAACAGACAGACAGGGAGGGAGGGAGACAGTCAGGGTGGGAGGTAGAGAGGGAAACAGACAGACAGGGAGGGAGGGAGACAGTCAGGGTGGGAGGTAGAGAGGGAAACAGACAGACAGGGTGGGAGGGAGGGAGGGAAACAGACAGACAGGGTGGGAGGGAGGGAGGGAGACAGACAGACAGGGTGGGAGAGAGGGAGGGAGACAGACAGGGTGGGAGAGAGGGAGGGAGACAGACAGGGAGAAGAACACTCATTACCAAACACAGCATCACTCACTGGAGAGCACCCGCCAGAGCACATTTCACTTCATAAATCAGAACAGACATTGGAAGGAAAGGTTGATCTGATCTGAGACCAGTGCACTGAGGTAGCCTAACTCTTACCCACAATGGCACAAATACCATCATCTGACAGCTCAGTCTATGGCACGTGTCAAACTCATTCCGTGGAGGGCTGAGTGTCTGCAGGTTTTTCGCTCCACCTTTGTACTTGATTGATTAATTATTGTCACTAATTAGTAAGGAACTCCCCTCACCTGGTTGTCTAGGTCTTAATTGAAAGGGAAAACCAAAAACCCGCAGACACTCGGCCCTCCGTGGAATGAGTTTGACACCCCTGGTCTATGGGAATGAGTATGTATTATTCACAAACCTTTAGACTCAGTCAGACGCAAGAATAATAAGAGACAACGTAATTTCCTGTTATGAATGAGACTCCACAATCCCACGCTCTCTAATGGTCTAGAACTATTACAAGTCTAGGCTCCACTACAAACTTCCCTTCTCTCAACTCACACCAGGAATATCTTCAACTGAAAATACTATTGTACATAGTATGGTAACAACATCAAATGCCAGTTCCTAAAATATATTTTCGAGTGGCTTTCAGCACAGGATGCTCCAATAGCATATTTCCGCCTTTTCAGTAGTTTTCCTCACTGACAGTTGGCCTATTTCAAAATGTGAAAACGGATAGGCTACCTGGTTTGCTTGACAATTTATTTCCAGCTTTCAATCCATTTGGTCAACAATAGCCCCTGAAATGTCTTTGTGTTAGTCATTGCACTTCAGAAAAACAAAAATACACAAACAATGACTGTTGAATGAATAAATCTTGAATGAAGAGGGAACTTTGTTATTGTCTTGCCAGTTTATGATAACAGACATGGCGTGAACTTAGAACGTCCACTAACTCTGTTAACAATAAAACTAAAACACGTTCATCTAGTTCAACATCAGATGATGTAATTACAGTTGCAAAGCTACCGGTAATTTACCAAAGTTATCGGAATCTTCAGTAACTTTGGTAATTAACAGAAAATCTATGGCAATCTATTGTAACTTTGGCAATTAGTATTTTTTAGTCATATATAGTATTACTTTTTTCATCTGTGTCCATATTGTCCATGAGTTTAACCATATGGTTCAAGAGAACATAGCCTAATTAATGAAAAAAGTATCTAATCAACAATGGCATTATTTTCAATTACCTCTGCAACTCATCCAACTATTGACTTTTTTCAGACGGCCACCAGTTTGACGCCAAAACATTGACAACAAATACATATTGACATAGTAAAATAAATACAATTGTGTTAAAGAAATAAAGGATATTTCATGCTGAAACCCTGATATTAAACACCAATGGTATTCACTGAGTTGATGGTTTATATTTAGGATAATGTTTTACAGCTTTCTAATTATATATATTTATTTTAAATAATCTTATTTAATTATTTCATATATTTTACATGTGATAAGGCTACAAAGAGGGCCAGAGATAATAACAGACAACTGTGATAATCTGAAGTACCCAAAAGGGCCACTAGATGTCTTATAATAGATTACATAAAATCCTTGAAAGATACCAAATTCTAGCAGTTTACTGGTAAAGTAATATACTTGAAAATATATTTTACAGCCCTAGATGTAATACACTCATACTCTCAACAATACCATATCTTGGAGACGTAAACATTGGGCATACCTTGCTCTGTTAAGCAGGGAGGGTGTTACATGAAGCCGAGCGATTAAGGGAAAATACCTTGGGTGGAGATACAAAAGTCTTTGGAATGTGAAGGCAAGGGAGATTCCATTACTATTACTAGTTCATCATAAAAGATCCCTGAGCATCGACATCTAGGGTTGACTCTGAGCAGAGCAGAGAGCCTGGAGCACAGCACAACCCAGTGAGGGACCAAGCAACATCCAAGTACGAGCGCAGACTGAGGCAAACCCTGCCTTTTGTCTCCAGAGAGAGACCGCGGCACAGTGCATAAACACTGAAACACTTCCTGCCCGATCTCACTCACTCAAAGTAGAAGCAGGTTTATTGTGAAGACAGGTAATGAACGCAAAGAGCATATGTTACATCTGAGCTGTGAGAAAATACACAAAATCTCTTTTCCCATAACTTGGCATTTCATGTCGTCAAGATAGAGTGCCGTGCTCTCTTGAAGAAATGTCTACACTTGAGTAAATGATCGCATATATTTCTGACTGATGTCTCAAAGAAATGATTAATTGATGCCATGAATGTCTTTCTCTCTGTTTTTCCCCCCATCAGCCATATAGAGACTCACCCCCAAAGTAAAGTGACACATATGGCGTCTCCAGCCGGCGCAGCAGACAGACATACACCACATCTCATTCTGGCCCACTGGCTCTTGGAACATTCATTAAAAGGAAAAAAGCACCAACACCAACAGCAGAAAGAAAGCCTGGTGAATTATAGGTCAATCAAAACGGTAATGAATGATCCTAGACCAGCAGCTGCAAGAGTGTCTGCACAGGTATAAATCCGAGCAGAAATGACATTTGCATGCTTTCAGGGGTCGTATGTTATCTGAAAGAAATCAAGCCCATTCCACAGCACGTAGGCTAGCCTTTAAATTACTTTTCAAATAGCTTGGAACTGTGTCCCATATCCTTTTATCACTGTAATGGGACAGTGTTCTTTTAACAAAGCACATACGATCACAACACTTTGGGCACAGTCAACAAACACTGACTATTCTCACTGTGCCATTTACAACCCTAGCTAGCTACGATAGTAGTCACCTCACTGTCCCCGTCTGGTCAGAGTATAGGCCTGTCTGTACCCCCAACCAGCTGCTGCTGCTCTCTGTCCCTGCTGCCCAATATCAAGGCCCATGGCACCAGGAGCCCATAACCACAGAACCTCTGCTGGATCCTCTGACAGAGCAGCAGCAGCACAGGAGAGCCAGGCCACAGAAAGACACACAAACCAGCTGTTACTATCATTATGCACACCTCAGGAAGCAGCCAACTCCAACAGACTGCACTCACAATCTCACTTCACACACAGGGAACCACAACCCACTGCACAAAACCAGTGAGCCAATTACGATGTCAAGAAATCTACTTCTGGAGTGGGAAATAAATTATTCTCAATTTCAATATTATTAGCCAAGGACTTTGCTACAACTATCTATATTAGGCTGCTCTACCTAGGTTCATAGTAGGGCTACACAATTAATCAAATTCACATCAAAATCTCAATATTGACATGTGCAATACCACATCGCAGGAGATATCCATATCGCAGGAGATATCCATATCGCAGGAGATATCCATATCACAAGATATATTCATATCACAATATTCTGAAAGGCCACTCAGTGTAATGTCCGTTTTTACAGTTTACTCTGTTTGTCATCTCTCTCCCTCTATCCTCTTTGCGGCTGCTTCCCACACACACACAAAGCCTCACCCCCTGTCACACAAGCAGTGCAGGTCCTCCTCCCCGCTGTTAGATTCACTAGAAGTTTGCATGCTGTTCTGTTAGGTCAAATGCAGTCAACAGATTGTTCCAAACATGAACTCATTCGGCCATACGCTTTCAATAAAATAAAGAATTTGTCCACAATTCGCAGATTTCTCAATTGCTCTTTGACTGACAACGGAGCAGAGCTAGCAGTGCACAAAAACACGTCACAAGTCACGTGACCCGTTTTAGCTGCTTTCCAGTTCTAGACTGTATGGAGAGAGAGAGGGGGAGAAGGCAAACTCCACCTAAATAGTTTCAATGTATGGAATCACTTGGGACATTTTGGATTTTAGATCAGCTTCCCCTTTAATATAAATCATTATATTTCTATGATTCCAACAGTTCACCCAAGGGATTTGATCTTTATCGCAAGTCAAATCGCAATCATAATGTTAGGTTACAAAAAAATCACAATTCGATTTTTTGCCGATACTGTGCATCCCTAGTTATATGTGATATCAATATGTGATATATACTCAGTGGCCAGTTTATTAGGTACACCACCCCGTTCACGAAAACGGTTCGCTCCTGCCTGGTGTCAACGGTACAGGCTGGTGGTGGTGGTGTAATGCTGTGGGGAATATTTTCCTGGCACATATTATTAGGTCCCTTGATACCAATTGAGCAATGTTTCCATACCCCGAAGAATTCAGGCTGTTCTGGAGGCAAAGGGGGTCCGACCCGGTACTAGATGGGGGTACCTAATAAATGATATGTGATGTATATGTGATATCAATTAATAAGGGTGTATGCCTACTGTCAAATGTAAAATAGCCTACCTGTACCAAAAAAGAAAAAAACACCACTGTGTCTAAAATAAAATAAATGAATGTCCTAGAGATCCATGTAGCCTGTCTTTTATTTCTGGGCTGGCTCTTACTGTGAGTTCTGTGGGGTGGAGGCGTGTGATATTTGTGAAAGTTTGGGTGGGCCACAGCTCTGATTCGCTCTACTAACGCACATTGGGCACGGCTGAAGTGTTCAGTTATGAGTTCACCCAAGTATCACCTCCTCTGTGCCATGAGTCCAGGCCATAGGGCTGGGCGATATGGCCTAGTAATCATATCTCGATTTCTTCAAACTTATGGACGATTCACAATATATCTCTATTTTAAAAATGTTTTCTCTAAATAAGGGTTGCTGTACAATTAACGGTAAAATAGTTATACCTAGGCTACATATAAGCCTTCCACAACCATAAGACACACTAATAATGTAATTATTTTATCAGAACAGTTTAACCTGATTTTTATTGCAATAATCACTAATCTGGCTTTAAAGTCTATGAAAATGCCCCCCTTTTTTTTGCAAATGTAACTAGAACCATGCATAATCCACATTCACTAACAACGACTAAAAAATTGGTGGCCCCTTACACAAAAATTCTAGCAAAATGTATAGCGCATAGAATTAAAACGGTATTGTCTGACATTATTCATTCTAATCAGACAGGTTTTTTACATGGGCGATACATTGGAGATAATATAAGGCAAGTACTGGAAACAATAGAACACTATGAAAAATCTGGGAAGCCAGGCCTACTATTCATAGCAGACTTCGAAGGGGCATTTGATAAAGTACAACTGGGGTTTATATATAAATGCCTGGAGCATTTCAATTTTGGACAATCTCTTATAAATTGGGTTATTTATATAGTAACCCTAGGTGTAAAATAGTAAACAATGGCTATTTCTCAGAAAGTTTTAAACTGTCAAGAGGAGTGAAACAAGGTTGTCCACTATCGGCATATCTATTTATTATTGCCATTGAGATGTTAGCTATTAAAATCAGATCCAACAATAATATCAAGGTATTAGAAATCCAGGGCTTAAAAACAAAAGGTGTCATTGTACACTGATGATTCATGTTTTCTTTTAAATCCACAACTTGAATCTATTTATATAATGAATATGAATGAATTAGGAGGACAAAAATTATTAAATATTAAAGCATTAGACCTATCACTAAAAGCTTCAGTCATACAAGAATTATACTTAAAACCAAACTGGTTCTCTAGCAAACTAGTAAGATTGCCTCACCCAATGTTCAAGAAGGGACTTTTTCCCTTTATTCAGATTACAACCCCTCACTTTCAGGTATTTGAAAAGGAAATCATCTCCCAAAATATCACTATTTCTAAAACAAGCCATAGAAAGTTGGTTGCAATTTCAATTTAATCCTTCAGAAATGACAGAACAAATATTGCAACAAATATTGTGGTTAAACTCAAATATACTAATTGATAAAAAAACGTTCTTTTTTGAAAAAAAAAATGAAAAAAGTATAATCTTCGTAAATTATATTATCGGTAGGAATGGTGGAGTTGTCGCACATGCAGCTAACAAAAACATATGGAAATGTCTGCTCTACACAAAATTACAACCAAATAATTGCAGCATTACCACAAAAATGGAAGAGGAAAGTGGAAGGAGGAAAAAGTAAGGAACTTGTCTGTCGGCCTTGCATTAAAGAACATTATTGGTTAAAGAAAATTGTGATAAATAAAAGAGTTTATCAGTTTCATTTAAGGACCAAAAGATTGACAGCCGTCCCATATAGATTGCAAAATAGTTGGGAAGAGATTTTTGACGTACCGATTCCATGGCATAATGTTTATGAACTGATACGCAAAACGACGCCGGATTCAAAACTTTGAATTTTTCAATTTAAATTATTATATACAATTCTTGCTACCAATAGAATGTTATTTGTATGGGGGATACAATCTTCCCAGCTCTGCAGATTTGGCTGTGAAGAGACAGAATCATTAGATAATTTGTTTTGGTACTGTCCATTTGTAGCTTGTTTCTGTACACAGGTCCAGGAATGGCTGAAGGATTGCAATATTTGCATAGAGCTGACCCTACAGATAGCACTACTGGGTGATCTGAAAAGTCATAGTCAATCGATCGATAATATAATAATACTTTTAGCAAAGATGTTTATTTTCAATTCACAAACTGTTATTTTCAATTCACAAACTGTAGAAACAATGAGAATAGAAAGGTTCAGAACTTTTGTAAAACATCACAGTACAGTTGAAAAATATATGGCAAATAGAAATCCAATATGGATGGTGTTAAGAGATAGATGGGAGGTGTTGAATGGAGCTGAAGGATGGGACTAATAACAACAACTAATAACAACAAGATAACTAGTGTAATACATGCTGTGTCCATAATAAGGATATAGGTTATATATATAGCTTTTGTGAAAGACCACAGTTAGAAAGATATGGCATATAGAAGCATACCAGATGAAAATGATCGGAGGAAGTTCAGGAGTAAAAACAAACAAAATAAAATTATTGACTGTGTCCATAAAATGTATATAGTATGTATAAGCATGAAGTAGAGGCCTAAGCATTGTTGTTCACTAGTTTACTCCAATTAGGGAGGGGATGGTGGGGTTGGGAAATATATATATTTTTAAAGGATATGTATGTATATATACAGTGGGGGAAAAAAGTATTTAGTCAGCCACCAATTGTGCAAGTTCTCCCACTTAAAAAGATGAGAGAGGCCTGTAATTTTCATCATAGGTACACGTCAACTATGACAGACAAAATGAGAAAAAAACATTCCAGAAAATCACATTGTAGGATTTTTAATGAATTTATTTGCAAATTATGGTGGAAAATAAGTATTTGGTCACCTACAAACAAGCAAGATTTCTGGCTCTCACAGATCTGTAACTTCTTCTTTAAGAGGCTCCTCTGTCCTCCATCCGTTACCTGTATTAATGGCACCTGTTTGAACTTGTTATCAGTATAAAAGACACCTGTCCACAACCTCAAACAGTCACACTCCAAACTCCACTATGGCCAAGACCAAAGAGCTGTCAAAGGACACCAGAAACAAAATTGTAGACCTGCACCAGGCTGGGAAGACTGAATCTGCAATAGGTAAGCAGCTTGGTTTGAAGAAATCAACTGTGGGAGCAATTATTAGGAAATGGAAGACATACAAGACCACTGATAATCTCCCTCGATCAGGGGCTCCACGCAAGATCTCACCCCGTGGGGTCAAAATGATCACAAGAACGGTGAGCAAAAATCCCAGAACCACACGGGGGGACCTAGTGAATGACCTGCAGAGAGCTGGGACCAAAGTAACAAAGCCTACCATCAGTAACACACTACGCCACCAGGGACTCAAATCCTGCAGTGCCAGACGTGTCCCCCTGCTTAAGCCAGTACATGTCCAGGCCCGTCTGAAGTTTGCTAGAGTGCATTTGGATGATCCAGAAGAGGATTGGGAGAATGTCATATGGTCAGATGAAACCAAAATATAACTTTTTGGTACAAACTCAACTCGTCGTGTTTGGAGGACAAAGAATGCTGAGTTGCATCCAAAGAACACCATACCTACTGTGAAGCATGGGGGTGGAAACATCATGCTTTGGGGCTGTTTTTCTGCAAAGGGACCAGGACGACTGATCCGTGTAAAGGAAAGAATGAATGGGGCCATGTATCGTGAGATTTTGAGTGAAAACCTCCTTCCATCAGCAAGGGCATTGAAGATGAAACATGGCTGGGTCTTTCAGCATGACAATGATCCCAAACACACCGGCCGGGCAACGAAGGAGTGGCTTCGTAAGAAGCATTTCAAGGTCCTGGAGTGGCCTAGCCAGTCTCCAGATCTCAACCCCATAGAAAATCTTTGGAGGGAGTTGAAAGTCCGTGTTGCCCAGCGACAGCCCCAAAACATCACTGCTCTAGAGGAGATCTGCATGGAGGAATGGGCCAAAATACCAGCAACAGTGTGTGAAAACCTTGTGAAGACTTACAGAAAACGTTTGACCTGTGTCATTGCCAACAAAGGGTATATATAACAAAGTATTGAGAAACTTTTGTTATTGACCAAATACTTATTTTCCACCATAATTTGCAAATAAATTCATTAAAAATCCTACAATGTGATTTTTTGAAAAGCATGTTAACCTGTCCACTTTGTTCAGATGTTGAAATCAAGTGGCCTACCTTATTTCTCAGAATGAGAACGAGTTGCCAATTCTTTATATAATTGTTTTATGCTTATTGCACATTTTTAAAACACAGACTAGACAGATAGTATAACAGTCTTTGGCTAAAATGCTGCTAGCGGTACGTGGTACCCCAATGCCGCACGCGACAAACTGACCATTCATTTTCCAGAATCAATGTTCATTGATACTCTAATTTTAGTAGTGTCTGCTCTGCGTGCAATTTGAGTAGTTGAGACGTAAAAAGGGTATCGTTAGAAAGGGGGGGGGCTTGATGTGTGTTTAAACCATAGAGGCGAAGCAAGAGGTTTCACTCTCGCTAAAATCTGTCCAAAATAAGGCCTATGCTTTTCTATGGGCTTATTTTGGACCTATGCCTGTCGCCTGCCTTTCCGCCTTTGGGACAACGACTCCCATTGTTAGGGCGGAGATGTGCATCTCTTCATTATATACAGATCTCTGGTGTAAATGGGAAGGTGCACACAGCACAGAGGAGCGAATGAAATGAGACCAAAAATACAACATGAGAACAAGCAGACATAAAAGCTCATAAAAAAAAAAAATTACAAAAACTTGATTCTTGCGATTCAGGCATTTGGAATATCGCGCAAAAACATACATTCAAATTAATTTGATATATCGCCCAGCCCTACCAGTCCACGTGACTGTGTCCTGTGGACAGTACACAATCCACCTATCTCTCTCCCCCCTCCTTATAGCAGGCATAGACCACAGTGGCTGGTTTATCTCTTGTGACAGCACACAACATTCATAACTGACACACCAAAGACAGGAGGCTTTACACACTTCTTCAGGCAGAACTAGGTGAGAGTGGACACACAGACACGCACACGCACACGCAGCTACTGTTTTGGCTTTTGTGTTTTGCTACTGACGTCTTCATAAGTGCTTTTTTTCAAGTGTTGACATAGTTTTCATCTAGGCCCATCGGTATCACCGCTGTGTAGTTTAGTGTGTGACAGTGAGTCTGATTGAAAGGCAGAGAGTGAAGAAACCCAGGACTGACTGAGGAGAGAGACACCTGGGAGAGAACAATCTTAAACAGAGACTACTGAATGATCAGTGCTGTTTCTCTTCTTTCTCAGAAACACAAAACCCTCTGTTCCATTCGAAGCATGTAAAAGAGCAATGAGAATATAGAGCTATAAGAATAGACAAAAGTTTGAACAAAAACAAAAATAAAACCACAGGCAAATGTTGTTTACCTTTAATGTGTGAACAGTACTACATAAATCCCTCAGTAGAGTAGGAACACTATAAAACACTATAAAAAGGCTGTTTTATTGCCAGCGCCTCAGACAGTGTGACAGGACAGGGGTGAGATGTTCATTCTACCACTGGAGGGCTGGAACATAATGAGACAGACAGGCAGGGCTGGGATGTGTTAACCCCCAGGGGAGGGAGTCAGGCAGCCAGACACCCCCAGAGGAAGGGTCTAGGATGGATGGTTGGTTATACCCATCTGCAGGTAGGGGAGCAGTTCTCTTCACTGTCAGGTGGCCAGGCTTCTGGTAGCTCGAGGCTCTTCAACAAAATGTTTTGTCCTTGGTAGGGCAGAACTGATGAGAACTTTAACTGGGGACAACATCTTGGGGCTTTCCAACGCAGCAGCAGCAGAAACAACAACAACAGCGATACAAGCATGATAAAATCATCATCAATAACCAGAGGAGTCCCATCAAAGTATTACTAAGGGTAAGATATATACATTGCCCATAGAAAGTATTTATTAGGGTTGAATATCTTCCTGGTAATTATTATTATTTTTTATTTTTTTCAGAGAATAAATCCCTTTTCTCCCGCATAAGCCAGTATTTCCCGCCAAAACCGGAAGTGTGATTCTTAAGCATATAAAGCATATATACTGAACTAAAATATAAACGCAACATGTAAAGTGTTGGTCCCATGTTTCATGAGCTGAAATAAAAGATCCCAGAAATGTTCCATACGCACAAAAAGCTTATTTCTCTCAAATGTTGTGCACAAATTTGTTTACATCTCTGAGTGAGTATTTCTCCTTTGCCAAGATAATCCATCAACCGGACAGGTGTGGCATTTCAAGAAGCTGATTAAACAGCATGATCATTACAGGTGCACCTTGTGCTGGGGACAATAAAAAGGCCACTCTAAAATGTGCAGTTTTATCACACAACAATGCCACAGATGTCTCAAGTTTTGAGGGAGCATGCAATTGGCATGCTGACTGCAAGAATGTCCACCAGAGCTGTTGCAAGACAATCAAATGTTAATTTCTCTACCATAAGCCGCCTCCAACGTCGTTTTAGAGAATTTGGCAGTACGTCCAACCAGCCTCACAACCGCAGACCACATGTAAGCACACCAGCCCAGGACCTCCACATCCGGCTTCTTCACCTGCGGGATTGTCTGAGACCAGCCACTCAGATAGCTGATAAAACTGGGTTTGCACAACCGAAGAATTTCTGCACAAACTGTCAGAAACCGTCTCAGGGAAGCTCACTAGGGATCTTGACCTGACTGCAATTCTGCGTCGTAACCGACTTCAGTGGGCAAATGCTCACCTTCGATGGCCACTGGCACGCTGGAGAAGTGTGCTCTTCACAGATGAATCCCGGCAGATGGCAGACAGCGTGTATGGTGTTGTGTGGGCGATCAGTTTGCTGATGTCAACGTTGTGAACAGAGTGCCCCATGGTGGCGGTGTGGTTATGGTATATATCCAGCAACTTTGCACAGCCACTGAAAAGGATTGGGACAACATTCCACAGGCCACAACCAACAGCCTGATCAACTACGCGAAGGAGATGTGTCACGCTGCATGAAGCAAATGGTGGTCACACCCTATACTGACTGGTTTTCTGATCCACGCCCCTACTTTTTTTAAAGGTATCTGTGACCAACAGATGCATATCTGTATTCCCAGCAGTGTAGGCTCCTCAGAGGAGGAAGGGGAGGACCATCCTCCTCAGTGAATTTAATAAAAATAAAAATAGTAAAACATTTTAAAAAGTTGTCCTTTTTAGATAAAACTATACTAAATATATTCACCTCACCAAATAACTTCTTAAAATGAAGGTATACAGTAGCCTCAGCAGCAGTCTGTAGGGTAGCACCATGGTGTAGCCGGAGGACAGATAGCTTCTGTCCTCCTCTGGGTACATTGACTTCAATACAAAACATAGGAGGCTCATGGTTCTCACCCGCTTCCATAGACTTACACAGTAATTATGACAACTTCCGGAGGGCATCCTCCAACCTATCAGAGCTCTTGCAGCATGACCTGACATGTTGTCCACCCAATCAAAGGATCAGAGAATGAATCTAGTCCTGAAAGCATTAGCTACAGCTAGCTAGCACTGCAGTGCATACAATGTGGTGAGTAGTTGACTCAAACAGACAGAAAGACAATAGTTGAACAGTATAACAAATTAATTTCTTCCAAAATTAAGAAGCGAGAGAGAGAGAGAGCAAGCTAGCTATAATTGGTTGTATTTTCTTTCAACTTTCACTTAGCTAGTGAATGCAGCTAGCTAGTTTAGCATACTCAAACACCCGGCTCAAACAGAGATGGACGCTATGTTAGCTAAATGGCTATGGCTATCCAACACTGGAACTCTACCAAGTCGAGGTAAGCTTTTGGTTTTATTAATTTATTGCCACCGGGGCCCGCCGTTGTAACTGCTTAACTGCTTTCTGATTGTACACTGTGCTGCATGATTGTAGTGGGTTCACTAACGTGTTAGTTCTAGTAGCTACAGTGAGGGAAAAAAGTATTTGATCCCCTGCTGATTTTGTGCGTGTGCCCACTGACAAAGAAATGATAAGTCTATAATTGTAACGGTAGGTTTATTTGAACAGTGAGAGACAGAATAACAACAAAGAAATCCAGAAAAATGCATGTCAAAAATGTTATAAATTGATTAGCATTTTAATGAGGGAAATAAGTATTTGACCCCCTCTCAATCAGAAAGATCTCTGGCTCCCAGGTGTCTTTTATACAGGTAACGAGCTGAGATTAGGAGCACACTCTTAAAGGGAGTGCTCCTAATCTCAGTTTGTTACCTGTATAAAAGACACCTGTCCACAGAAGCAATCAATCAATCAGATTCCAAACTCTCCACCATGGCCAAGACCAAAGAGCTCTCCAAGGATGTCAGGGACAAGATTGTAGACCTACACAAGGCTGGAATGGGCTACAAGACCATCGCCAAGCAGCTTGTTGAGAAGGTGACAACAGTTGGCGCGATTATTCGCAAATGGAAGATACACAAAATAACTGTCAATCTCCCTCAGCCTGGGGCTCCATGCAAGATCTCACCTCGTGGAGTTGCAATGATCATGAGAATGGTGAGGAATCAGCCCAGAACTACACGGGAGGATCTTGTCAATGATCTCAAGGCAGCTGGGACCATAGTCACCAAGAAAACAATTGGTAACACACTACGCCGTGAAGGACTGAAATCCTGCAGCGCCCGCAAGGTCCCCCTGCTCAAGAAAGCACATATACAGGCCCGTCTGAAGTTTGCCAATGAACATCTGAATGATTCAGAGGAGAACTGGGTGAAAGTGTTGTGGTCAGATGAGACCAAAATCGAGCTCTTTGCCATCAACTCAACTCGCCGTGTTTGGAGGAGGAGGAATGCTGCCTATGACCCCAAGAACACCATCCCCACCGTCAAACATGGAGGTGGAAACATTGTGCTTTGGGGGGGGTTTTCTGCTAAGGGGACAGGACTACTTCACCGCATCAAAGGGACGATGGCCGGCGCCATGTACCATCAAATCTTGGGTGAGAACCTCCTTCCCTCAGCCAGGGCATTGAAAATGGGTCGTGGATGGGTATTCCAGCATGACAATGACCCAAAACACACGGCCAAGGCAACAAAGGAGTGGCTCAAGAAGAAGCACATTAAGGTCCTGGAGGGGCCTAGCCAATCTCCAGACCTTAATCCCATAGAAAATCTGTGGAGGGAGCTGAAGGTTCGAGTTGCCAAACGTCAGGCTCGAAACCTTAATGACTTGGAGAAGATCTGCAAAGAGGAGTGGGACAAAATCCCTCCTGAGATGTGTGCAAACCTGGTGGCCAACTATAAGAAACGTCTGACCTCTGTGATTGCCAACAAGGGTTTTGCCACCAAGTACTAAGTCATGTTTTGCAGAGGGGTCAAATACTTATTAAAATGCTAATCAATTTATAACATTTTTGACATGCGTTTTTCTGGATTTTTTTGTTGTTATTCTGTCTCTCACTGTTCAAATAAACCTAGCATTAAAATTATAGACTGATCATGTCTTTGTCAGTGGGCAAACATACAAAATCAGCAGGGGATCAAATACTTTTTTCCCTCACTGTATGTTGACAACGATGTAGGCTATGTGTAGCGGTTAGTGGTCATGATATGAAGGTTTGGCATGGAAGGTTTTTTTTTTTTTGCCTGGTCACAGACAGCTGATGTTGTGCACTGAAGTCCACAAGCGAAGGGAAAAGGTAAGAGGAGGAGAGCGCGTATATAGTGATCATTATGTTTTTATGTGGCTGCTATGAAAGTGTGATCAGGGGTGTATTCATTCCGCCAATTCTGATGACAAGCATTTCTTAAACGGAAGCAAATGTAACGAAACTGGGATAAACATACCTGAATTTGTCCAATAAAAACTGTCATTTGCAACTGTTGGACTAATGATTACAGCTAGATGAGCTAGATGCAGGCAAGGCGGTATTGAATGTGTCACTGTCTGTCACCTTGATTACTCAAAATTGTCTCAACTTTTGCACCTACGTTGTTAACTTTCTTTCAGAGGCTAGGTTGTAGCAACCTCATGATGGGTACAGGGAAAACGTTTGTATCATGTAGTAGCCTAAACCTATTGATGTTACATTGAGCTGGGTGAATGGAATACAAATGACAGTCATCCAATATGCTGTAATACAAATAAGGCCATGCTCATAATTTTTTTTATCATCCTCCCTCATCTTAAACGGCACTGACCGCCACTGACTCCCAGTCATGTGAAATCCATAGATTAGGGACTAATGAATTCATTTCAATTGACTGATTTCCTTATATGAACTGTAATTCAGTAACATCTTTTAAATTGTTGCATGTTGTGTTTATATTTTTGTTCAGTGTATTATATTAACCTGACTATCCACAATATCCACATTATTGTGAGCATGTAACCATGCTCACTGACTCAAGACATTTCAGCTTTTTATTTTTTATTAATTTGTAAAAATGTCTAAAAAAGTAATTCCACTTTTCCATTATGGTGTGTAGGCCAGTGACCGAAAAATCTAAATGTAATCCATTTTAAATGCAGGCTGTAACACAACAAAATGTGGAAAAAGTCAAGGGGTGTGAATTAGGTTTGGGAGGTATCCAGATTTTCATATCCTCATACCGTCCTTCTCTCACACCGGGATTTACAGTATTACACAAGGGGACATAAAAAACGCAAAAAAAAGCCCATTGGGTGTCTATTACCAGAATGCTAACAGAATTAGCACATGTAATAGCGAATTTCCTTGGAGGCTGCTAGCTAAATATGCTAACGAGAGCAAACAAAAATAAACTAATTGCAAAGACAGGCAATCCAGCTCATAAAGTTATACAGTGAGCTCATTTACTTGTGTGGCTGCCAGCCAAATAGTGTTGCACTTCTGTTGTCAGCTATTTTCTGCAGAATAGGTTGCACTAATGTATTTTCTGTGACGGAAAACTATAGTAGCACATCCCTGATCACACTATTGAAGCAAAAAAACACTGTTGGACTTCCAATATAAAATGCGACCCCTGTCAACACACAGCTGGACTCACCTGTTCCTGCTTTCTCCCTTGTGCTATTTACAAACAAACACGTGACTGGCTCAACTGTTCTGGGGAACTACAGTAAGCTTCATAATGTAAAATGTCAAACGAAGAGCGCAATCTGCTTTATCTCCTAACGTACTGCACAAGTTGACTGCAGGTATTTACTTAAAAAGTAGCTACAAATATTAAAATGTATTGAAAAACTTCAAAACAATTGTTTCAACAGTAATGAAAAACCATCCCGTGGCAGTACTTCCAAATACCCAGTATACATGGTATACCACTCAAGTCTAGTATGAATCCTTTCTGAAGACACTGTATTTATCCCAAGGAAAAGGGAAGGGAGTACATTTTGGTAACCTGGTTCCCGCTATTCAACCCAATTATTTTACATTTACATCATTTATTGTTGCCTTACAGACAGAACTTTCAATGCATTAAATTATTGTATTTTTCACAGGTCTAAAGAACCTACTCTACAATTTCTAAGTGAAAGAAATATTGTGTGAATTAGTCATTTATTTTGCTTACATTCAGCAGAAGAGTTCACTTTCTTTACTAAAATGAATAAACATGCCAAGCCTAACTTTTGTGTCATTTGTTTAGGCTATGCACAGTGCGGTGTTGACCTGTGTTGTCCAATAGGGCAGGTCAGATTTTCTAGTCCAGAGAGAGAGGGATTGAGGGAGAGAGATATGGGTTCCAGGGAATTGGTTTCACTAAACAATGGCAAGCACGCTCCAGAGCAACCTTGGCAACCTTGATTTTTCCCCCCTCTCTACAAAATCTTGCTTACGTCATGTGCTATGAGAACGGAGGGGGTTCCTGGACTGGTATTTGAGCCTGTGTGTGTGAGTGTGTGTGTGTGTGTGTGTGTGGGGGGGGGGGGGGGGGGGGGGTTAGAGAAAAGTAGACAGCGAGGGAGTAGGGAGAGACAGAAAGATAAAAGGGGGGTGGGTATTGGCAGGGTTGACAGAGGAGCATTTATTATTCTTTTTACCTCGTAATTCCTGATCACAGGTTTACAGAAGGTGTCTGCATTAAATGCTCACAATTATTTCGAGTGGCTATCCTTGGACACTGGATTTAGGTTTTCATTGCGATGGCTAATAGTGCTTCATAGTTTTGCCCTTTTCAGTGGGGTCTGCCCTCAGCAGCCAAACACACAAGACCTCCTCTATAGCTGCCACTGACGTCAGCAGTCACCTAGCAACAGCCTTTTGGTGTAAAAGCGGCAGTGCTAACACTGTTTTCAATTGAGAGAGAGAGAGAGAGAGAGAGAGAGAGAGAGAGAGACAGGGAGAAAAAGTTTCATCAGAACAGTGAACAGTTCAGTTGCCATCTTGAATTTGACTAACAGGATTATTGGTGCTATTCAGTCACAAATAAGCTGTAATTGCCAAAACAGCTAAACACCAATAAGGCTTGTATAGAGGTGAGTGTTGGAGATAGACCATGGCTATCCGTAAATTTAAAAAACAAGAAAATGATGCCGTCTGGTTTGCTTAATAAGGAATTTGAAATTATTTATACTTTTACTTTTGATACTTAAATATATTTTAGCAATTACATTTACTTTCGATACTTAAGTATATTTAAAACCAAATACTTTTACTCAAGTAGTATTTTACTGGGTGACTTTCACTTGAGTCATTTTCTATTAAGGTATCTTTACTTTTACTCAAGTATGACAATTGGGTACTTTTTCCACCACTGCAAACACAAACTAACCATCCTCGCAGTCCCATTCCTCCAACATTCTCCCCAACCCCCAGCGAGCCAACTGTAACTCAACCGAGATCTTTCACGTACGTCACTAGATCTCTGATCTCACCTAACCACTCCTCCTCCTAAACCCGCTATGGGCTCCCCTGCTCTCCCTCCCTCCTTCTTACCCAGCCAGCCACTGGGCTGAACAAACAGCTTCTTTTTTTTCTTACACTGGACGCATGCAAGGTTCAACAACCTCCTTGTCGACTTAAAAGCTACTAGGCCACCTTAAATGTTTGAACTGTTGGGAACCTCGAGATGAGCCATGCAGAAAATCCCTGCTCCTCTTGAAACAAATGAGAGGTGCTGAGTATATGGCTAATACAGTTCCAATATTCTGCCCCTGGGTTGAGCAGAGTAGGCTTTCTCTCCCTGTGATCAGTGGAGGTGTAAATATGGTGGTTGGTTGGTGTGTCCACAGATAGACTCAACACAGTCCCAGAGAGAGAAGCCTCTTAACTCTCAAATATAACCATTAAATACTACTACTCATCACCGACCGACCGCTCGGGAACTTTATGCACCGTTCCATGTGCTTCGACCACATACAGCACACACACGTACACAGGGTCAGATAAGAGAAGAACATCACATCAGGGCTCATTGGAAGAGCATTTAATGGGAACTTTCTCTGCCTAGTCATCTCACTTCTATAATAAACACCACTCTTCAGGCCACTTTCACTGCCTTTTTTATACACACAAAAAAAATTATAAATTCTGTGAAAAAATTCTACATATGAAATAAGATAATTAAAGTTTATCTGTGAAAACAAAAACAAACATGACAAAATATAGGTAAAAAGCATAAATTATTTCCTAGAGTTGTTTGGAGGACAATTCCTTTCGCTGTTAGCAACAGCCATTGGACTAAGCCCTGGCAGACCTATCTTGAAAACTAAAGAGCTGCAAGCTAATTGCTGGTGATCATGACGCAAACCGTTTCCAAGGTAACCCAAGTTTTGGAGTACCCGCTCCAGCATTTCCTCATCTGTTTGCACTCACACCAGCAGGCTGACAATGCAGTCGCTGCATCCTGTTTCACTCTGCAGTCAGCCAAACACACAGAGCACCTCTCTCGGCTTGCTCCCTCGCTGCTGCTGTTAACCCTTTCATTCAACAAGTCCTGATGTCTGCTGCCAAGTAGAAAATTAACACCAAACCACTGACAGAGAACATTGAATAAAAATAAAATAAAATAAAAAAGAGAACATTGAATTTAACTAGCAAATAAATAGTTTCTAGAATACCTGATACCTGTGTATGTTTTATCTACCTAATACATAATGAGGAGTTTTGTCTTAATTTGAGCTGAGATACAACAAGATAATAATCAAATATTAGACTAATACAAATATTTTTGTATTAAAACATGACACTGATCATTTTGGGGTATTTAATGAATATTTTTTGTGAAAAAATTAAACAAAAGACAGCAACGATAGCTGGGCTGCACCCTATGTATCAGAAAATTGAAGTAACAATGCAAACTAAGTTTAGGATTTAACTGTCAAGCTCACACACCGAGATCTGAATATTCTGGTTAAGAGTCACGCTGAACAGATATTCCGTATGTGTCAACAACTGTGAATATTGGATAGATCTGTTCACTCATAGCTGCTGGAAGAAATGTGCTACCTTTATTACCTATCCGTTACCTATCTAGTTAAAATGTTACATTTCAAAAGGGTAACATCTGTTTATTTTACTATGTATTGCTTTATATGTTTTGCATAAGTCAGTAATGTATATTTCAAAATTGACTATATGAAGCTTTGAGGACTTGCGTCTGGCAGGCCTACGTATGTCTACTGTCCTTATTGGAGAGGCCCTGCCTGCTGTGTATGTGTGTGTGTGTGTGTGTATATGTGTGTGTGTATGTGTGTGTGTGTGTTCACGTGCAGCAACAGTGTCCTGACCATGTGTGATGTGAAAAGGCCTGAGTGGTGTCTTGGCCTTAATTTAAGGTCTAATTTGATTACCGCTCATGCGTTTACTTGTGCAAGGCAGGAAGAGTGACTCACTTCCTTAGTTCAACATTTAAACATTTTACATCAGTAAAAAATAAAATAAATATATATATATATATATATATATATATATATATATATATATATATATATATACTTATCCGAAAAAGAGATCATGCTACTGCTATATAATATAATAATATAATATGCCATTTAGCAGATATTGAGAGAACCATGTTACATTGTTATCAAGCAAATGTTAGGCTACAATATTTGTCTTTGTTGATTTCTGTTCACAATGTGTCTTGCTTGTATTGCCAGTGAAAGTATATAGGTGTATTTGGTATTATAGAAAATCTAATTCAACACCATAAGCAATATACTGTAGCTAGCTCCAACAGACTGTTATAGCTTTGACCCTGTCAGTGCATTCTAGGACTTGTTTCCCTAAATGTAATTCAGGAGCCCCTTATCTCTGAGCCCATTACAGCTGAGCACAAGAGGAGATCATGTACTGAGACTACACAGAAAGAAATGAGTTGAGGAGATAGACTAAATAAGTTGGATGGATCACAGACAACAACAAGTAGGTCTATATATTTTTTACTCAGTCAAAAATCACAGAATTGCTAGAAATTATCAAAAGAATGACTAAAGATATGGTGTAGCCTTATTTTAATATTGAATAAAACAACTATGTGCCATATTCCAGAAATATGCACGCAAATTACATATTCTCTTACTATATAGAAAAACAATAACTGATCTCATAATATACAGTACTTAAGATATTACACACGTCATCCATCATCTGTGTTGAATCAAAGCACTCATTTGTTAAATTTACTCAAGCAATTTTACAATCAGTTTAGGCTAAATATAATTACCATAAATTACCAACACTTGAACTCTATTCAATTAATGTTTATCTTCATAAAAATATTTCCAAAAAAACAACAAAAACAGAATTCAAAGTGAGAAGAAAAAAATCACCTTGGTTTCTCAAGAATATTACATGTTAAAAACAAAAAATAAAGATGCATAAATGATACATTGTATTTGACTAATTTAAACAATCCTACATACAACGTTTAGTAGTATTTGCATTTTCCTCCGTGCATTCTCTCCCCTTCTCATCACATCTAGAGGCAGTCACTAAATTCTACAGGGCGATTAGTAAAACTTGCCTTTTTTTTTGCAGTCACACTCGTACGTCACTGGGTAGTGACGTCAATGTTATATCATTCCACATGGCTTTACAGCAAGAGAACGTGACAGCTGAGAGGCGCTCTGCTTTTCCGCCGCCTTGCTCTCTCCCCCTCTCCCTCCCCTCTCTATCACTCTCTCTCTATGCAGCCTGCTGCACTGTCCTCATGTGTATAGTTAAGAATTGGTTAAGAGCATTATTTACCCCTGCCTGACTCCCAAAACACCCAGGAGCACTAACACTACAAAAACAGGGGTCCATCTATGGTTCACCCTCGCCTGACCAGGTTTAAACCATCCTTCCCTCTCTCCATACGACCAAGGAACATCGCAACTGTTCTTACAGGATATTCTAGAATGTTACATTGAAACGCCATACTTCATACTATATAGTCCTACTTAATCAAACAAATGTTCTACTCATACTATGCTCTTTTAAATAATGGTGGTTAATTAGATTATTATACAAACAGTAATTTTGACATCTGGCCCTGAATTGCAGAGAGGACCTGGTCAGCACATGAGTTGGACTCATAAAGTAGGATGTGGAAAACAGAAGCATAATGTCGACAGCATAATTACGGGTCTGTCCATCAGAGTTGAGTATAAATGGTTCTGTAATGACACAAAGTGGAACATCATAATTTGACAGTTTTTGTGACTGAAATTATACTGCAGGAGATTGTAGAGATCATATTTTGAATATCTTACTATAAGACAAAACAAATCCATAGTGCAGGGATCATCAACTAGATTCAGCCGCGAGCAAATGGTCAGGAGGCCGGAACATAATTACAAATAATTTGTATACCGCAAATTGACCGCAGGAAGCTCAAACAGATATACAGTAATATTAGACTAAAACATAATAATTTCAAATCTTGCTTACACACACATACTATATATATATATATATATATATATATATATATATATATATATATATATATATATATATATACACACACACAGTGGGGGAAAAAAGTATTTAGTCAGCCACCAATTGTGCAAGTTCTCCCACTTAAAAAGATGAGAGAGGCCTGTAATTTTCATCATAGGTACACGTCAACTATGACAGACAAAATTCGATTTTTTTTTCCAGAAAATCACATTGTAGGATTTTTAATGAATTTATTTGCAAATTATGGTGGAAAATAAGTATTTGGTCAATAACAAAAGTTTCTCAATACTTTGTTATATACCCTTTGTTGGCAATGACACAGGTCAAACGTTTTCTGTAAGTCTTCACAAGGTTTTCACACACTGTTGCTGGTATTTTTGCCCATTCCTCCATGCAGATCTCCTCTAGAGCAGTGATGTTTTGGGGCTGTCGCTGGGCAACACGGACTTTCAACTCCCTCCAAAGATTTTCTATGGGGTTGAGATCTGGAGACTGGCTAGGCCACTCCAGGACCTTGAAATGCTTCTTACGAAGCCACTCCTTCGTTGCCCGGGCGGTGTGTTTGGGATCATTGTCATGCTGAAAGACCCAGCCACGTTTCATCTTCAATGCCCTTGCTGATGGAAGGAGGTTTTCACTCAAAATCTCACGATACATGGCCCCATTCATTCTTTCCTTTACACGGATCAGTCGTCCTGGTCCCTTTGCAGAAAAACAGCCCCAAAGCATGATGTTTCCACCCCCATGCTTCACAGTAGGTATGGTGTTCTTTGGATGCAACTAAGCATTCTTTGTCCTCCAAACACGACGAGTTGAGTTTTTACCAAAAAGTTATATTTTGGTTTCATCTGACCATATGACATTCTCCCAATCCTCTTCTGGATCATCCAAATGCACTCTAGCAAACTTCAGACGGGCCTGGACATGTACTGGCTTAAGCAGTGGGACACGTCTGGCACTGCAGGATTTGAGTCCCCACGTAGTGTGTTACTGATGGTAGGCTTTGTTACTTTGGTCCCAGCTCTCTGCAGGTCATTCACTAGGTCCCCTCGTGTGGTTCTGGGATTTTTGCTCACTGTTCTTGTGATGATTTTGACCCCACGGGATGAGATCTTGCGTGGAGCCCCAGATCGAGGGAGATTATCAGTGGTCTTGTATGTCTTCCATTTCCTAATAATTGCTCCCACAGTTGATTTCTTCAAACCAAGCTGCTTACCTATTGCAGATTCAGTCTTCACAGCCTGGTGCAGGTCTACAATTTTGTTTCTGGTGTCCTTTGACAGCTCTTTGGTCTTGGCCATAGTGGAGTTTGGAGTGTGACTGTTTGAGGTTGTGGACAGGTGTCTTTTATACTGATAACAAGTTCAAACAGCTGCCATTAATACAGGTAACGAGTGGAGGACAGAGGAGCTTCTTAAAGAAGAAGTTACAGGTCTGTGAGAGCCAGAAATCTTGCTTGTTTGTAGGTGACCAAATACTTATTTTCCACCATAATTAGCAAATAAATTCATGAAAAATCCTACAATGTGATTTTCTGGAGAAAAAAAATGTCAATTTGTCTGTCATAGTTGACGTGTACCTATGATGAAAATTACAGGCCTCTCTCATCTTTTTAAGTGGGAGAAAATGCACAATTGGTGGCTGACTAAATACTTTCTTCCCCCACTGTACATACACAGTGAGGGAAAAAAGTATTTGATCCCCTGCTGATTTTGTACGTTTGCCCACTGACAAAGAAATGATCAGTCTATAATTTTAATGGTAGGTTTATTTGAACAGTGAGAGACAGAATAAAAATCCAGAAAAACGCATGTCAAAAATGTAATAAATTGATTTGCATTTTAATGAGGGAAATAAGTATTTGACCCCCTCTCAATCAGAAAGATTTCTGGCTCCCAGGTGTCTTTTATACAGGTAACGAGCTGAGATTAGGAGCACACTCTTAAAGGGAGTGCTCCTAATCTCAGCTTGTTACCTGTATAAAAGACACCTGTCCACAGAAGCAATCAATCAATCAGATTCCAAACTCTCCACCATGGCCAAGACCAAAGAGCTCTCCAAGGATGTCAAGGACAAGATTGTAGACCTATACAAGGCTGGAATGGGCTACAAGACCCTCGCCAAGCAGCTTGGTGAGAAGGTGACAACAGTTGGTGCGATTATTTGCAAATGGAAGAAACACAAAAGTACTTTCAATCTCCCTCGGCCTGGGGCTCCATGCAAGATCTCACCTCGTGGAGTTGCAATGATCATGAGAACGGTGAGGAATCAGCCCAGAACTACACGGGAGGATCTTGTCAATGATCTCAAGGCAGCTGGGACCATAGTCACATGGTAACACATTACGCCGTGAAGGACTGAAATCCTGCAGTGCCCGCAAAGTCCCCCTGCTCAAGAAAGCACATATACAGGGCGTCTGAAGTTTGCCAATGAAGATCTGAATGATTCAGAGGAGAACTCTGTGAAAGTGTTGTGGTCAGATGAGACCAAAATCGAGCTCTTTGGCATCAACTCAACTCGCCGTGTTTGGAGGAGGCGGAATGCTGCCTAAGACCCCAAGAACACCATCACCACCGTCAAACATGGAGGTGGAAACATTATGCTTTGGGGATGTTTTTCTGCTAAGGGGACAGGACAACTTCACCGCATCAAAGAGACGATGGACGGGGCCATGTACCGTCAAATCTTGGGTGAGAACCTCCTTCCCTCAGCCAGGGCATTGAAAATGGCTCGTGGATGGGTATTCCAGCATGACAATGACCCAAAACACACGGCCAAGGCAACAAAGGAGTGGCTCAAGAAGAAGCACATTAAGGTCCTGGAGGGGCCTAGCCAGTCTCCAGACCTTAATCCCATAGAAAATCTGTGGAGGGAGCTGAAGGTTCGAGTTGCCAAACGTCTGCCTCGAAACCTTAATGACTTGGAGAAGATCTGCAAAGAGGAGTGGAACAAAATCCCTCCTGAGATGTGTGCAAACCTGGTGGCCAACTACAAGAAACGTCTGACCTCTGTGATTGCCAACAAGGGTTTTGCGACCAAGTACTAAGTCATGTTTTGCAGAGGGGTCAAATACTTATTTCCCTCGTTAAAATGAAAATCAATTTATATCATTTTTGACATGCGTTTTTCTGGATTTTTTTGTTGTTATTCTGTCTCTCACTGTTCAAATAAACCTACCATACACACACACACACACACACACACACACACACACACACACACACACACACACAGAGACACACACATACATATATACAGTGTGGAGAACAAGTATTTGATACACTGCCGATTTTGCAGGTTTTCCTACTTACAAAGCATGTAGAGGTCTGTAATTTTTATCATAGGTACACTTCAACTGTGAGAGACGGAATCTAAAACAAAAATCCAGAAAATCACATCGTATGATTTGTAAGTAATTCATTTGCATTTTATTGCATGACATAAATATTTGATACATCAGAAAAGCAGAACTTAATATTTGGTACAGAAACTTTTGTTTGCAATTACAGAGATCATACGTTTCCTGTAGGTCTTGACCAGGTTTGCACACACTACAGCAGGGATTTTGGCCCACTCCTCCATACAGACCTTCTCCAGATCCTTCAGGTTTCGGGGCTGTCGCTGGGCAATACAGACTTTCAGCTCCCTCCAAAGCTAGGCCACTCCAGGACCTTGAGATGCTTCTTACGGAGACACTCCTTAGTTGCCCTGGCTGTGTGTTTCGGGTCGTTGTCATGCTGGAAGACCAAGCCACAACCCATCTTCAATGCTCTTACTGAGGGAAGGAGGTTGTTGGCCAAGATCTCGCGATACATGGCCCCATCCATCCTCCCCTCAATACGGTGCAGTCGTCCTGTCCCCTTTGCAGAAAAGCATCCCCAAAGAATGATGTTTCCACCTCCATGCTTCACGGTTGGGATGGTGTTCTTGGGGTTGTACTCATCCTTCTTCTTCCTCCAAACACGGCGAGTGGAGTTTAGACCAAAAAGCTCTATTTTTGTCTCATCAGACCACATGACCTTCTCCCATTCCTCCTCTGGATCATCCAGATGGTCATTGGCAAACTTCAGACGGGCCTGGACATGCGCTGGCTTGAGCAGGGGGACCTTGCGTGCGCTGCAGGATTTTAATCCATGACGGCGTAGTGTGTTACTAATGGTTTTCTTTGAGACTGTGGTCCCAGCTCTCTTCAGGTCATTGACCAGGTCCTGCCGTGTAGTTCTGGGCTGATCCCTCACCTTCCTCATGATCATTGATGCCCCACGAGGTGAGATCTTGCATGGAGCCCCAGACCGAGGGTTATTGACCGTCATCTTGAACTTCTTCCATTTTCTAATAATTGCACCAAAAGTTGTTGCCTTCTCACCAAGCTGCTTGCCTATTGTCCTGTAGCCCATCCCAGCCTTGTGCAGGTCTACAATTTTATCCCTGATGTCCTTACACAGCTCTCTGGTCTTGGCCATTGTGGAGAGGTTGGAGTCTGTTTGATTGAGTGTGTGGACGGTGTCTTTTATACAGGTAACAAGTTCAAACAGGTGCAGTTAATACAGGTAATGAGTGGAGAACAGGAGGGCTTCTTAAAGAAAAACTAACAGGTCTGTGAGAGTCGGAATTCTTACTGGTTGGTAGGTGATCAAATACTTATGTCATGCAATAAAATGCAAATTAATTACTTAAAAATCATACAATGTGATTTTCTGGATTTTTGTTTTAGATTCCGTCTCTCACAGTTGAAGTGTACCTATGATAAAAATTACAGACCTCTACATGCTTTGTAAGTAGGAAAACCTGCAAAATCGGCAGTGTATCAAATACTTGTTCACCCCACTGTATATATTGTGTGGGAATACTTTGGAACAGATTTTCAAAGTTAAAATTTGCTGGTGTTTTTACAGTATATTATGTCCATCCATTAAAATAATGGGGAACCTTGCCATAGTGCACGATTTAGGTGAGATGGGACAGGGGCCGAGCGAAAGCAGACTCAAAGAGCCTGATAGGAGAGGGGTGTAAAGAGTAAGATATCATGCAGCATAAAGAGTAGTGCTATATACAGTGGGGGGAAAAAGTATTTAGTCAGCCACCAATTGTGCAGGTTCTCCCACTTAAAAAGATGAGAGAGGCCTGTAATTTTCATCATAGGTACACGTCAACTATGACAGACAAAATGAGGAAAAAAAATCCAGAAAATCACATTGTAGGATTTTTAATGAATTTATTTGCAAATTATGGTGGAAAATAAGTATTTGGTCACCTACAAACAAGCAAGATTTCTGGCTCTCACAGACCTGTAACTTCTTCTTTAAGAGGATCCTCTGTCCTCCACTCGTTACCTGTATTAATGACACCTGTTTGAACTTGTTATCAGTATAAAAGACACCTGTCCACAACCTCAAACAGTCACACTCCAAACTCCACTATGGCCAAGACCAAAGAGCTGTAAAGGACACCAGAAACAAAATTGTAGACCTGCACCAGGCTGGGAAGACTGAATCTGCAATAGGTAAGCAGCTTGGTTTGAAGAAATCAACTGTGGGAGCAATTATTAGGAAATGTAAGACATACAAGACCACTGATTCTCTCCCTCGATCTGGGGCTCCACGCAAGATTTCACCCCGTGGGGTCAAAATGATCACAAGAACGGTGAGCAAAAATCCCAGAACCACACGGGGGGACATAGTGAATGACCTGCAGAGAGCTGGGACCAAAGTAACAAAGCCTACCATCAGTAACACACTACGCCGCCAGGGACTCAAATCCTGCAGTGCCAGATGTGTCCCCCTGCTTAAGCCAGTACATGTCCAGGCCCGTCTGAAGTTTGCTAGAGTGCATTTGGATGATCCAGAAGAGGGTTGGGAGAATGTCATATGGTCAGATGAAACCAAAATATAACTTTTTGGTAAAAACTCAACTCGTCGTGTTTGGAGGACAAAGAATGCTGAGTTGCATCCAAAGACACCATACCTACTGTGAAGCATGGGGGTGGAAACATCATGCTTTGGGGCTGTTTTTCTGCAAAGGGACCCGGGCTCGATCCGTGTAAGGAAATATGAATGGGGCCATGTATCGTGAGATTTTAGGTAAACCACCTGTTCCTTCCACCGCAGGGCATTGAAGAGAAACGTGGCTGGTCTTTCAGCATCAATGGTCCAAACCCACCCCCGAACGAGGGAAGATGTGGTCTTGTATTGCAGCCATTTCTAAGGCTCCCCAGTGATTTGCCCTAGCCAGCCTCCAGATCTCACCCCATAGAACTCTTTGAGGGAGTTAAATTTGTTTCCCGGCCGCCCAAACATCACTGCTCTAGATGAATCTGGCATAGGAGGGATGGCCAAAAACCAGCAACAGTGTGTGAAAACCTGTAAAACTTCAGAAACGTTTTGACAGGGTCATTGCCAACAAAGGGTATATAACCAAAGTATTGGAAAAACTTGTGTTATTGACCAATACTTATTTTCCACCATAATTTGCAAATAAATTCATACAAAATCATACAATGTGATTTTCTGGAGAAAATAAATCTCAATTTGTCTGTCATAGTTGACGTGTACCTATGATGAAAATTACAGGCCTCTCTCATCTTTTTAAGTGGGAGAACTTGCACAATTGGTGGCTGACTAAATACTTTTTTTCCCCACTGTAAGGGGGTCTTACGAGACAGACACTGTAGGCGGGTCACATCCAGGCAAGGGGCCTGGGCATCCCTACTATAGCTAGACTGTTTGGGGGTTGTTTTCAGGATTTTAATTGGTGTGGAAAAGAGTTCCTGCGGATTTCTGATATAAATTATTTTGGGGACATTTGGGGGAAATCCTATGACTTGGTGACTGTTCCATTGATGATTCATTTTTAAATCATACAAACACCTTCGCTGAGACAAAAACACAAATCCCTCCCATACTGCTCCATGAATTATGAATCAGTAGTCTCGCCATCACTTCATTAATACATGATGTCCAAAGTGAGATCTCTAAAATGGCAGCAGCAGCATCATTGTTGCGTAGGGCATTCCCTTCCCAGTCCGCCTGACACATTGAAGGATCTCACCAACAACAAACAGATGTGTTCACTCACACAGAGGTCGTCAGCATGCAGCCGCACTACAGTACATACCGACCGGTAGGTCACATGAACACAGGGCCACGGCCTATCGTTTTCAAAACTTCGCAATCAGTTTTCTAGTGAACACAAAAAGGTTATTTTCACACTTTCAGAGCCATGTACACTACCAGTCAAAAGTTTTAGAACACCTACTCATTCAAGGTATTTTATTTATTTGTACTATTTTCTACATTGTAGAATAATAGTGAAGACATCAAAACTATGAAATAACACATATAGAATCATGTAGTAACCAAAGAATTGTTCAACAACTTTGAACACTCTTGGCATTCTCTCAACCAGCTTCACCTGAAATGCTTTTCCAACAGTCTTGAAGGAGTTCCCACATTTGCTGAGCACTTGTTGGCTGCTTTTCCTTCACTCTGCGGTCTGACTCATCCCAAACCATCTCAATTTGGTTGAGGTTGGAGGATTGTGGAGGCCAGGTCATGTGATGCAGCACTCTATCACTCTCCTTCTTGGTAAAATAGCCCTTACACAACCTGGTGGTGTGTTGGGTCATTGTCCTATTGAAAAACAAATGATAGTCCCACTAAACCCAACCCAGATGGGATGGCGTATCGCTGCAGAATGCTGTGGTAGCCATGCTGGTTAAGTGTGCCTTGAATTCTAAATAAATCACAGACAGTGTCACCAGCAAAGCACCCCCACACCATAACACCTCGTCCGCCATGCTTTACGGTGGGAACTACACATGCGGAGATCATCCGTTCACCCACACCGCGTCTCACAAAGACACGGCGGTTGGAACCAAAAATCTCCAATTTGGACTCCAGACCAAAGGACAACTTTCCACCGGTCTAATGTCCATTGCTCGTGTTTCTTGGCCCAAGCAAGTCTCTTCTTATTATTGGTGTCCTTTAGTAGTGGTTTCTTTGCAGCAATTCGACCATGAAGGCCTGATTCACACAGTCTCCTCTGAACAGTTAATGTTGAGATGTGTCTGTTACTTGAACTCTGTGAAGCATTTATTTGGGCTGCAATTTCTGAGACTGGTAACTCTAATGAACTTATCCTCTGCAGCAGAGGAAACTCTGGGTCTTCCATTCCTGTGGGGGTCCTCATGAAAGCCAGTTTCATCATAGTGCTTGACGTTCTTTGCGACTGCACTTGAAGAAACGTTCAAAGTTCTTGACATTTTCCATATTGACTGACCTTCATGTCTTAAAGTAATGATGGACTGTCGTTTCTCTTTGCTTATTTGAGCTGTTCTTGCCATAATATGGACTTGGTCTTTTCCCAAATAGAGACATCTTCTGTATACCACCCCCACCTTGTCACAACACAACTGATTGGCTCAAATGCATTAAAAATGAAAGAAATTCCACAAATTAACTTTTAACAAGGCACACCTGTTAATTGAAATGCATTCCAGGTGACTACCTCATGAAGCTGATTGAGAGAATGCCAAGAGTGTGCAAAGCTGTCATCAAGGCAAAGGGTGGCTATTTGAAGAATCTCAAATATAAAATATATTTTGATTTATTTAACACTTTTTTGGTTACTACATGATTCCATATGTGTTATTTCATAGTTTTGATGTCTTCACTATTATTCTACAATGTAAAAAATAGTAAAAATAAATAAAACATATAAATATAAAAACCTTGAATGAGTAGGTGTGTCCAAACTTTTGACTGGTAGTGTATATTTTTCGTTTCCAAAGCTATAATATACCCAATCAATGGGTCAAATCAGAGCTAGAGTCAGAGTACAAATAAAGAGCTTTAAACATCTAAGAATCAATTTGGAGAGGTGATAGGACTGAATGAGCAGTAGGGAGGTGACTGAGGGGCGTTGATGCAGCCCATGCAGCCATGTCCTTTGAGAAGCCAAACACCTGCGATAACAGGCCCTCAGCAAGCGTCAGCGCCCGCCCACCACACTGACCCACTTGCCTCCAGCTGCACAATGCCAAACCCACAGACAAACTTCCTCATGAGTTCAAGATCAACCGATAAAGCCAGAACTGCTCATAGACCCACACCAGGAGAGACAAAACATACAGCTCAGTTACCAAAAGACAGCAAATCAGTTTCCCTAGACAAAGGAACACATGGCTGTGTGTGTGTGTGTGTGTGTGAAGGACACACGTTCTTTAAGTCACTCATTAACCTTGGATCACTTTCTCTTTAAATACTTTATCTTTGTCCTCATATCGAGCCTACCAATATGCCACAAAGTGTAGTGATGTGACACAGGATGTCAGTACACTACACAGGATGTCCAACCTGCCCCTTTTGCAGGAATGACACACATGTCAAACAATAGACAAAAAAATCTGATTTTGTCATGATAGCCCAAACACCACAAAAAAAAGAGAAACTGTCTGCTTTCAAATCATGGATTTATTTCCCCACAAGACATACAATAATTTTTGTCTATGCCTAGATGAAGTGACTGTTTTTTATTTATCTTTGTGAACTCTAGGTGTGGGGGCCAACATGTCTGTTTCAATGAAAACATTGCTACAAATGTAGGACTTTTTTATTCTGTGAGAAATGTAACCTATACAGGTAAGAGCACTGTATCGTCTTTCTACCGTTCTCATGTGTGCAGTATTTTACCATTATTCTATCACTGAAAAAATAACATGATAACAACAGTGTAATACTGCAGGAATAATACTAGCCTATCTAATACAGCCTAATCAAATAGGCTAACCATCTTACTACAGAAATCAAGCCTTTAATACAATTACAAGTTCAGAACCTCAAAATCTGACTCACTGTGTGAACTCAATTGTTTAAATGTTCTATTGACTGCTCCCATTGTATGTGGAATACTTGTGAGATGGCGCACTGTTCCTTTCAAAGGACCATGCACTGAAAATGTGTTTGTGAATCTCCTGTTTTCTGTTACCAAAATTGCATTTCAGGTAGAGAAGGCTCCACCATCGGTGCCAGGATTTTACAACTGTTTTACTGTAGGCCCTTGTTCACAGTTTCAGGTTAGGTTTAGCTTTCTTTTGATTTTGTGCAACGTAAACTAATAATTCAATATCAAACAGACGATGCACAAGACGTCAAACAGATATCAAGCAGCACTAGACGCACCTTCTGGTCCATGCCACTGTAGTTGGGTTTAAAGAAGTAGTAGGCTGCGCTGATGACGAGCACAGGGCCATTACGCTGTGGGAAAGAAGGCTATGACTCACAGGCAGGGGCCAGGGAGAGTGCCTGTTAGCTGGGCTCGTCAGGTGGAGAAGCCATGAGGCCACACATGACGTGAGACAGCGTATCAATGAGATTATCACTATAGCTGGCCAGTCCATCAGTTTAGAAACCACAACGGAGTTGGATGGCTACCAAATGGCTAATACACTTAAAAAGTGCAAGCGTAAGGTATGATGACTAAGTTTCCAAAGAGAATCAGGAAGTGCAGGAGAGGCTGAGGTGTTGCTGTGTACTAGCTAGTTCATAAGATCACAGGACAGACCGTGGCACCTTTATCTCAACCAAGTAAGACGGTCATAAGCTTAATGTCGCTCTCCATACACACCACATGCACAGGCATTTGCTAGTCAACAAAGAATACAGATTCAATGTACCTTTCCCCAGCAACATCCCCTGAAAGTATGACAATTTTACTATCTATATGAGGGAGGGTACTTTTACAAGATAATGGGCTACATCCTCTGTCTGAAATACAATGCAAGCAAAGTTGCCCAAGAAAAGTAACATTTTAAATAGTTTGGAATAGGCCTACTGCTGCTTGCAATGTCGTGTGCAAAACACTTTTACACTGTTTACTTTAACTCTGCATAAATAATCGCTACCTTCCCACGGACATTGTAAAAGAAGGCTACTGTGACTGTGAGTATTATGGTCTAGGCCTATTTGTGCTCTGCAAGGATTGTTTTACGGATAGATGATGTCACCCTTAAAGTCAAACTGCAATACATTTCTAAGAATGTCAAGTAATCTTGAAAACAACACAATAAATAAGATAACACACTGATTGTTATGTAATGATTTGATCTGAGTTGAAACGTAAAACTTTGTGTCCAACACTTAGAGCCAAACTAGCCTACATCTGGACTTTTTTTGCCTGACTGTTTTGGCTGTACAAATCATTGCTTTTTAGCATGAACTATCAAGCTGAAATCCTAACTTCAGTATCTTTAAGAAAAACATGACTGATATGCCAATGTAAACCAAACTTTAAAAATGTAAGATATCAGAGTCCAAAATAAGAAATACAGTATCAGTGCTTATATCACTGATCATTCATCATTGGGACAAATAGTCTTATGCGCAGAATGTCAAACCTAATACCAGAGAAGGTTTGACATGACACAAAGTGAGGTGATAGACATGTAAATGAGATGTAAAACTTTCTCTTCTCTGCATTATGGTCCTCCTTAGTCATGCCTTTGTTGACCTATTTAATTCAGAATGGAGTAGGCCTATATCATAGGTATTTTAACTGTATTAGTAGGTGTGCAAAGGAGTATCAAGCACAGTATGTAGGCCTGCATACAAAAATAGCATTGTGTATCTTTGTGATCCACATTTTAAAAAACAGCATAGCGAATTGTAGCAGCAGGGCTCTACAGTGCGACCATTTTACTTGCATATGCGCTTAAATATTTTGCTGTGCAACCTGGAATTTCAATTTAGGAGCACCCGTGCGCCCAAAAAAATATCACCCAGATGATAAATTGTTGCAATGATTACCTCACTATACCGCAGCCCCCAAGTGCCATGGAGAATACACTGAGCGCAGATTCATGACCGTCATGCTTGCACCCTTAGTACAAAGAATCCGGCTTGTTACCTCAAATATTTTTCATTGTGCTAAATTTATTTGTGTGCTCCTACATTTTTCAACTTAGGCGCACACATGCTCCTTGTAAAAAAAGGTCAGTGTAGAGCCCTGAGCAGGATGTGTTAGTGCTCCATAACTAGGTCTACATAGTTATCATGTGAGAGTTCCTGCAAGAGACAGGCCTACTAAAACGGAGTTGTCTTTCAAAGACTTAAAATTATTTTGATTTCAGCTGCACATGGTCTCATATCAAAAGGTGGTGGTGTTGATACTTGTCTGGCTGCTAACACTGAACTTTTGCTGTGTGGAAACTAGAAACAATTAACAAACAAGGCCTAAATGCATCACTGTCTGGCAACAATGGATCTAATGCAGAACAGGACACACAGCATACCATCATATCAATATCAACAGAGCTTCAGGACAAAAGCAAGGATTGTCTCTAAACTTTGTATTCAAACCCAAAAGTTGTTGACTACTGATCGTATATGGTGGTGTGTTTTTAAATTATAAAAACATTTTTTTTACGATAAATATTAATTTGTGGAAAACGTTATTATGTAAATCTTTCCGCATTGCCAATTTTGAAAGACACATTTCCTTTTAAGGTCAAAATCATTATTTTTTTCAAGTGACATGAGTTAGTCTTTTCCACATTCCACACAGCATTTGTCATAAGCATCATGTGCTGAGCCAAAAAATATATAAATGATTTTACAATACATTTCTGATGAATCAATGACCAACAAATCATGTAATGTTATGATATATGAGGCGCTATTTAATGTGTGACCAAATAAGTCAGGTCAGCTATGCATGTGTGGATGACAAGTATGATCTAGGCTTAATTACTATTAGTCTACATTACATCATGACAAAGTGTCACATATAAGACTTGACTGTGGACACTGAACCTGACGCGCACATCACACTCTTAAAGCCCTTGACTGCGATATTCAAACATGGTCCTTCAGCTAGGACAGTACCGCGTTTTGGGTGATGCTGGCACTCCTGTCCCCTCTTGTTAAGTCAATACAGTTGGACAACAGGCAGTGAGATCTTTATTTCACTGATCAATACTGGTCTACACCAATGCCCATCACTGCCTGACAACATTAACGCTAGAACAGACCTGTATGGTAGTATCCAGACTTGAGTCTGCAATCTATTCCTGACACAACATCCACTGCAGGACAATGAGTCAAATGAACAAACAACAAATTCAATGTTGTGTTGTATGAGTGAAGTGTGCTATTACAACACTGTAATAAAACATCCTTTATACAGCTTATGCGTCTTATCTTTTCTTAATAATCTTAATCTTTAAGGTAGTCCATTTTACAACAAAGGTTATTGCTAAAACAATATTTGGCAGGTCACTTTTATAAAATGTCACAGGTTCATAGACAGAACCAGAGGCGCAAAACTAAATCCGGATAAATCTAATTGACAATGAACAATATGATAGGCTAATCTAATATGTTCAGAGGGGGCAGAGCACAGACTAAAATGTCATCTGAACATATTGCCCTCATTGGATTTGAAAACTCTTATTGTTAATGTGTGGCACTACACCTAAATATTTCACAAATAAACTAGAATCAGCTACCATCACTGATTATAAAATAAAGGCGGACTGCAGTCCATAAAGTTTCTACACACAAATAGCCTGTTATTATACATCTTTAAAGGAATTACATTCCTTGAGGTTTTTAAAATATGGAATATAATTTGATGCTAAAGCCTGATGCCTATTTATTCTCAGAGTGGACACGGCCCGATCCTTCCAAAAACAGCTTCTTTCTGATACACAATTGGTTCTTGAGCTCAGACGCTTAAAATGTAAGCAAGCTAGCAATATTTCACATCCCTGCAAATAATGTTATGATTGGGCCTGTGTAAGAAAGTAATAATAAGCTATTTCATCAAGTTGTCTCCTTCAAAAAATCAAGGGGTCCATTTTTTTGTACAAATTGTAGCCTATAACATTTTACAGACAGCACCTTTAAAAAGGGCTTGCCTTGCTCAGCTGGGCCACAGTGATGTTGTTTGTTACAATCAACTGTAAGTGTGAACATGATGTTTGACTATTGGGGGGTCTTGGATGAATATCTTCCATCTTGAACTATTGGGGAATGAATACCTTCCATGGTCACAATACATTGCCTGGAATACAGTGAGTGTTGAAGCCAAATAAATACACTTGATGTTACTCACACTTTCCATTGCAGTGGACTCACACCAGGGTATCCTAACTACAGTGAAATAATAACCTTATAGGGCACTTTAGAGATGAGTGAATATGTAGTACTAACCACTTATTTTCTTAATAGCTAGGCCTATATGAAAATAATGCCTGTGAGTGAATTACTAAATAATTATCATTGCATTGACTATTCTACCTGCTTGAACTTGGATTTAACTTGTTAGACATGCTTTCCTGTCATCAACACAATTCTCTCAATAAACGAGAATAGGATAGGATGTCTGAATAAATGTCACTTAGGTAAATTAACTTTCTGGTGCTTGTGTGCTGCATGTTATAGTCATATGGGTTTAATTATTGCAGGACTATCAGACTAGTTTATTTCAAGAGACGATTATTTGGTGTGAGTAGAGGTTAATGACCTGGATAGTGAATAGTTCAGCAGTGTAGGGGTGATTGTCTGTCTGGACTATTGTAGGCCTGTGCATTATGGATATGGAGTTTAATTGCCTCCTTGCTGGAGACCACAGGTTCAAGGTTGTGTACTCTTGCGCACGTGTGCTCACTCTGAGCAGTCAGTGCACAACTGAGTGAAGGCAATGATGAACATTATGCTAGCCCATGACCTACCTGTTCTCTGGATATGCACGGTAATGAAGGTCTGCGAGGCATTTTACAGCTGCCATAATAGCTGGTCGACGTTTCCCCCAAAGAAACACAACTTGACCTTCTCCTGGGTCTGATCACAGGGACTTTCTCCTCGGTGCTGGAGATCCTGTTTGGCGCTTCCCTCGACGGGTAATAATGGTCAAAACAGAGCGACAAGAGCGAGCCTGAGACACCCGCCAAACATGCAAACACGGGTCTCAGGAGCGCAGGCAGACAGCTCAGACTGGTGAAAGACACCAACCACACAACACTGGCAAACACCAGGATCAGAACACTGTGTTTGAGTTTCAAAGTGGGGATCAGTGTTAGGAGACCCACACAACCCAACACGAATAACAACCTGCCCACCATTTGCATCTGGTGTTGGTCCTCTCCCCACTGCAAAAACCGCAAAACCAAAAAATCCCCTAAGTAACATGATGCTGGCAGTGACACAAGCCAACATTTATTACTTTCCCTCTTTTTCCTCCTTAGATAAAAAGTCAAAAAGAAGAATGCACAGCCTATGCTAAAGAGAGGGCTGATGGACTGAGAGAAGCCCGACAGAAAACTCCGCAAATCCCAAAAGCTGAAGTCACTTTGCAAGCTCCTGGAAATAAGCAACGAAACTGCAAAAATTGCGAATGCACCCAGGTATAGACCAGAAATTCGAAATAATTTTGAATTCAGAATGTCCTCATTGCAAAACCTACAGACGTTAAACAAAAATCCCCTTTGATGGTCTTGTTTTAAAGGGGTGACGCAGCTCTTCACATAGCCGTTCCTGAAGCTCTCTGTGCTGTTTGCATTGGCAACCCCATCGTGGTGCCTGATTTTACTGTGCAAAACCTCTCCTTCTTCGCGAACAGCCATGTTTTCAACTGTAGCTCCTTGGATTCCTTCAAGTTTCCTTCTCCCAATATTTTCGCCGTATTAACGCTCCACTACATGACGGCAAACGCACTCCATGGTCACTCAAACGTGCTCAAGCATTTTGACTAAAAGAAAGAGAAGGTGAAATGTTGTTGTTTTTAGAGAAAAGGGACTCTGTGTCGCCGCCTAGATGTGACAATCCGCTACAAAAACTACAGATCGACACAGGCACGCGCTCTGCAGCACTGGAAACAAACCGTGCACGCTCATGGTCGGTCAGACGAAGGAAGAAGAGTGCTGCTATATAAAAACTGAGACTGTCAGAGTTAATCAGCTCGAGTTAACTTTTTGTCATTTTAATGCACTCTTTTTTTAAATCGCAATTAATGGCATTGTCTGAAAGCGTTCAAAATACACTGAAAACATCTACAATTGATCATCTATACAGCTAAAAACAACCATACAATGTCAACATGTTGACAGTGAGGTTAAAGAAAGTATGCGTTATCAATTTACCTGATTTTGCTTACCGTTACTTTGGACAAAATCCAAACGTCAAATGATCTTGCTTTCAAACAGATGTGCAACTGGAACGGTTTCATTAGGATTTTAGGATTGGTGAAGTATATTTTGGCCAGAAATAAGGCCCATTATTTCCAGGTTTAGCCATTATTATTATTAGTAGTAGTAGTAGAAGTACTAATATTAGTAGTAGCATTACTATTATACTACTATTATTAGTATTATTAATAGTAGTAGTAGTAGTAGTAGTAGTAGTAGTATACTATTGCACCTTTTTCTAGTGTAATTACATAGCCAGGCTATTCTACCACTATCTAGGCCTAGTTACTCTGGCAGGCCTGTGATATTGTAAGATTTCCAGATCTGTTCAACTAATGAAATCTACCACTTCATTTTAAAAAAAAGATTAATCTTAGAATACCTATTTTTGGATGTGTTCTCATGAGACTTTGTAAATAAAAGCAATGTTTCTCTTTGGAATGGAATCTCTTGAGCACTACATATATCAGAGAAGATGTAACTCTATTTGGATATATTATAGAAAGCAAGTGATATTTATGTAAGAATAAGGAATGCACCTTCAAAATCGACATTTTCAGGGGGAAATAGTTGAATTCGACAAGATTTTAAATTATGTTTAACATTACCTGTATTGAATAATTGCACGCTTTTAGTTTGTGTATTTTGGGTGTTTCTGAATTCTTCAGCAGTGTCTGGTGAAGAATTTCACATCACATCTGGCAGATAAGAAAATACAGAACGCGGATCTCTCTCTGTGATCTACTTGTTTCCCTTTGCGCAGACGTCAGTAGGAAAAGTAGTCGATCACGCATCAGCCATCTGAGGCTCTTGTTGGTGGAAAGCTTAATCATCATGGTAAGGATGGAAGAAGTTATATAATATCTACGATGTATCAAAAGTGAATGCAAACGTAATTATTAAATGCAACAGAAATATCTGTTATCTGTAGTCGGATAGAAAGGCTACCTAGCTAGCTAGTTATCCATAGCAATGAGTAAGCCTTTAGTTAAGCTAACTAGCTACGCTGCCGTACCGATAAAAAAAAAGATAATGAAATAGAATGTGTAGCTAGTTAGGCCAACAACAAATGCTATGGCTGCATCCCTAACCTGTGACTATCCCATATTTTGTGTAGAATACGATAGTATTGGCTAACTTCTTGCTTAATGTTATTGGACATAGCTAACGTGTTAATCAATGGGAGTAGCTAGCTAACTAATGTTAGCCATTCAGCTAGCTAGCTAGCTACCTAAATTACTTGTTCACAACTTCAAGTCAAACTTCTGGTGTGAAGACCAAGCTGTGTTACTAGCTAGTTAGTTAAATCAGCGCTAACTAGCTAGTTAAATCACCGCTGCTTTAGCTAAGTAATTGCCTTGGTAAAGACACGTTAAGATGTAACTGTTACCATCAAAGTGGGCTTTGGGCAACCAACAAAAATATAAACAATGGAGCAATAATGCATCCCATGATAACGTTTTCACATGCAAATGGACTTGATTTCTATTATGTAGTCAATGATGACATACTGTGCTATGACGATAGCAACTTTTGTATTTTTGTTAGTTCCGCAACCAGTATGACAACGATGTCACAGTTTGGAGTCCACAGGTAAGAGTCTGCAAATACTGGTAACATAACAGTTAGCAATTTCAGCTGCAATATTTGTGACTGTTATAACAGGTCATTGTCTTGTTTCAGGGGCGTATTCATCAGATTGAATATGCTATGGAAGCAGTGAAACAAGGATCTGCCACAGTGGGTCTGAAATCTCGCAGTCATGCTGTACTTGTGGCTCTGAAGGTACAATTTACATTGATTTTACATTTGCATAGTGTAAAAGTAGTCTATTTTTAATTCTAATTGTGTGTTCTTGTCCAGAGAGCTCAGTCAGAGTTGGCCGCCCATCAGAAGAAAATTCTACACGTCGACAGCCATATTGGCATCTCCATTGCTGGCCTCACTGCTGATGCAAGGCTACTCTGGTAAGAGAGAATCTGTTGTGCATGGTTTTTCATATTCTTAAAGAGAATTAGAAAGGGTTTTTATGACTGGAGTTAACACTTCTCTCTTCCATCATACTCCTTCAGCAACTTTATGCGTCAGGAGTGCCTGGACTCCAGGTTTGTGTTTGATCGGCCTCTCCCTGTGTCCCGCTTGGTCACACTGATTGGAAGCAGTATCCTTTTACCACAAATGTTTTAGTTTTTATGATGCTGAATGTTTGAGTTGCAATGGTGTAATAACTTTTCAAATGGCCAATACAGACACAATTCATGCTACACACAGACAATCCACCTTGACCTAGCACTCAGAAACCCAGATCCCTACACAGAGATATGGAAGAAGGCCTTATGGTGTGGGACTGCTCATCGCAGGATATGATGTAAGATATGTTTTGGTTGGTTTGTCCTGCTATAAATATTAGTGGAATAGTATGTCATATCTAATATTGTCTGTCTCTTCTAGGATATGGGGCCACACATTTTCCAGACCTGCCCCTCTGCCAACTACTTTGATTGCAAGGCCATGTCCATAGGGGCCCGCTCCCAGTCTGCACGTACCTACCTGGAAAGAAACATGGACGCTTTTTTCAACTGTGAGTATTTTATGCCCTTTCTTCTCTGCTTCTCAGGAACTGATGTAAGCACGTTGTAAAGCTTTTGTTCTGTCTTGTAGGTGAACTGAATGACCTGGTTCAACATGGCCTACGGGGACTGAGGGAAACTCTACCTGCAGAACAAGATCTTACCACAAAGGTAAACCTTAAGCTTACTGTAAGCTCTATGGCAACACAAGATTCGGAGCGTAGCGCAGTGTTGCAATATCGTTTTTCATCACAAAAGGGGAGTCTCCTTGTAAAACGCTCCGGCATTCGACTTACTTTTCTACTACCTGAAAATTGAGGGGCAGTGTTGTCGCTTGGTTCCTTGATCCGATCTATAGGCTATATAGGCTATTCATCAAAGTCGCCTATTTTGCATTGATAACCAAACAACAAGAATCCACCCAAAAAGGTATTTTGTTTAGAAGTTATAACTATCAGGCTGTTGTGAAATGGTAGAACCTGCTGTAGCCAACTAGCTAGCCATGTGCTTTTTTCTCTGTGACCAAAACATGTTCTGTTTTTAGCTGATATGGGAATTAATACACAAGCAGCATATCAAACTGGGATAATGTTTTGGGTTACACTTAGTGATGTTACGTTTGATGCCTGAGCTCCGAGGCATGCGTCAGAATTGTTAAGCAGTGTACTTCGAAGCAGTGTGCCGATGCCAGTATCACTTTATCAGAAGCATGTGATCAATGACAGTCGAAGCTTCATTTCGTCGAACAACCACCTGATTGGTTTGGTAGAAGACAAAAAGGCTACGCTGCGCACACGCTACGGGGTGTGGGACGTCGTCTTTAATCATTTATTTTGACCAGCAGGCGCCACTAGTGTACACTGTGTTGATCAAAGCCTCGAGTAATGAACCTATTTCACAAAATGTTCTGGAAAACCTCAGCTTCAGGAAGCTTTGTTTCCCCATCAGTAGTTACACCTGCAAGTATACGGATATTTGCTAGGGCATATGTTTTAATTATAAATCGGATTATTTCAGATTGTGGAGATGTGGGAAGTTAAAAGGCTAGCTAGCTTACTATGTTTAAAGTCAACTAGCCAGAAAAAGGTTGCTATCGCCCCTTTGTGAATGGGAGGGGAACCGGCGAGGATGTCATGTTACCAAAAGGTGTCCGCTGCTCCAAACATCCCACTCCACCCACATGCACGTAGATCAACCGAGTGAAGCTTGTAGTAACCTGAAGACTTTTACGTCAGGCTACTGTCCAATTATCTACTCCCCACCCTGTGCTTTCATTCGGTCCTCCTGATGGGATGGATATAACTACTATGTGAAAACACCTTCTAGCCATGCTTACACTAATCCAGTACTTTTAAATGTGTGAGGGTTTCAGAGAGAAGGGTAGGGGATCAGAACACAACTTAAAGCACAGATTGACAACTTACTGTCTGCCCTTTTAGAATGTGTCCATCGGGATTGTTGGCAAGGATATGGAGTTCACCATTTACGATGATGACGATGTGGCATCATTCCTTGAAGGCCTTGAGGAGAGGCCACAGAGAAGGGTAAAGAACAATTTGGCAAATTTTGAATTAAAATATTTTCTCTCAGAGGAAACTTGTCAAGAGGAACGGTTATTGCCTTAATAAGATTCTTGACGGTACATTATTCAGTTATCTCCAAACCTGACAATGCCCATGCCTTGTCCTCTTGTTGTGCTGCAGGTTGCCCAGCCAGATGACGAGCCGGCAGCAGAGAAGCCAGACGAGCCCATGGAGCTCTGAGATTGAAGTGTGTTCCAGACAGTGTGAAGATGACAAAGCACTTATCCCTGATTATTTCAGTCATTGGATGGCATCCTGTCCACAACCAATATTCCATCCACACTCACTTGTAACTGTATCAACATGGAGAACAATTACCATTATACTTGTATGTTCTAGTCGATTATCTATGATTTTTGTTAGGCCGTTCAATGTTTGCATTCATTTTTTGTCATCAAAGACAAACTTTTTCTGAACTTGTCTGGTTCGTAAAAAAATATATAAACGTGATGGTTAGCTTTTCTCATTACTGCATTGTCATTATATGTTCTTACATGGCCACTCGGTGGTGGGTGTTTTCAAAGAGGAGGTAGGAACCAAAGTGGGGGTTTATTTATACCTAAGCACCAACTAAATTTGAACAAAAAAAATAAAAACATAGATGTTCAAACATGGACTAACCTGGGACTACTATGGACTTTCTTGAATCATAATTGCTGGTAATACTACCTACTGACAAACCCAACTGAAATGGCAGCCTTATACTGTGGATTGGTCAACCCTCTGGAATGAACCACACCACGTGATGGGGCCGTCAATTATTTAAAAAATTATAAACTGGGTGGATCGAGCCCTGAATGCTGATTGGCTGAAAGCTGTGATATATCAGACCGTGTACCATGGGTATGACAAAACATTTATTTGTACTGCTCTAATTACATTGGTAACCAGTTTATAATAGCAGTAAGGCACCTCAGGGGTTTGTGGTATATGGCCAATATACCACACCCCCTTGGGCCTTATTGCTTAGTTATAAACTGGGTGGTTCGAGCCCTGAATGCTGATTGGCTGACAGCTGTGGTATATCAGACCGTATACCATGGGTATGACAAAACATTTATTTTTACTGCTCTAAGTATGTTGGTAACCAGTTTATAATAGCAGTAAGGCACCTCAGGGGTTTGTGGTATATGGCCAATATACCACGGCTAAGGGCTGTGTCCAGGCACTCCGCGTTGCGTCCTGCTAGAAAAGCCCTTAGCCATGGTATATTGGCCATATACCACACCTCCTAGGGCCTTATTGCTTAAATATACAATTCAATATTTAATAAATAGCAAATGTAGTGTAAGTTACTTGTATCAAAAACATGTCAAGTATCAGTTCATAAATGGAGGCAATATATAAGATTGTAACATTGGGCACTCATAATTAGAATTTCGTCTTCGCGTCTAGACATCTGGGTTATTTGTCCCGTTTCACTTGCTGTAGCAGTGATGTGGCTCAGAAAGTATCTAATCTTCCACGTCACAGGGAAGTGGGGAACGGACAGCTCGAGAAGATCGCTGAGCAATTTTACAGATGCCCAAGTAAATAACAGACGCGACATTTGAGGCTATTTTGAAGTATAATAAACGTGCAGTAAGGTAGCTACGTGTTTATTTCTCTATCGTGTGCGGAAAGATTGATTTGGGTAATTGTATTCCGAAGATGTTTTGGTATCCATCCACCATTTGCAAGCTAACGCTAGCTGTAATGGATGACAGGCGTTTGAGCTTGCTCAATTTGCAATATCAAAACGTCTAGCTAGTTTACTAGGCTCTGTGAAGTGTTACTGGCATATTGCATTTCTGTTTTTTTAGTGCATGTCACTGATTGAGCTGCGTAATTCGTTAGGCCATTGACTTGTCAATAACTAGCGTACTAGCTAACAGCCGAGGCGGCCTGTGTCAATGAATAACATTAACTAGCTAGTACAAGCTAGCCAACTGACTTGTCTACGTGGATGTGTCGACTAACTACCACATATTTCTTAGCTACAGCTGTGCTGTATTAGAACGCACGAATAGTGTTCATTAACTTGAATATGTGAAATAAGCGTGTAATAGCAGCTATGTTTACATTTATCCGATTATGCATTAACATTACTTGATGGGTACTTCATAGGAATCATCTTAACAGTTCTGTTGATTGGGGTACTGCAAAAGGGAAGACGATCCATCCGGCAAAATGACAGCCGCAGAGAATGTTTGTTACACTTTGATCAATGTTCCAAATGACTCCGAACCGCCATCGGAAGTCAGTCTCAAAACAGACTTGGGTAAGTATTCTCTGTTGACACTATCTGCTTTGTCAATAGGCACCTACCCCCCCCCCCCCCCCCACATGATTAGTGTGAATAATCTGTGATCAATGTGACTTTAAGAGTAATACAATGTTATTTTTTCCTGATATCAGAAAAAGGAGAGATTAAGGCGAAGACCGAGGCCCTGAAGAAGGTAATCATCATGATACTGAATGGGGAGAAGCTGCCAGGCCTACTGATGACCATCATCCGATTTGTCCTCCCACTTCAAGACCACACCATCAAAAAGCTTCTGCTAGTCTTCTGGGAGATTGTCCCCAAGACGACGCCAGATGGCAAGCTGCTTCAGGAGATGATCCTGGTCTGTGATGCCTACAGAAAGGTATGGTAGCATACTACACAAGTGTTTTGTCACTGTCTCTGAATGTTAGATTAATTATCTAATTAGCAAAGTATGACGTGGGACTATTACCCTTGAATAAGAGGCATTAAATGTATGTTTATCTGTTTCAGGACCTGCAGCACCCCAACGAGTTCATCCGTGGATCCACCCTGCGCTTCCTGTGCAAGCTGAAGGAGTCTGAGCTGCTGGAGCCCCTCATGCCGGCCATCCGCGCCTGCCTGGAGCACCGCCACAGCTATGTTCGCCGCAATGCTGTCCTGGCCATCTACACCATCTACAGGTACACTTACTGTACTGATACAATACGGAAGGCCCATATGACTGTATATGACCCTTAATGGAGAACATGGCATTTACTTGAGCAATTTTCTTTCCATCTCAGGAACTTTGAAAATCTCATCCCAGATGCCCCCGAGTTGATCCATGATTTCCTTGTGAATGAAAAAGATGCCAGCTGCAAGAGAAATGCTTTCATGATGCTCATTCACGCAGACCAGGTCAATTGCATCTTCACTTTTTTTATTAGAGACCGCTCACCAACATTTTTCTTTGTCTGGGACTAACACTGGTCAATTCCACTGTGCAGGACAGAGCTCTGGATTACCTCAGCACCTGCATTGATCAAGTGCATACATTTGGAGATATTCTCCAGTTGGTCATTGTGGAGCTGATTTACAAGGTGAGTACTTCAGACATTTTCCCACCAGAAAATCCCACTATAAACCTCCAGATATCTGGTCTCCTGTGTGGCGTAGCGGTCTAAGGCACTGCATTGCAGTGCTTGAGGCGTCACTACAGACCCGGGTTCGATCCCAGTCTGTCACGGCCGGTGGGGGCTTTACTTGGTTCATTGCGCTCTAGCAACTTCTTGTGTCGTCAGTTGAACAGTGTTTCCTCCGACATATTGTTGCAGCTGGGTTAAGCGGGCGGGTGTTAAGGAGCGCGGTTTGGCGGGTCATGTTTCGGAGGACGCATGACTCGACCTTCGCCTCTACCGAGTCCGTTGGGGGAGTTGCAGCGATGAGACAAGATCGTAATTGAAATTGGGAGAAAAAATACCAAAAGGGAGGTAAAATACCAAAATAAATCAAATAAACCTCCAGATATCTCTTTTGAGAAATGTTTTTTTTTTTAAACACTGGATGTCACATGATGATGTCTGTTTTTCTGTTTCACACGCACTGAGGAAGGAGCAAGCCAAAACGTATGCCAGTGTGTGTGGTCTATTAAGACATGTTGCTATGAGTTAAAGAAAATGAAAACAAAGCTTCAATTGCAAATTATCTCCACGTAAGTACTGGCCTTTTTTTATTTATCGTATCTTGTTTCCTCCATGTTTAGGTGTGCCATGCTAACCCGTCTGAGCGTGCCCGCTTCATCCGCTGTATCTACAACCTGTTGCAGTCCTCCAGCCCAGCCGTCAAGTATGAGGCAGCTGGCACTCTTGTCACGCTGTCCAGCGCACCCACTGCCATCAAGGTACCCCCTCTCACTTATCTACTTCACAACATGGCACTGCTGTGGATTTTAGTCTGGTATTGTGTGTCTTTCAATGGCGTTTGTGTGTTGTTTATTCTAGGCTGCTGCCCAGTGCTACATTGACCTGATCATCAAGGAGAGTGACAACAATGTGAAGCTGATCGTCCTGGATCGTCTGATAGAGCTGAAAGAGCATCCCACTCATGAACGTGTTCTCCAGGTACTCAGACTTCACTGTCATAAATGTTGCTTTTGGTGAACAGATCCCATGTTAGGTACCAGTAAGTCTTTGAAGTGTAATAATAACCTGGTTAACATGTCTGTTCTCTGCCCACCCAGGACCTGGTGATGGACATTCTGCGTGTTCTGAGCACGCCTGACCTGGAAGTCCGGAAGAAGACCCTGCAGCTGGCCCTGGACCTAGTCTCATCCCGGAACGTAGAGGAGGTGGGTGTGTCATCCTCAGGACTATCCTCTCCTGTCTCTGTGGACTGTCCGCTCCTGTCTCTGTGGACTGTCCGCTCCGGTCTCTGTGGACTGTCCGCTCCGGTCTCTGTGGACTGTCCGCTCCGGTCTCTGTGGACTGTCCGCTCCGGTCTCTGTGGACTGTCCGCTCCGGTCTCTGTGGACTGTCCGCTCCTGTCTCTTTCTAAAAGGATGATGATTATTCTAACTAAGGTGTTCATGTGTTTGTGTTCCAGTTGGTGATAGTTCTGAAGAAAGAGGTGATTAAGACCAACAACGTGACGGAGCATGAGGACACTGATAAATTCAGGCAGCTGCTGGTGCGCACCCTCCACTCCTGCAGTGTCCGCTTCCCTGACATGGCGGCCAATGTAATTCCTGTGGTGAGTCTACCTATCTACCCTGTTCACCCACACAAACCCTGAAATCAAACACAGCTAAGGTCATTCTGTCGTCTGTGATTGTAATCTAAATGACACGTGTGTGTCACTCAGCTGATGGAGTTCCTGAGTGACACTAACGAGGCAGCAGCGGCTGATGTGCTGGAGTTTGTGAGGGAGGCCATTCAGAGGTTCGATAACCTGAGGCCCCTCATCATCGAGAAGATGCTGGAGGTCTTCCACGCCATCAAGACTGTCAAGTAAGACCAAGACTGGCAAGCTTACATATAAATAGAGAATCACAGGATGCTTTTGGAGAATTGCAGATTTTTTTTATGCTGACATCCAATATTTTAAACTGTGTTAGGATCTACAGAGGAGCACTTTGGATCCTGGGAGAATACTGCAGCACTAAAGAGGACATTCAGAGTGTGATGACAGAAGTGCGCAGATCGCTTGGAGAGGTATGTGTTGTGCTTATGGATTATTAATTCACTTTCAGTGTTCAATACCAGAGTGATACTTGATGCCGGTGGCTCATGTCTGTCCCTTTGTTTTCAGATCCCCATAGTAGAGAACGAGATCAAGAAAGAGTCTGGGGAGGGGAAGCCGGAAGAAGAGGTGAGCGCAGCGCCAGCAGCCAAACTGGTGACAGAGATGGGCACCTACGTCACACAGAGCGCCCTCAGCTCCTCCAGACCCTCAAAGAAGGAAGAGGACAGGTAAAATAAATCACCTTTTGTATCTAAAATACATAGTTTCTTAGCTTGCAGTGATTGTCTTTCAGAAGTGAATGATATGACACTCAATGAAACTTTCGTCCCTTTCCCTGTAGGCCTCCTCTCAGGGGCTTCTTGATGGACGGAGACTTCTATGTGGCAGCCTCGTTGGCCACAACCCTGACCAAAGTGGCCCTGCGATATGTCGCCATTGTTCAAGACAAAAAGAGACAAAATGTAAGTATAGAACCTCTCATTATCTTCTGAAACGGTTGTGATTTAGGTGTTCCACGTTCACTCCATTGAAAGTCAATGAAGTGATTTCTAATGCTCTCTATCCCTGTGTCCCCTTCAGTCCTTTGTGGCTGAGTCTATGCTGATCATGGCCACCATCCTCCACTTGGGCAAGTCCTCTCTGCCCAAGAAGCCCATCACAGACGACGATGTGGACCGCATCTCGCTGTGCCTCAAGGTGCTGTCCGAGTGCTCGCCCCTCATGAACGACATCTTCAACAAGGAGTGCCGCAAGTCCCTGTCTCACATGCTCACTGTCAGGCTGGAGGAGGAGAAGCTATCTCAGAAGGTAAGGAGGAGCGCTGGCTCCTAGATTACTAGGCCATAGCTTCCGGTCCACTCTTCTCACTAAACCACTGCCTTCTCCCAGTTCACTCAGCTATACTCTAGTTCTCCCTTCACCTGGCTGCTTATCCATTTGGACACGGCTGGATTGTGTTGCTATGTGCTGATGCTGTTCTGTGCTCTTATCCTTTCTTATCCACAGAAAGAGTCAGAGAAGCGGAACGTGCTGGTGCAGGCAGACGACCCCATTTCCTTTATGCAACTGACGGCCAAGAACGAGACGACCTCCAAGGAGGACCAGTTCCAGCTCAGTCTACTGGCTGCCATGGGAACCACTCTTAAGAAGGAGGCTAATGACCCCATGGCCTCCAAACTCAACAAGGTACACCTACAGGGACCCAGTAGACACACACACACACTGTTCTCTTACAGAATTACAAAGTAGGGAATGTGCCTTTTTGGAAAGTAGATGTGTGTGTGATATACCTCAAGTTGCCAGCAGGTGGCACTGTGTGTCCAACTTGACAGTGAGCCATAGCAACAGAGAAATCAGTGTTTTCTAGGTCTGTTCCACAGGAACAACTATGAAAGAGGGAATGAATATAACATTTCTAGGTTTAGGCAATGGCATGGATTGTATCTCAAGTTTTTCATCTTAGCTGTTAGTGTTGTTGAGGTAGTTATTGACGGGTACTCTGTTGTATAACAACAGGTTGGTGAGGACCATGTCATTCTGAGTGTGTGTTGTATTGCAGGTTACCCAGCTGACTGGTTTCTCAGACCCAGTCTATGCGGAGGCCTATGTCCATGTCAACCAGTATGACATTGTGCTGGACGTGCTGGTCGTCAACCAAACCAACGACACCCTTCAGAATTGCACCCTGGAGCTGGCTACATTGGGTGAGGTTCTAGTCTATAGTTCATATGACTATGTGCAGAGTCATACAACCTTACTAAGGGTTGTTTCAGGGCCATCTCTCTTGGTTACCACAGGTAATGTATGTCTAATGCTGATTTCAACCTTTCAATCCAACAGGTGACCTCAAGCTGGTTGAGAAGCCTTCTCCTCTCACTCTGGCACCTCATGACTTTGCCAACATCAAGGCTAACGTCAAAGTGGCGTCCACAGAGAATGGCATCATATTTGGCAACATAGGTAAGAGGATCACTTCTAACTTCTGTCAGTGTACTTGTCATGAAGGTGATGTGATGCCAGCCTCCACTCCATGTGTACGACATCAGTTCTAACATGCATCTGTCGGTCTGTCTCAGTGTATGACGTATCAGGAGCTGCCAGCGACAGGAACTGCGTGGTCCTCAGTGACATCCACATTGACATCATGGACTACATCCAGCCAGCCTCGTGCACAGACGCAGAGTTCAGACAGATGTGGGCCGAGTTTGAGTGGGAGAATAAGGTACTAGCGCTAGATAAGAGAACTGTCCATATTTGGTTTTGTTTTGTTAGTGTGTTCAGTGGATGATCGTAATAACACTGTTTATTCTAGGTGACAGTGAACACCAACATTGCAGACCTGAACGAGTACCTCCACCACATCCTCAGCTCCACCAACATGAAGTGCCTGACCCCAGAGAAGGTACAGTAGTCGTGGAATATGGACAGTTTGAACTACATCAATAGGACAATGATGATAATGTATAGAACACAATTGAGGTTTTAAACCTGGCAGATAGGAAGGTTAATGAGTGGAAGTTCTCAGAGCGTGTAACTTTTCTGCTACTGCTATCTTTTTTTACGGTGTTAGGATTTGATTTATAAATGGCTTTTTATAATTATCTGATTGAATCAATCCATTGGAAAAGAAAAGGGTACCCTGCGAGATACAGGCAAAATATACCTATTTTCTACAATTCTTCATCAGTCCACTGATGGATTTAGACAATTAAGATGACAATGACTCTATTGTAATAGCCCTATCTTCAGCAAATCCATCACATTCCTAGAGGACCAATCGGACTCCTACTGCTGTGTCAAATGGGTAGGAATGCATGTGATGCTCACTTACTCCACCTTGTCTGTCCTTATAACCAGGCACTTTCAGGCTTCTGTGGCTTCATGGCTGCCAACCTGTACGCCCGCTCCATATTCGGTGAAGACGCCCTGGCCAACGTTAGCATTGAGAAGCCCATCCACCTGGGTCCTGATGCCCCTGTCAACGGACACATCCGCATCCGGGCCAAGAGCCAGGTGAGAAATTCACTCCCCACTCAAATTGCATCCCAAAATGCACCCTATTCCCTATATAGTGTACTACTTTTGGAAATAGGTTGCCATTTGGGATGCTGAGATAGTGCAAGTAGTAATGATATAATAATGCAAATATCGGGGTGGAATTGTTTATTAAAGACTATACATTGCAAGTAACACTTCCTCTCTCTCCACAGGGTATGGCGTTGAGTCTGGGTGACAAGATCAACCTTTCCCAGAAAAAAACATCTGCATAAAGTGAACTGAAAACCAGAAGTCCAACTGAGAACTCCACATCACTGGACAAGATTCATCTGCAAAGAAATGTGTGCTTTCTGCTAGTCCTCTCTCTTCTATCTGTCTCTGGCCATAAAGCCATAACAATAGTTTTATGGCCATTTGCTTAAGTACTGTTCTATGTGTGTATGAGAGATGGTTTTACACCTCCTGTGTCAGGAAGAAACTCCATCTTACTGTGCTCCAAGTGATATCCCTGGCCTATCTTTCATTTTCAATAAAACATGACATATATAACAAAACATACTCCCAACATTTTTCAGACAATGGGCTGTTTGCGTGTTCAGTCTTTCTTTACTTACTCTAAGGGAACGTGAGGTAGGAGAAACTGCTGATCTACCACCCCTTAACTAAGCTGTTGCCAAAAGTTATGACAGTAAAGTTAAATGCAATGTCATAAGACTTTAAACCATGGAATATGGATGCAGTTTGAATGCACATTCCATCCACTACGGCTGTGTTTACACAGGCAGCCCAATTCTGATATTTTTGCTACTAATTGGTCTTTTGACCAATCAGATCGGTCTTTTACCAATAATTGGGCAAAATATCAGAATTGGGCTGCCTACCTGATCTCATGTCCCATTATTGTCTTTACACTACAGATAATGACTCATCAAAGTGGTTCTTGTATCAGATGCACGCAAATTCCTTGAAAGTAAAACTACTTTCAAGTTTGTGGAAAAAAGGTATTGCTTCTGTAAATTGCAAGTAATTGCATTAATGAAGTGAAAATTAATGTTTGTCAGATCCCACATTTCTAATCATACAAATGTAGAGTGAATACAATCAACATGCTATATGAGGGAAGTCTTTGCCAAGTATTGAAATGGTGTAATGATGAAAGCTCAGCATCAAGTCAAAATCCTTTTCTCAATTTCTAATCACAATCACACACATTTACATTGCTTTGACTGCCTTCTCCACCTCACCATTATATAAAAGTTCACCAGTGGAATAGATACTCAAAAGTTCCCTCTCTTCTTGGAAAGGAAATTACATCACGTTTTGCCTTGTGTGGGAAGATTTAGAATTTGAGCACTTCATGCACATCTTCTGAATTTGATGCCCACATTTCCATTCGAATCTCATATTGAGAGACAGTCATGCTTAAAGGCCTCATTACTGTGAAATGATGACTGATTGTAAGAAAAACACGATTTTAGGCCGATAGTGAAGAGTTCAGACTGTAACAAACAAAACCCATGATGACTCATTAGGTCCTAAGTCCTCATCTCACCCTAAAAGCTGAAGACATAAAACACTACACAGAATAGTTATCAGGGAGAAATTATGAATATTCAGTGATTCACATTTTTCCAGTGATTCACATATTTTTCTTAAACTTCCTGTTCTTGTGTGGTATCACAATGACTGACTGGAAAGAAGAGACCCAAACAACGCAGTAAATCAACAAGATTTTTTCCCATTACAAATATATCTCCACTTTTGCAACCCAGAACTCCCCTTTAGCCTCACCTTTTTAACTTTGTCTACATAAGGATTTCAGGGCTGTAAATATCCCAGAGGTACAGAGCCATTAAGTGACCTAACATACTGAACAGGCCATATTTCCTGAGGAGCGGAGGGACTCCTTTTGTTCCTCTCCTACCCCACAGGCTGTGTGGACTGTGATTTCAGCAGTTAATTGAAATTCCTCAAATGCCTCTGGCGCTACGTTGCAGAGTGGGAGTCAATTGGAATTTGTTCATTCAGGAGTCTAAAATATAACATCTTGCTGAACGGCCCTCCTGGGAGAGGACAGGGAGAAAATTAAGGAAAATCATATGTACTGTTGTATTAAAAAAACAAATATACTGAACAAAAATATAATGCAACATGCAACAATTTCAACGATTTTGCTGAGTTACAGTTCATATAAGGAAATCAGTCAATTGAAGTAAATTCATTAGGCCCTAATCTATGGATTTCACATGACTGGGCAGGGGCACAGCAATGGGTGGGCCTGGGAGGGCATAGGCCCACCCACTTGGGAGCCAGGTCCTGGGCTGGCGTGGTTACACGTGGTCTGCGATTGTGAGGCCGGTTGGACGTACTGCCAAATTCTCTAAAACGACGTTGGAGGTGGCTTACGGTAGAGAAATCAACATTCATTTCTCTGCCAACAGCTCAGGTGGACATTCCTGTAGTCAGCATGCCAATTGCACCCTCCCTCAAAACTTGAGACATCTGTGGCATTGTGTTGTGTGACAAAACTGCACATTTTAGAGTGGCCTTTTATTCTCCCCAAGACAAGGTGCACCTGTGTAATGATCATGCTGTTTAATCAGCTTCTTGATATGCCACATCTGTCAGGTGGATGGATTATCTTAACAAAGGATAAAATGCTCACTAACAGGGATGTAAACAAATTTGTGATAAATAAGCTTTCTGTGCTTTTGGAAGATTTTGGGGATCTTTTATTTTAGCTCATGAAACATGGGACCACCACCTTGTTGCGTTTATATTTTTGTTCAGTGTACGTATATAAACACATGCACCAGTATTGCATAAAGTATTGCTACACGCTGGCTGGGGGCTATAAAACATTTAGGTCCTTCCAGAAGCTCAGATATAGACCCACTTGTGTAGGTCACCAAGATCACTGTGGTCACGTATGTATGCCATGCTACAGAATAGCAGAACTCAGTCAGCCCTGACGCTCTAACAAACACACACACTTTAAGTGCCTTTGTGTGAAAGCTCTCACTCTGGGGGCCTTGATATTGGCCAAAGGTGTCTGTGAGGTCAGCGCTCCACAGCTGTGAAAACAGACAGTGCCAAGAAGCAGCATATCTTCCGATTTTTTAAGGTATTGAATGGAAATTAGCCAAAAGCAATCCCTCCAGGCCAGACTAAACTTGTCTTTCCCACTAAAATGATGTGCTACTTGGAAGATAGGCTTATTGATCATCCAGACCATCAGAGATTAATGATAGCTGAAAGTATGAAATCCATTACAATCACCATCCATCCATGTGTGGGCTGGATGGTGGATACTGTTAATTACATTAACATGGACATTAATACTACATGACCTTATTGTAGCCTATTGAGGATAGTCTGTGCTAGGCCAAAATGAATCCTTATAAATTACAATTTTGTTGAATAATCTCAACCTTATTCTGTTCTAAATAGCACAGCACTTAAAGAAAGGAATGGTAAACCCTACCTGAAAGGAACATAGATCATAAAATGAGTATTCTACAATGGTAATATTTAAATGCCCCTTTAGTCCATGCTACTCATGAGAAGTAAAGTGCCCCTAGCGACGGACATTTGTATTGGACTAACTGATCACTCCTTTCTGTTTCACATCTTAAAAACGCAGTGGTTAGCAACGCTGTTGAGGGCGTATGGACTCGGTCGCCCGTAGCTCAGTGAGCAGCAGCGATAATTCCTCTAGTCTGGAACGGATTGTAGACGCGGTTATCGTTTCAGTCTATTTAGGCTCGCGATTTTCTTTCGTTCCATTTTTCAACTGAAGGCCTTTCACTGAAAAGTGGGTGTCTCTGCTACTGGTGTTCAGACAGCGGCGAGTGCAGAAGTGTGTCCTCGATGGCAGGGTGGAAGGACGGTTCGGTGCAGGAGAAGTATCGACTGGTTGTGGTTGGAGGTGGTGGTGTCGGGAAGTCAGCCTTAACTATACAATTTATCCAGGTTAGTAAATAGTCGGCCGTTTCTCCAGCCACTTTGTACGGAATGTTTGGGAATCTGGAGGGAGGCTGGCTGAGCTGTTGCGAATGGGGACCCCACAAGCGTATGATGGGGTTTAGTTCATTTTATTCTCGCAATAGTGGGCTACAGTCGCCGAGGCCTGTTTAGCACAAAACATATTCTGTAAAAACACTTGAAATTGTGTCAGATAAAAATTTTTAACTTTAAGCCTATTTGTCAATACAATGAATAACAGGCCAATGGACAGTAATTGTGGAAGAAATAGTGAAGAAATAGTCTCACAATTGTGATTTAGGTTGAACTTTGATTTAAGACTATAACCTAAGTATTATAACATTGAGCTACTTGTACAGCCTACTGCTGTTATTTGAGTGTTGTAAATTCTTCGAGTGGTTTGACTTGATCTTGCATTAGACCTATTTCTTTCTTATTATATATAGCCTTTACTACATCATATGTCTCAAAATGTTAAATCGACTAATTCAAAGTTCATAAAACAATTTGGTCAAACAGGCTTTCATCTGTCCTATTTCGTGTTTTTGAGCAATTAGAAAATACTTATTTGCAAACTTGAGTTGTCAACATCTCTCTGTTGTTTTGTAGCTATATTTGGGTGGATAGTCCTACCCAGTGCTGCGCTACATCAGTCTACAATTCTTGGCTACAATGTAACACGTCGTTCAGAACTTCTGGGCCTGCTGTGCTTGAAAGCGTAAATCTGAAACAAAACTCCTATGTAAACTCACATTGAACAGGCACATTGAACGTATTTTCCATCATACCCATTAGGTGCAGTATTGACAAATCTATTGCCTACCATTTTTATTCATGTAGCCCATGTTCATTATCAGACATTGAATATGCCGATTGAATAGCCTAATAACGGTTTAGCCAACAGACTATCTAACCTACATTTGGATCTAAAAAATCTAGGTGAATCGGCCTAGGATATAAAGACATTCCTACACATCCATAACTGTAAGCATATTAATTACAGATAATATCCCTACATGTATGCCTTTCTCTAACCTTGATGTCATGTGTGAATCTTATCAGTTTTCATGATCAATCCCATTTGTTGCTCAAACAGTTGCAGAGCAATGACAGCTGCTGCTAAAGACAGTTGTTGTTCAAGCCAATGACCCAAGCAGCCATTGCCCAGCCACAGTTGTCCTTTATAGCCTTGTCAATGGCATTCCAACACACACAGTGTGTTGTCCATAGGTACACACACATTTAACTCTTTGTCTTTCCCTTTTCACTGGCAAAACCTTTATATTCACAGGTAGTTTCTTTCTGAAGGTGCACATAAAGATGTAACTGAGAATGAGTGGACACGCTTTGGAATCCTCTTTGTGTCTTCAGGAGTCTATAATGCCAGGTCCTAATTCCAGGAGACTAGACTGGGGGTGGGCAGCTGCATGTCTAAAGTGACTGAGACAATAGTGGGGCAGTCAGCAGCACGTGCCGCTTGGGGCTTTTGTTGTGATCTGAAGGTCTATTAATGTTTCAGAAAGCTCATTAAATGTATACCATAGATATTGGTCAGATCAGATTACTGTGCCACGGTTCAGCC